CCCCCTGCCCCAGGTGGGGGTTCTGCCCCTCCCAACTGAGGACGCACCCCAGCGTCCTGGCTGATGCACTGCCTGCCGGTGGCTTCTTCCCTCGCGCAGAGGCAGTAACGAAACTTCAATTTGACCATCAGGAAACCGTGAGAGCCGTGTCCCCTCCACCGCGCGTCGGCACTGCGTCACGGCCTGGACTCGGAGCCCGAGGCCGCTGCCCTGGCCGGGAAGCAGGCCCTGGGCCCGAGGGACACAGCCCCGACCCGAAGCCTGGGCTGCCCAGGGCTCGGGGCTGTCCGACCCCATGACAGGTGCCAAAGGCCACAGGCACGAGGAGGCGTGGACTCCCGACCGCACAGCTGTTCCCTCAGATGCAGACGGAGCCAAAACCATGCCTGGCCTCACCTGGACGGGGCCGGCACAAGAGCCGGTAGGACCCGCCAGGCCAGGCTCGCCAGGGTGTGAGGACGCCGGGCACAGAGCGAGAACCAAGGTCCGGTCGCCATGTGGGCATCACCCCCGCAGCCCGGGCCCTGGCAACAGCAGGAACAGCCCTTGGCAGAGGCGCCCCCGCCTGGCAGATGCTCCCGTGCAGACACGGAACTGCGAGCAGCAGAGGCCTGTCTGCTGTGCACTGATGGGTCCTGGGAGCCCGTGGAGCGTCTCGCGCTGGAGTTTGTATGAGGAAGCGTGCGCAGGGGCACTAGAGCCTGGCGTGCGTGATGCACATCAGGGGCCAGGGTGCTGGGAAGTGGGAACGAGCCGCAGGCAGAGCTGAGCAGGGGCCTGGCAGTGTGCGCGCAGCCCGATCCTAGGCTCGCCGGCGCCTGTGTTGGAGAAGCGGGCCCTCGGCTCCCAGCGGCCTCGGCAGCCGTGTCTGAGCCGGGTGCTCTGGGCCTGGTCAGTGTGGAATGCAGGTGGCACCCGCCGAGGCCGCCACGCTGGGCCTTCCCTGGCCGTGCCCTCGGGAGGGCCCACTCTAGCCCTGCAGGGCCTCCCTGGCCCCCTCCCAGGGGCCTGGCTCTGGTCACCGTGGCGTTCCGGTGACGCGGAGGGCTGCGGCCTCCCGGGTGTCACTCATTCCTTCCTGCCAATTGTCTAGCTCTTAGCCTCCCAGGCTCTCCGGGAGGCCGGTGCCCCCCCCTCCCCCCGCCCCCCAGTCTAACCCATTACTTCATTTTGCTTCAATGGCCAATTGTGCGATGGACAAAGCACAGCCACCCTTTCAGCGGTTACCAGGCTGTTTTTTGGAAACTCACACCAGGGCCGGCCGTGGCTGAACACTGGGCAGTCGGCACAGCCTGGCCCGAGGCGCTGTGGCCCGAGGCCCGGGATTCTGCAGACACATTTCATTTCAGCGTTTCCTTTGTTCTTCCAATCAAGTGCCCAAAGAAGTGATCAGCACAGCTGCTCCGAGCAGGGAGACCAGATGACGTGGAAACCCAGGCCCGGGCAGGGGCCCCGTGCTGTCCCGGTGAGGAGGCGGCGAGGAGGCACAGGATTCAGATGTGAGCTGAGACCCCCGGGCCTGGTGCTGATGGGTGATGACTGTGCCTCGCGTGCGGCTGAAGATGCAGAGCGACGGGCCTGCGACACGGCGGCCGGGACGTGGGGGGAAGAGGGTTCCCATGTTGGAGTCTGAGCCGCCATTTCCCTGGTTCCGCTTCCTCTCCCACGACTGGTTGTGCCCCTTGGGGTGTAGTTTTTAATCTGATCAGAACTGTTACCAAAAAAGTCAGTTTTATGAAGACAGGAAAAATGGAAACCTATTTTTGTGACTTAAGACTTTATGGCAAAGATTAGACACTGGAGGGTTTTTTTAAAAACATGTATATTTATTGATGTTCAGGACACTGGGATTGCAGCACAGATGAGAAGCGTCTACAATAAATTAAGATTTCTGCGTTTGTACTCATGCTGTGCTGGCTCCCCCGTTCCCAAGGCAGTGGGGAGGGACAGGGCCTGGGCCGGAAGCTTGTTCTCCTTCAGGGGGACCTGAGATCTTTACGTGGGTGTCTCCCACGCGGCTGGGAAGCTCTCAGCCAGCACCGTGTGTGTGTCTGTGCGTGTGTGTCTCTGCACCAGTCTCTCCGGGGCTCCCGCCTCTGGGACTTCAGTGACGCGACTGTTAGACCTTGGACATTGTCCCTGGTCCCCGAGACTCTGCATTTGTCTTCACTCTTCTTTCTGATCGTTTCCAGTCACTGACATACAAGCCCACGCCTCCGCCTTCCCCACGAGGATGGTATTTCAGATGGTGTCATGGAGCCTCAGTCTGCACTCAGTCCCTTTCCCGGTCATTTCTCTGCTGAGAACGCGCGGCTCCCGTGCATTTCTGGTTTGCCTCTGCCTTGTGGAGTGTGGTTTTAACAGCTGCTGTAAGGAAGGTCTCTGAGCATCTGAGCGCCTGGGTCCTCCTGGCTGAAAGCTGGGTCTTTGGCGTGCTCCTGGCTCTCTGTCCGCTGGGTGGCCTCAGAGGGGCCCTAGCTGGACTCGGTGTCACCAACCTCCAGGTCCTGGGAAGAGCCTCTGGTCGGTGGACTTTCCACTTGTTTCCTGGGAAGAACCCGCAAGGTTCAGACACGTTTTCTCAGCCTCTGGGAGCAGTGGTGCTGTCGGTGTGGAGTTCAGGGCTCAGGCCTTCGATAGGCTGCTGGGGTCTGCTCCCCGCGCCCCCGCGGGGGTGAGCCAGCGTCGGTGCATGTGGACAATGAGGGGTCCTCTCTCCAGCTCACTCCTCTCTGGGACTTGCCGCACATGCTCACTCCCGGGGGCCCCGTCCAGAAAGATGGGTCTCCCCCCGAGGGCCAGCCACCTGCACTCACACTCCCACCCCACGGGCCACGCTCAGGGGAGTTAGAGCACAGGGAGAGCCAATCCCCCTCTTCACCTACAGGCGCCTCCCCCCCCCCCCCCCCGGCCTCTCGGGGAGGCCTCGCCCCCATGCTGGTCACACAGCCCCTAAGGGAACGCCCACAAGCACCCCAGCCCCGGAGGTGAAGTGTTGCTCCCCCATCCACCTGCTAACACTCAGTCCCAGTCCCAGCGGCGACCTCGAGCTAATGGAGCTCAGCCAGAAGCCATGCTGCCCGGGAAACCGCAGACGCGCTGAGCCCCTGGCAGGGGAGCAGGCCTGGTGGGGCAGCAGGCACTGTCCCCCCCTCCCCCGGGACAGACCGCACGCCACCAGCTGACAGGGCTGCTCTGGGACCAGAGGGAGCAGGACAAACACACGGCCCCGCGGGAACGCTGTGTGACTCGGGGATGAGCCCCGTGCAGGCCACTGACAGTGCGAACCTCCATCCGCTGCCGGCTGCCCGCTGCCCCCTCCCTCAGGTCACTGACACCTGGAGGGTCTGGGCTTTGGGCCTCCAGGTGAGGCGCAGGCGCAGTGCTAGGCTCTGTCCCCTGAGAAGACCCCAGAAGGATGGGGCAGGGCAACACACTCCCCCCTCAGCTCTGCACCGAATATCTCCCTCTTCCTCCCCTTGTGTGCGCAGCTGGGCGCCCTGTGGGCCAGAGGCAGGAGCAGCGGTCCTGCCCATCGTCTTCTGAAGGCCACCTGGGGGTGAGGCCTGGAGTCGAGGGCCCCCAGGGGCTTGGGCAGGGCTGGGGGAGAGGCGAGAGTCCCAGCCCTGCTCTTGGCCTGCTGGCACCCGCTGACGGCCCACAGCTGCTAAAGCTCTCAGCACTAACCAGCACCTCGGGGCACAGGTGAGGCAGGCCTGCCCAGCAGAGAGCAGGTGGCACTGCTGGCGGAGGCGGCCACGGGACCAACACCACTGAGGCTGGGTGACCGGGGCAGTGGCAGGCTTGTACCCTCCTTCTACTTCCTCCACTGCCAGCCCGGGGCTGGCGGACGCAGAGCTGCCCAGAGGTGGGGAGGGGACCGCCCCCAGCCGCCCTGGCCTGGCAGCCCTCCCTTCCGCTCCGTTTCTGCCTCCCTGAGGTCCCCGTGCACAGAGCAGGGTGGGCACTGCGGAGGCTCCCAGACGGGCCCGGCTCAGGCCTGTTCCCAGGGCGGTGAGTCAGGAAACCAGAGCCGGAGGCCGTGCTGCCCTTCAGGCCTCCATGTGGGGCCGACGGTCCCCAAGGCCAGGGGCCATGCCGGCCTGTCCAACCCCACTGCCCAGCACATGTGGAAAGTGATGCAAGCTGGGGCCTGCCCCCAGGTCCAGCCGCTGGAGCGATCACAGCTGGGGACAGCTGAGCCCTGCCCTCGCCAGCTGCCTGCCTCTCGCTGCCGAGAGGGCCCGTTCTCTCACGTGGAGCAGGGCAAGGGCTCCAGAGCCACAGGGCAGGCTGCTCGGCACCTCCCCACCCGGGAGACCCCTCTGGGGGAGGCCTGGTAAGGTGGCAGCGGTGTGGAGCAGGGGCTTGGGGACGGGGGGCGAGGGGCGGGGGGGCCTGGCGGTGCCCTGAGGGGAGGGCGGCCGCTCTGCAGGTGGCACTGCATCCTCATCAGGTGGTGGAGGGGAGAGCTGCTCTCTGGGCACCGCTCCTGCCCAACCAGCCGCAGCCCTGACTGCTCTGCCCGTTGCCTGCCCAGGCCCACGAGGGGGCTCCTGGGGCTGGGCTGGGGCCTTCTCAGACCCTCCTGAGGTGTGCCCTCCTCCCAGCACAGCTTGCCCCCTTCACGGGGGTGAGGGGGGGCCGAGGCCCCAGCCCCTCACTGGCCCCACTGTGAAAGGGGAACCGCTGGGGTGGGGTGGCTCCCATCCAGCCTCTGGGGGGTGGGCTGGCACCTAGCTGTTGGCCCCACTCTGTGGCCTGGTCTCAAAGCTCCCCCAACTATGGCCTGTCGCCCCAACACAGGGTCACACTAAGCCAGTGGTGGGGTCATGAGGCCAGCACCCCCTGAAGCCCTTGCCCAGGCTGGAGGGGGCCTGGTGCCAGGCGTAAGGGTGGTCTTCCCAGCAGACCCCAGGCAAGTCCCAGGTGTGCGCAGTCCCGACCCCCCGCCTCCCCCTTCCGCCCGGTGCCCACGGAGGCTGCTGTCAGAGCCCACGTGCCAGACAGGTTTTTATTCCGCGCGGTCCCTGCGGCCCCTCCAGGGTGTAAGAGGCACTACGGGTGGGCCCCTGGACAGACCCACAGTCAGCAAGTCCTCTGGCCCCTCCTGGGCAGCGGGTCCAGCAGCAGCCATGCCGCGGGCCGCCCCAGGCTCTGCTCCTCCGCAGCCGCTCCGGTGCTCAGGGCGCGGGTCCCGAACCGGGGCCGTCGCCGGGGCCCTCGGTGGCCACGCTGGACCGGCTCTTGCCCTTCTGGAGCGTGTAGGCCGACGGTCCGAGGCGCAGGATCTTCCCGCTGCCCAGGCACTCCTCCCCCTTGTAGAACACGGCGAACTGCAAGGAGGGGCCGGGTCACCACAGCGGGCAGCCAGGAGCCGGCCTGAGGCTGCTGCTGGGGGCGGGGGCGGGGAGGGGACAGCTCTGCCAACCTGCCCTGCCGGGCCTAGGCCCCTGTGGCGGGCGAAGCCAGCAGGGCCGTGGCTGGGAGAGGAGGCAGGTGCAGGCGGGGGCCCGGCTCACGGCCTGGCCCGGCCTGTGCCCAGGTGCTCGGGTGGGAGGAACGGTGCTGCCCTTCCAGCAGGAAGGCGGGCCACCAGCCCGTGGGCGCCACCTGACAGCCGCTAAGCGCGGGCTAGAGCCGCTGCCACGCCAAGGCCGGGCCAGGCGACGGAGTCCCGCCTCCCTCTGGGGCAGAGCGCGGGCCAGGCTGCCACTCACCTGTCCCAGGGCGAGGGCCCGCACAGCCTTCACCGCCGTCACCCACACTGTGCCGTCCTGGTTGAGGGTCAGCACGCAGGGCACTGGAGGCAGAGAGGGGCCTTGAGGGGCACTGGCCTGGCCTGTGTGGTCAGCCTCAGGCCCTGCCTTCCCAGGACCCTCCCTTCCTCCTCCCAGAATAAGCGGAGCTGGGCTCTGCGCCCAGGCCTGCCTCCTGGTGGCTGGCGGGAAGGGGCTAGAATGCTACACAATCCCAACCATGGGGCTCTGCTGCCCAGGGCCCAGCCTGAGGCTCTGGGCGATCCCACCGCTCAGTCACCTAGCGCCATCTGGTGGCAGAAGCGGAAGTGGCACTCCATCATCTTGTCCCGGACCAGGGCTGCAGGCGGCTCCTCCGCGATCCAGTGCACGCGGTTGGTCCGCAGCAGGTCCCTGTACAGGGCCGGGTGGTCCGTCCGGGGGGCCTGCAGGGGAACCGAGGACCGTGGTGGCCTGGAGCCCTGAGCGGAGCGGCCTCGCTGCCCCTCTCAACAACGCTAACAGCCCGCACTGACGAGTGTCCGCAGTGGAAATGCCGGGGACGCCCTCAGGGGCCTTTGACCCCGTTCTGCAGAAGCGGGAACTAGGCACAGGTCCTGGCCACACTTCGCCAGCAGGGGCGCCGCGCCGACCCCACGACCTGCCACTGCTCCGCAGAGACGGCGGGACCCTGCGTGCCAGCCCGTCGAGGCCCTGATGCCACCTCCTCTCCACGGGCCTTCACCCCCAACCACCTGTCGTGTCCTCGTTACTCGGAGGAATGGCATCTACTCACAGGGGCCGATGTGGCTAATGAGTGGCCAGCGTCCGGGAGAGCCCAGGGACACCGTAAACGACACCCTGCGCTCTGGGCCGGCCCAGGGGTGCAGGAGGCAGGACGCCCATCAGCCTCACACGGGCTCTGCCAGCAGACTCGGCAGCGCCTGCAGGGCCAGCCACTCACCACGAACACGTCGCCCGTGGCGCCGTCCTTCTCCACCACGTACCAGGGCTCGCGCAGGCCGCCGATCCGGGCCCTCTGGCCTAACGTGTACAGGAACCAACCTACGGGGCGTTCTCAGTGAGGGGCACGGTCCCCCCCACCACCCCACGCCGACAGGGGACGGGGGGGCGGGGCTCCGTGGACACCGAGGGGCCACCGGAGAGGCCGGGGTTCCAACACCAGGTCAGCCCTGAGCCCGAGCGCGTCCATCCCTCATCGGGCCTGGGTGCCTTGCCCCTGCACAGAGCCCTGCAGGACACCAGGCCAGGAAGCAGGCGATTCCCCTAGAAGGGGCTGGGCCCCTCGTGCTGAGCCGCCATGCGGCTGCGGTGACATAGGTGCCTCCCGCCCACGCACGACCCACAGCAGGGCTGCCCCTGGCTTCTGTGCCCAATCCCTCCCGACAACCTCTGGGCACCCCCACAACCAACCACAAGACCAGAGGCCAGGCCACTCTCCACCCTCTCTCCTCCCTCCCGCGACACGCAGGCGCAGATCACCACAGCTGCCTCACTGAGTGGGCAGCCAGGACGGGCGGGGAGCACCGGCAGTTCTGTCCCTGGCAGGTGGTCACCCTCCTGCTGCCACTGCCACACGCAGGAGCCCATGTCAACGCCGCCGCCCGCCGTCCATGCCTCCCCCACCCGCCCGCAGCTGACTCTCGAGCTAAGGGACCGACAGCCGGCCGCCTAACCGCCCCGCGCCGCCCCGCGCCCAACTCCAGGGTTCACGACCAAGAGCAGCGGAGGCTGGTCTCACCTTTGTGTGTCCCCAGCACGGTGCCGTCTTCTATGGAGATGAAGTGCCCGGGCCTCGGCTGTAAGTACTGAACACACACCTGTCACTGCGGCCCCGCCCCGGGCAGGGGGGCTGTCCCCGCAGCGCGGCCACTCACCTGCAGGATGAACTTTTCAAAATTCCTCTTGCCCACGAAGCAGATGCCCATGCTCTGGAAGGAGGGGCGGCGGAGGTGAGGGCAGCGGAGGGTCAGCCCGCCCCGGGCTGGCCGTCCCCACCAGCACCGACACCAGGCCCCGCCCACAGACACACGTGCTGGGGGCAGCCCCCCAGGTGGGTCCTGTCCCCGGCCCGGGGCCTGCCAGCTAAGCAAGCACACGCGTCCCCCCTAAAGCCGCTCAGGCCTCAGGCCACTGCCCACGCGCAGGAGGCCAGCGCCGAGTCCCTCGGGAAAGGCCTAGGTCCCAGCCGGCACACCCCGAGCTGGAGCCGCTCTCCCTGTGCCCTCAGCACACACTTCCACTCGTCCTGAGGTTTGTGTCTAGAACGTGGGTCGCGGGGCGGCCCCCTCGGCTCCTCCCAGTCACACTCAGACACGGAGCCGGGGGAGGGGCAGGGCTGGTGGCGGGTGGGTGGAGGGAGCAGTGACCTGCTGACAAAAGGCCCAGGAGGGAGGACAGGAGGGGCGGCTTCGCTAAGCTACCTCCGCCTGCCTCGGGCACCCAGCCCCACCGGCTGCACCGACCCACCACGCACAGGCTTTCTCAAGGGGCCTCTGCACATGCTGGTCACACTCTGCAGTCCCCCCAACTGTCTACTTAACACTGACTCCCACTCATCGTCTAGGCCAGTGATGGCGAACCTTCTGAGCTCGGCGTGTCAGCATTTTGAAAAACCCTAACTTAACTCTGGCACCAGGGGAGTTATGGGGGGAAAAAGAGGAACAAATGTAATAATGTGAACAATAAAGATTTAATTAATAAAAACAAAAAAAAACACAACTCTGGTGCCGTGTCACATACAGAAATTTTTTGATATTTGCAACCATAGTAAAACAAAGACTTACATTTTTGATATTTATATTATATATGTAAATGCCATTTAACAAAGAAAAATCAACCAAAACAATGAGTTCGCGTGTCACCTCTGACACGTGCCATAGGTTCGCCATCACTGGGCTAGGCCTTAGGCCAGCTGTCTCCCAGAGGCCCTGCATCTGCGTCAGCGCCCACGGCTGTACCCCCGGCCCCCCGCCCTCCCCCCACCCCGGCCCAGCAGTGACTGCCTGCTGGGAGCTCCCTGAAGGCAGCCCCCAGGCAGCAGCACCGCCTGGCTCCCAGCACCGACAGGCACGCACCAGCCACGGATGGAGACGGCGACCACGTGCAGGAGTCCCGTGCCCAGCCCTCACTGCCTGCTCCCTCCTGGCGCAGGGCCAGGAGCACCCTAGGAGCTACCAAGGCCGCTGGGAAAGCTGCTCCCCCCTCCCCAGGGGCCGAGCAGGGGAGGAGGGAGAAGTCCCAGCCAAGGTGCTCTCTGAAGGCCCCAGCGCCTCCTGCCAAGCCCGGAACCAGCTTCCCAGGGGCGGCCACACTCCGGTCCTACCTCCTTCTTCTGCAGCACATGATGCAGTCTGTTCTCAGCAGCTATTTTCTTTACAAAATCCTTCGTGAGCCCCCCCAGGGGAAAGAGGGTTCTCCGCAGGGCCTCCTGGGGAACCTGGCTGAGAAAGAAGGTCTGGTCTTTACAGCTGTCAGCTGCTTGCAGAAGCTTTACCGCTGCCAAGAGGAAGAACAAGAGACGTTGCAGGAGTGAACATTGTCGCTCTCAGTGCCGCCCTCTCATCCTCAGACACAGCGCCCCCGTCTGGCAGAGCCGTGCTCACACTTAGCCAGGGAGGCTCAGGAAGAGCCGCGGGGGGTCAGTGCGGCCTTCTCCCCAGATTCTCCGCTGTTAAAACACGTTACAGGGAAGGGAGGGCTCACAGGATGAGGAACTCTATCCCAGTTCCCACCTTCAGGGCAATATTTTCAAAGAAGAAACATCCCATGGAAAACCAAAGTTAGAATAAACGCAGCCCATGGGGAGCTAGGGGGGAGGGAGGGGGTTGGCCAGAGCCAGGCTGCAGGCCGTCCTGGCCGTGGCAGGCGCACTGAGCCCGCTGTGGCCGAGGGCACACCTTGGGGCATCGGCTCGGCGTAGATGCACGCTCTCCGGGTGCACGTGTCTGTGTCAGAGCCCAGCGGACACTGTCAGCTCCCCTGCGGCTCCTCTGCTATTCGCTAGCCCTGATGAGGGCGCTTCCAGGGACCAGATACAGTGCAGAGTGCGGATCCTGGCCCCGTGGCCCCGGCTCAGCCCGGGCTGCTGTTCCTCTAGGTAGCAACTGCGGGACTGCCCCCTCTGCCCACTGACCAATGAAGTAACTAATGTCGTGCCCCTCTGCCCACTGACCAATGAAGTAACTGATGCCGTGCCCTCTGCCCACTGACCAATGAAGTTAACATGCCATGCCAGCGTGCGGCGTCCTTCCCCACTTCAGGCCCACACTCTGGCAGCCTCGACACGCTGCACTCAGCTACCCGCGTGACATGCTCTCTGTGCAGTTCCTGTTTTCCACCCGGGACCCCAAGCCTGATTCTCAGGTTAGCGGTGTGGGCAGACGTATCCCCATTTCAGACGAGGACACTGACGCTCAGACACCTAACTGACTGCCACAGCTCAAGCCTTGAGAACCTGACGGAGCAACAGGGCCTGATCCAGCTGCGTCGTCAAATCTCTCAGGCCCGGGACCTGCGAATCCCCCAGGGTCTAGGGGCGCCTCACGATCCAATGTCCCACTGCCGGCCGGGCCCGCCGGGCTCTCCTGGTGGCGGATGACCACCCCCAGGCCCGGGAAGTGACCCCCCTGAGGAACCCCAATCGAACAAGCCGGCCTGGAGCACCCCGAGTGGGGCAGGGACGCTCAGCAAGGACCCGGCGCTCTTCGAAGCCGCCCGCCTGGTCTAGGTAATCGAGCTCTGACGGCACGTCACTCACCATTTCGAACTTCAAATCGGTTTCTGAAAAGCCCCTCTGGCCTCTTCACGTGCTTCTGCTGGAAGACCTCCTCATCCTCCAGGGACGTCCGTGCGTAGTGACCTGTGGCAACTGCGTCCGCTCCTGGGAGGTTTACAAACACAAGGGTCAGGTTTTGGACCTGCGCTCGCTGGTCGTGGCCGCACCAGCCAGGGCTGCCACCCCAGGAGGGTTCGCCTTCTCCAACCGAGACCCCGGGGAAGGGGCCTCTGAAACGACACGGCGTTGCTACAGGCCTCAGGGCATCTTTACGGGCCTTTCAGAAGTTACTGTCTATCCACTCATTCATTCCAGCTCAAGGGAAATCAGTATAAGAAACACTGAAATGGGCTTTATGTCCTTAATTTAGTACAAGAACTTAGTATAAGTTAAAATACTATCGCGATAACGACAGACCACTTACAAAGAAATGCTAATGACGTGGGAAAAGGCTGATGCCGCGGAGGGAAAAAGTATGAAGACTGTGACCCCACTTTTTAAATGTACAGAGGAAGACAGTGCCCTGAAGTCCATGCCTCTGATTCTGGGAAGTGAAACTCGACATGACATCCCCCTCCTCTTGCTGTTCTGTGGTTTTAAATTTTCTTTGCCCTGGCTGGTGTGGCTCAGTGGATAGAGCGCCGGCCTGCAGACCAAAGGGTCCCGGGTTCGAGTCCAGTCAAGGGCACATGCCCGGGTTGCAGGCTCGATCCCCAGTAGGGGGGAGTGCAGGAGGCAGTCGATCCATGGTTCTCTCTTATCACTGATGTTTCTCTCTCTTTCTCCCTCTCCCTTCCTCTCTGAAATCAATACAAATATATTTAAAAAAAATTTTTTTTCTTTAATAATAAATACATACAGGGGTGAGAAAAGGAGGTTAATTATAATAATTAATAATACAATAATAAATAATAATACTAGTATAAACTCTTTCCCACATTCACGGCTTTGCCCGCCCTGCGTGACTTTCATCCCAGCGAGGACATCAGCGCGGTCGATGTCTGCCTTCCACACGACGCACAAGCGAAAGCCCTGCCCAGGCCCATCCGCGCCTCACTGTGAGGACCGGCCTCAGTTTTCTCAGAGGCCTTTTCTGGCAGGTGCAGCGAAACCAGCTCCGTGGGAAGACACAGGAACGGACACTTGCAGATGAACTACCTGAAAAGGGACATTTAGGAAGAACACACTACTACGTCCTGGTTGAGTTTCTTTTTATTTTATTGACTGCAGAGCGAAAGGACGCAGGGGGGGAGAGAGGGAGGGAAGGACATCAGTTTGCTGTTCGACTTATTTACACATTGATTGGTTGCTTCTTGTATGCGCCCTGCCCAGGAATCGAACTGGTGCACCTCTGGTTCCTGGTCGGTGCTCAACCACTGAGCCACACCGGCCGGCGCCCTGGCTGCTTTCCTAACAGAGCTGAAAGCCTGGACCCTCCTCCCCAGCGCACAGGTGCTGTGGGCGGCGCAGGCGCCTCTGAGGAGCTGAGCCTGCGTGTGCTTTTGGTCCGGAAGGCTCGGCCCACGACGGTGGCCCCGGGCTCTGCCGAGGTGACGGAGCCTCAGCCTCCACAGGCAAGCGCTCACCCTCAACAGATGCTGTGCCTCCTGGGCACCTCTCCTGCTCGGGGCAGGTCTGCCCCTGGCGCCCCGCCTGAACGTGACCCAAGGCCGTACACCTGCGCATTGCTGTGAGGACCCGCAGTAGCCCCTCAGTCCATCGATGGTCTGTTTCCAACACACTCACGTCGAACTCAACACTCCCGCACCTGTCACTCCTTCCTGCCTGCGCCGCCACTAAACGGAGCCCACTGGACGCGCCTCCCCGGGGCAGACACGCGGGCCCTCCCCTCCTCAGACGTCTGGGGCCACAGGGCGGGCTCGGGCCACAGGGGCTCGGCGGACAGACACAGACACGGTCAGTCAGCTCGAGGCAACTCACGGCCCGACCTCACCTTCCTGCAGCGGACGTGGAGATGAGCAGGCAGCACTCGCCTCTACGCAATTCCATGTTTTTAAAGCGAGTCCCACATTCCGATCTAAGATTGTTTTGTTCTTTGCTTCCGTGGGCATCTTTTCACTACCAGATCCATGACGCAGCTTCCGTCACCCTCAGCTGCAGGTCACGTGGACCTCAGCTCTGCAAGCTGCTCTGTCCCCGTCGTAGTCACCAGTGCTAACGGGACAGAGGTGCAGCAGCCCTGGGCCTCCCCGGGTGGCGTGCATGTGGGCAGACAGGGCGGGTGAGCGACGATGGGACGGGTCAGAGTGGAAGGCCTGTGCCGGGCCTTGGGGAGCTCTCTGTGGTGACCCGCCTCACGGGGAAGGCTCCGCGTGAAGGGTGGGAGGCCCCACAGGCAGCTGAGGAAGGGGACGCAGGGACAGGCTGCGGCCAGCTGTCCACAGCAGCAGAGCCCTGGGTGCAGATGCTTTAGAACAGGCCACAGAGACATGGATTCAAACCAGAGCAACAGGACAGAGACCCAGGACCCGGAGTCGGGGAAAACAGGGACCACTTTTGGAAGCAAGAGAAGAGACCTCAGTAGGACCACGGGGCAGGCGGGGGGGAGGGGGTGGCGGCAGCCATAGGACTGCACGCCACCTCCTGGGCCCGATGTGGGTGCCTGAAACATCCGAGAACCACACCCCCATCGGAGGGAGCTGCGCGGAGAAGGATGACCCAGAGGGGCCTCGACCCTGGCCCGCCTCCGCGGGGCAGGTGCCTGTCCCTGCCTGTGGCCACTGGGAGCCCTCCTCCCAGGGCGCCCCGTGGGCACCAGGAAGCCCCTTCTCCGGGGAGACACGCACTGTTCCCGATCTCCCGCTTCCTGTCCTAAAAGGTGGAACTGAGTACGAGGTCTGGCTCTGGCTTTCTCTGAAGATCCTACGTCTTTTTAAGGAAACAAACGAAGACCATCCGACCCACTCACCAAGGTTATCCACCGCGTAATGGAAAAAGCACTTGAACTTGATGTGCTTGTTGCAGACGATGTCAGGGTTGGGAGTCCTTCCTTTCTCGTATTCATTTAGAAAATCACTGGAATGAAAGGAAACAACGTTCACTCCTAAGCGTGAAAGCGCCTCAAAGACACATCCGATCCGCGAGCTGCGTTTCTCCTTGTCTCACCAGAACCGCAGCTTTCACTAAGGGGAGCCTCGCACACGCCGTTGTCAGCGTTTCCATGGAACGTGTTTAAGGTGCTGGGACACCGGGGGGCAGCGAGTCCCCTCAGCAGGACACTCTGCCCTCACCTACAGCACCTGACCCACCTGGACCCAGAGGCTCCGCAGCTCAGGCAGCGGGAGGTGGTGCCCGGCCTGCTCCCTCTCCCCACAGGAGGCCCGGCCGGGCAGAGCGATGTTTGGGAACAAAAAGATGTACAACCTCGGTTCCTCATGGCGGGACCCACGGTCTAGTGGGGAGGAGGGTGTTATCTTGAAAAGAGGAAGTGGGGGCGAGTGGCAGGTGGGAAGTTCCAGAGAGTGAAAAGCTGCACTTCCCAGGGGGGGGGCTTCCCTTGCCCTTGAAACAGCAGAGGAGCAGGGAGCCCCTCACTGGGACACAGGGGGACAGGGAGACCCCTCACTGGGACACAGAGGGACAGGGAGCCCCTCACTGGGACACAGAGGGACAGGGAGCCCCTCACTGGGACACAGAGGGGAAGGGAGCCCCTCACTGGGACACAGAGGGACAGGGAGCCCCTCACTGGGACACAGAGGGACAGGGAGCCCCTCACTGGGACACAGAGGGGCTGGGAGCCCCTCACTGGGACACAGAGGGACAGGGAGCCCCTCACTGGGACACAGAGGGACAGGGAGCCCCTCACTGGGACACAGAGGGACAGGGAGCCCCTCACTGGGACACAGGGGGGCAGGGAGACCCCTCACTGGGACACAGAGGGGAAAGGAGCCCCTCACTGGGACACAGAGGGGCAGGGAGCCCCTCACTGGGACACAGAGGGGCTGGGAGCCTCTCACTGGGACCACAGGGCAGTAGTGAAGACAAGTGCCCATGTGTAGCTCGGGACTGTTGAAAGTGTGGCTGGACCTTGTTGCTAGAGGCAGGGTCGGGGCTGGAGTGGCGGCCTTGAACAGGCTGGCGCCTGGGGTGATTGATGGCGTCCAAGGGGCAGTGACGTGGACAGAGAGGGTTACGCCCCAGGGTCAGGAAACCCTCGGGTTCAGGGCAGGCTCAGTCCTGATTCGGCCACTCGGCGCCTGAGCCTGGGCATTTACGTGACTTCCCTAAGCTCGGCTCTCTCACCCTTTAAATGGGACAGTGCCCTCTAAGGTTATGGTAAGACTTAAACAAGGGTCTAGGGCAGCCGTGGGCAAACTACAGCCCGCGGGCCGGATCCGGCCCGTTTGAAATGAATACAACTAAAAAAAAAAAAAGACCGTACCCTTTTATGTAATGATGTTTACTTTGAACTTATATTAGTTCACACAAACACTCCATCCATGCTTTTGTTCCGGCCCTCCGGTCCAGTTTAAGAACCCATTGTGGCCCTCGAGGGCCCTCAAGTCAGAAAGTTTGCCCACCCCTGGTCTAAGTGCTTAGCACAGTGTCTGTACATGACTCAGCAACACACGCAGCTCTCGTGGTTCGCATTACTGAAAAGCCACACCTGGCCGCCAGGTGCAGGCTCAGTGCCGGGAGGAGACTGCAGGAGAGCAGCTGCGGGCACGGCGCGGGCACGGGCACTCGCCTGCAGGCGCCTTCCGGGGAGACCTCGGCATGAGCTCCGGTGCTGTCAGCAGCAGGAACACCTCAAGGCTCAGGAGGAACAGACTCCTGGCAGGTGGCCTCCCGCAGAGCTCCCAGGGAGCTGGGGCCTCCAGCATAGTCTTTGGCGCCCCTGCCCAAGGGCGCTGGCAATGCCTCCCGGGGCAGGGTCCACGAGGCGGGACGTCTCCGCGCCTGCCCGCGCTCACCTGAACACGTCGTTCCAGTACTCCTTCACGTAGGACACCTGGTGGAAAGGGATGTCTAAGATCTGGCAAACCCTGTAGGCGTCTTCGCAGTCTTTATCGGCGGTGCAGACGCCATGCTCGTCCAGGGAGTCCCAGTTCTTCATGAACACCCCCGTCACCTGGTAACCTGGGGGAGGCAGGAGTCAGTGGAGAGAACGTATGGCAGGAGCCTTGGGCAAGGGCAGGGTTTCTGAGCCCCGTGCCGGGCGCTGCTGTGCCTGGCAGTCCCTGCTTTGCCTTCAGAGCAGATGCACACCCCAGTGCGAGCCCCCCCCCCCAGCCGCTCACTCCCCTCTCCGCCCCTCCCCTCCCCCGGCAGCACTTCCTGGGCCTCCATGGCACAGCGACTGCTGCACTGAACTGAGCAGAATGGAACCGTTTCGCCGTCGTGACCCACCCTGGTCGCAGTGCCTGGCACGTGGCGTGAGCAAACGTGTGCCGAGTGTGTGAAGAGCAGGGATTCAACACAATTTTCAAAACAAATAAAAACCACCTTCCGTTGTCAGGAGAGGGAACTCATTTCTAAACTTATTCCCAGGCACCATCTGAGATGTAGATTCTACGACCTCAGATATCGAGACGACTGAAATTTTGGCTATTTTATGACCCATATTTTTGCCCTTTTCTGTTGTGACAAACCACCCAACCTTAGCCTTACGCCGTCTTCTCCAGCCTCACGGGCGCCACCTGCGGGAGAAGCCTGTTTCTCTGGAGGCGGCTCAATGCCACGGGGCGGGCATGAGTGGAAAGGCTCCACGCAGGGCTCCAAGGACAGACCCCACGGCAACGCTTGGCCTGAACTAAAGGCCACGTTCACCAGACTCCCCGCCCCGGCAGGTGGCCAGGCCTCCCCCTCCGCTTCCCACACACCAGCTCCACAGTGGGCCCCGGGGCTTCCTGCCTGTGCCCCGCCAAGGGCAGAGGCTGTCCCCCCAGCACCTGGCTGTCCCCAGCGCAGAGCAGGCGCTTAAGGTGCTGGTGGAACGAGGGACTCCCCACACGGAGGTTTGGACCCACCCCGTCCAGCCGCCTGCCTGCCGGACCCGCTGCCACGGCACAGGCTTGTCCACTGGATGGGACCCTGGAGCCGGCAGCCCTTCCCTCCCAGGGCACAGGAGGGTGCCCGCCCTCCCAGGAGGCGGGGAGTCCTGGGTGCCAAGGTGAAAGCGCCGCTCTCTGCCTCTTCCCTCAGCTCCCAGGGAGGCTGGCTGTGAAGCTGGAGGCGGGGTCGCGTCTTCCCCGAGACAAGAGTAAAACAACACCTGGTCTCCCCCCACCCCCCCACCAGGAAACCAGGACTCGCGCTGTCTCCCCAGCAGAACCTGAGCCCCTAACCCAGTGGTCGGCAAACCGCGGCTCACGAGCCACATGCGGCTCTTTGCCCCCTTGAGTGTGGCTCTTCCACAAAATACGTGCGGGCGGCACGTACAGTGCGATTGAAACTTCGTGGCCCACGCACAGAAGTCGGTTTTCGAAAGGAGATGGACGAACCAAGTATACAGAGGAGTGTGGGTGGGAGAGCTGGAAGGGGTCGACCTCAGCGAACGTACCTCAATCAGATTGAGGACGTTTTTAGCAAAGGCCAGCTTAGGAGCACCCTAATTAAGTTAATAACAATGTGCCTCCCTATAGAGTTTAAGTTTAAAAAATTTGGCTCTCAAAAGAAATTTCAATCATTGTCCTGTTGATATTTGGCTCTGTAGACTGATGAGTTTGCCGACCACTGCCCTAACCTAACAGCTCCCCTCCCTCATCGGGGCTCGGCCGGCCTCCCCACCGGCTGCCCGCGCTCCTGCAGCCGCCTTCCTCCCCTCCAGCTGGCAACCCTCCTCGACCTTCGTGTCTTCCGCCTCCGCAGCTCCCTCCTGCGCTGGCAGCCGCCCTTTGCTCTCACGCCTTGATTTACTCTCCGCTCCTGCAGGCTGGGTACTGATGACCTGGTTACTGATGACGTGCACCAGCGGCCGCGATGACGCGTGACCCCTGGGCGTGTGACGTCACTAACCCTCCTAGTGACCTGTGCCCGGCGCTGGGTGACCCCTGGGCGTGTGTGGCGTCACTACCCCTCCCAGTTACCTGTGCCCGGCGCTGGGTGACCCCTGCGCGTGTGTGACGTCACTACCCCTCCCAGTGACCTGCGCGGTCGTCGTGTCCCTTTCCGGGAGCCTGCCCCGGCGGGGACCTGCCTTCCCTCTGCGCTCCTAGCCCGGTCCCCGCAGAACCGGGTGGGAGGGACCGCCGCCCGGCCCGGGCCCCTGGGCACTGCGCGCGGGTGCTTTTCCGAGACAGGAAGCGGACGGCGGTCGGTTCCCGTCGCCCTCCGCCCGCGGACAGGCGCCTCTCGGGGCGACTGCGCGCGGCCTCGGGGGGAGGTGCGGGCGCCGCCGTCGCCGGGCGCAGGGCTGGGACCAGCGAGACGCGCCCAGGGGGACGGGGTCCTGACTGGTCCCGACCCGGCGGGCGGCGAGGAGCGCGGCCACGCAGGCGCGAGCGGGCTCTCCACGCGGCGCCCTCACCTCTGCGCCGCAGCAGCAGCGCGGCCACGGCGCTGTCCACGCCGCCGGACAGGGCGCACACGACGTGCCGTGCCGCCAGCATCCGCGCCGCCTACTCCGCCACTGCGCCGCCGCTTCCGCACCGCGCCGGAAGTCCCGCCCCCACCGCGGTGCTCTGCGAGTGAGGCTCGGCCGGAAACGTGGGATCCGAGCGTCGCGTTCCGCCTGCAGGCCCTTCTAGGGCTTCCATTCCCGAGTTCCTTCTCTGCCCAGGCCGTGGTTTGAAAAATGTAGGAAGGAAATGGTAGAACAGGTCGGCACCACTGCTTGGCATGAAAATCCCGTTAGTCCTTTGGCGTCTGCAGATCCCCAGCGGACAGTGTTTAAACGTGGATAGTTACTAGGGCAAGCCATTTTCTTGAGAATGGAATGAGAGGAGGAAGGCCCCAGGGCCCCATTGCTGACAGCTGACAGCTGACAGCTGAGGAGTCATGGGGCAGGCGAGGGTGAGCTCCGGGGCGGGCGGGCGCGTGGCCGGGCTCTGTGGGTGGCAGAGTTACAAGGAAGCAGTTTCTTCTTGCATCTCCCAGGAGGGCTGGGTAGGCCCAGCACCTGGGCACCTGCCTTGGGCAGGCTCAGGAGTGCACACTCAGTTGAGTTGTGGCCATGGCCCTGTTGATGTCACTGGATTTGGGGGGCCTGGCTTAGAGGACATGTCTTCCTGGGCTGGCAGTCTGGTACAAAGTTAGGGTGGAAGGCCAGTTCCTGCCCAGCAAGGGGCTCTGGGTTTCTGTATGTGGCAGCCCACCCACGAAGGGAAGGATGCATTGGCGACAAGTTTTCTGCTGCTTCTCCATTAAATCTCTTAGCTGCTTTGTAGCTCCAAGTCTTTAACCTCCATGTAAATGCAGGTCTGTGGGTGGACCCACCATGGCAAAGACAATGCCAGCCCAGGCCCCTTGCCCACAGCGCTGTAATTCCATGGATTTCAGAGATGCCATACTCATGTGACGCAGGGCCTGCGGAGCCCAGGAAGGCGGCCATCCTGTGGCAGCGGGGAGCTCCCACCGCTGGACGGAAAGTGCTGCCCCGGAGCTCAGCGCTCCTCCTGCCCTGTGTGCGCGGGCAGGTTAGGGCCCAGGACAGCCAGGGGGGAGCAGGTGGGAAGGGGGTGCTTTACCTAACATTGGGTGGGGGCCTCTCCCACCTGCTTGAAGGAATTAAAGTCCAATGACTCGAACCGCAGGGACACTGCAGAGCAGGCAGAGCCCCTGGGCCCAGGCAGCCTGGGGAGGGAGGGCGGAGGAGGGGGCCGGGAACAGCAGCTCAGCCCTCGGTGCAGAGGACGGCTGGAGCCCCATTCGGCCCCTCTCCCACCAAACCTAAGCCCCCAGAAGACAGGGTGCATGAGCTTCGCACCCCACTGTATCCAGCAGAAACACAGCCTCCCCATATGAGTCCTCATAAATGCTTGTCCAGTGAGTTCGGTCCCAGGCCTCGGTCTTCTCCTGTGAACAGAGAGGCCAGGCGTCTGGTGACCCTCGAGGCACTAACTGCGTCCTGGTCCCGCTGCCGCCCCCGGAGCAGAGGGCGGGGAAGAGGAGAGCTGTGGGCCCACGGGTACTCTCAGCTTGGCGCCCCGCGTGCCCCTCCGGCAGGCCTGCCTCGGCTGGTGACTCGGGACAAGTCCAGGTGGGAACACAAACCTCGGGCATCTTCCCAGCGTCCCCTCCGGGCACCGCACGCCATCCCTGCTCCCTTCATGGTCCTACTCCTGGGACCACAGCAGTCGTCTTCCCAATGGGGGCTCACATCCCAGCGCCCTCCGTCAGCCCTCGGGGACCCAGGCTCCCAATTACAGCGTTTCTGACGGAAATTTCCTCACCAACAGGTATCTACACAGATCCATCTTTCAGGCCACACGCTGAGCAGGGGCCCTGAGCTGCCAGGGCTTCCCGCTGTCGCCCCCAGGCGGCTCCTGCTGGGAACACAGCCAGGGGCCACCCACAGCCCCCCTCCATGCTGCACCCCGCCCAGCCGCAGCCTCCTCAGGCCTGCAGCCAGCTCAGCCCAGTCCCTGGCGCCCACTGAAAGCGCAGACCGTTCCACCTGCCCCAGACCCCGGGCTACATTTAAACCCATTTTTATTCACATTTTTTTTGGTTACATTCCTGTGACTGTTAATAACTGGAGTTTATACCTTTGACCACCTTCACCCATCTCACCACCGCACCGCCGCCTCCGGCAGCCAGCAGTCGGCTCTGCCAGTCCTTTTAAGGTTCCTGTACCAGTGAGGCCCCTCGGGGCTTCTCAGCCTGGCCTCAACCAGCGCCGTGCCCTCGGCCCCCATCGGCAGCCACAGTACATTTCGAAGTTTGGACAATATAAATCTCACATCACATGCGGATTAGAATGATAAAAAGTCATGTATATTTGAAACCAAGATATGCTTTAATATATTTTCGCTTATTTTACAATTTAACTTAAACCTAGAATACTTAACTTTTATACAAACTTAGTTCTTAAAATAGTCATTTGCTATTTTACATAAAAAAGATTCATAAAGTTCATGTGGACTTCCGACGGGCACCGCGCAGGGAGTGGCGGCAGTGACCACAGGTGGCCAACGCCCCATCCCACAGCCCCCACCCCCGGGGAATTTCCCTGAGGTTTTTAAACCTTTTTCCAATATAATTTCTCCTAAAGCGGGCGTCTGAGGGCTGGAGCCACGCGCGGACGGTGTGTGCTCACAGGGAGACGGAGGTGAAGGCGGCTCTGCCCTCAGAACCTGAGGAGCGGCGAGTCCATGTTCTCCTTGTTGGCCTCGGGGCTCAGCTGGATCAGCGGCGAGCACAGGTCTATGAGCTGCGAGGGAAGGGGTGAGCAGGCGCCCTGCCGCGGGCCTCCCAGCCGTGCACCCTCCCAGGGGCACGGGGAAGCGGGAGGAAACGCCACCCCCCGAAGCACCTGGTCCCTCAACAGCTATGCCCCTCACCCCCGGGGCCTGGGCAGGACTCCTCAGGGGGCGGGAACTTGGAGCTCTGGCACCCAGGGATGAGGTGGGCCCGAGGCCTGCTGCCCTCGGAGGCCTCCAAGGCCACTCCAGGGTCACATGTCTGGGACTTGAGGAGCAAACCCAGAACCGAGACCCCCTGAGGCCAAAGCCGGGCCCTCCGCCGCCTCACCCGTCCCACCCTCACCCATCCCACCCGCCTCACCTGTCCCACCCCGGGGAGCGGCTTGGCCGTGGCTTTCCTGTCCGTGTCTGGGGTGTTCGCCAGGAGGTCAAGCAGAGGCCGACTTCCAGGTCCCGAAGCCACGGGAGCCTCTGGGGTGAGGCTCAGGTCGATGAGAGGGTGGTCGCCGAGGGGGCACCCAGTGCTTGGCGTGACGCGCTGGCCCAGCGGGACGTCCACGAGGACAGCCTGCAGGGGCACAGGGATTGAGGCACCGCTCGCGCTTCCTGCCCGTCACCGGGAAGCAGCTGGCAATGCCAGGTGCTCATGTTGTGGGAGCCGGGAGGGCGGGGATGGGCCCTGGGGAGAGCTGCCCGCCCCGTGCACCTCCCTCCTGCCAGTGGCCAACCCTGCTGCTCCCACTGAACTCACCCCCCCACTTCCCCTTCGACCTTGCACCCGGCCCCTCGGGTCACCGGGCACAGGCTGGCTCTGCGGCCCCACGACCAGGAGTCGTTTCCTTTACCTCTCGGGGGGCCGCCTCCTCAGGGGGCTGGGCCGCGTCCAGCACTCGCTCTGCGGCAGCACTTTCTGAAACGGCGGCCTCGCTCTTCTCTGGAGAAAAGCTGAGAGCCTGCGGCACAGCCGGAGAAAGACTCCCGTCCGAGGACACGTCGGAACCTGGGGCCACCGCCTGGCTGCCCCCGTTCCCCAGCGTAGCTCTGCGGGCGGAGGGAAAGCCTGTGAGTGGGAGTCTGTGCGGCTGGTGCTGGGCCTGCTGCCCCTCCCTGGGGCAGTTCATCATATCCCCTTGGAGCCTCCTCTTGCCTCCCTGCGGCCTCGTCTCGCCTCCCTGCGGCCTCGTCTCTCGCCTCCCTGCGGCCTCGTCTCGCCTCCCTGCGGCCTCCTCTCTCGCCTCCCTGCGGCCTCGTCTTGCCTCCCTGCGGCCTCCTCTCTCACCTCCCTGCGGCCTCATCTCTCGCCTCCCTGCGGCCTCCTCTCTCGCCTCCCTGCGGCCTCCTCTCTCGCCTCCCTGCGGCCTCGTCTCGCCTCCCTGCGGCCTCCTCTCTCGCCTCCCTGCGGCCTCGTCTCGCCTCCCTGCGGCCTCCTCTTACCTCCCTGCAGATGTCCTCCGGGGCTCAGATGACAGCTGCCGAGTGGACACGCACAGGGGAGAAGCCAGGGTCCTGGGCACGGTGCTAGGGGTCACCAATGGGAGGCCAGAGAGCCGACGGCCGGTGGGCGTGGGCAGGCCGGACGCGCGTGTGGTGCTGGCGGGGGTCCTGGCCGGCCCTGAGGGGCGCGGTGCGGGAGTGCTGTGGGCCACCCTGGGAGGACAGGACCGTGGAGCACAGCCGTCGTCACAGACCGAGGTGCTCACGCGGCGGGAAGCCCTGTTTCTGCAGAACAGCTTCCAGCAGCACAGCCAGTGGGTCCGTGCCTGCCGCCAGCCATGCCTGGCGTGGCCTCCGGTGCCTCCGGTGCCTCCGGGGCTAGGCCCACCGCTGTCCTCACAGGCGCCCGTCAGACGTGCCTGAACGTTACAGGGGCCTGAGGACAGCTGCACGGGAGGTCCGGAGACCGATGCCACCTTTACTGGCAGACAGCCCCACAGGACAGCAGGTTAAGGCCAGCAGAGCCGATGTGAACACAGATGCTTCGCCGGGGCACCTGTTCCCACGCGCCCCCCCCCCCCCCCCCCGCCGCCACAGGGCCTGTGGTTTATGTTGAGGCGGGGTCCAGTCGCTGTTGCTTTACAATCAGCAAGTCCGGGCCCCCGACACATGGGGTCGGGGAGGACACCCCCGGCTCCGCCATCTGTCCAGGAGGCTCTGCTCTCAGACCCTGACCCGGACCTGCACCCTCCCTGGCCGGGGACCTCCAGGCCGGGCAGGAGGGGCCGACAGCACGGCTGCCGCGCCCTGCGAGGCTCTCGAATCCGCCCTACGTCCCTCATCCCGGACGCTGGCAGCTCCGCCACACACTCCGGGGGAAGCAAGTAAAAATAAAGCCACAAGCCCTGACCGGATTGGTTCAGTGGATAGAGCGTCGGCCTGAGGACTGAAGGGTCCCAGGTTTGATTCTGGTCAAGGGCATGTACCTTGGTTGCGGGCACATCCGCAGTAAGAGGTGTGCAGGAGGCAGCTGATCGATGTTTCTCTCTCATCGATGTTTCTAACTACCCCTCTCCCTTCCTCTCTGTAAAAAATCCATATATTTTTAAAAAAAATAATGCCACAAACAAGTGGCATCCAGTCACCCTGAGAGGCAGGTGCTGTCCTCGCTGCAAAAAGGAAGCAGGGCGGTGGGTGAGCAGGCGGCCGTCTGCGGGGTGGGCTCCCGCTGCGCTGGAGGGGACAGCAAGCACCGGCCCCCCCATGACGTGCCTCAAGTCCACAAGCAAGAAGCGGGTGCCAACGCGCAGGCAGCCCAGGCTGCCGGCAGAGCCAGGACCAGGCCTCCCCGGTGTCCGGACCCAGGGCTTGTCTGGCCCACCCAACCCCGAGGTCCAGCAGCGCTCCCACCTTGGCCTCAGGCGGGCGCAGGCCAGGACCCGCCTGGGATCACTGCCCCCGCCCCCCCCCCCCACCTTTATGGCACAGGACTGAGCAGGGCTGGGGCTGTGTCCCCCCGTCACCCGTCCTCAGCGAGCAGCGGGGACCCGGTCATCAGAAAGGGCGGGAGGGGGGCATGCTGACGCCTTTGTGTTCACACTGGCTCTGGTGGCCTTACCCTGGATGTCTTCCCGGGGAGCATCTGTGCCAATAAAGGCGACGTGGGTCTGCACGCCTCCCGCATGGGCCAGACCTCCCAGGGCTGTGCACACACATTCCTACGCGGGACCTGCAGTGCTGGGCTCAGTACCACCCACCACACGGCTGAGGGGTCAGAAGTGTGGGGCACCGACACCAGCTCTAAGCAGGAATGGGAGCTGGGACTCAACCGCGTCTAGGGACCAACCAGCGGTCCCCACTGCGGGACAGATGGGTCACGTGGGAGGCCTGCGGGGCAGGTCTGCACCCAGAGCCGTTGGAATTTCTGGGGCTGCACGGGCACCCCAACGCTGTGAAGGCGGCTGCGCCGTGCACCCGGCTGAGACCACCCCTCAGCCTGGGGTCTGTGCTGCCAGAGGCGAGACCGTACCCGTGACCCTTGGTGGATGTAGGAGGGGCCCCGGGAACCTGGGCGAAGGCGCACAGTGTGGCGGGCGGTGGGGCCTGCGTTTGCCGAGCACTGTGAGCCGTCAGCAGGTGGTTCGTGTTTATAGTCACATCGGTCATTACCTTCCCGCCGACGTGCAGGACTGCAGCCTCCGTGCCCCAGAGAACCTAGGCGTCGTGCTGTCACCTGAGGGGGAGAGGAGGTCAGTCAGTCCAACAGATCAGGCGGCCAGGCCCTGGCTGGGCTCCTCGCTGCCCGGGCCATATTCCCAAGGTGCCGGGGGTGGCGTGAAAAGACGCTCAGACAAGCCCCCGGGGGACCCACCCCCAGGCAGGGCTTCAGGCCCAGCGCTGGTGCCGAAGAGGGGCCCTGCCACCCGCCTCGGGCTGGCTGCCACCACAGGCAGGAGGGGCTGGGAACGAGATGAAGACGAGGCAAACTCGACTCGGCCGGGTTCAAGGTCAGCAGGCGCTCGCCCATGGCAGCAGCGCTAACGGGTCTGGCTCCAGGCGAGCCCCCCAAGCCCCCGCGTCCTCATTTCCCTGATCCAGGGCACCCCAGTCATCCTTGGAGGTCCCATTGCTGCCACGAGGCCTGTGGCTGACGAGTGTTTCTGGTGCTCTCTCCTCATCTCGAGGTGACGACAGGCGGGTGGGGGCCGAGCGAGACCCCAGGCTGCAGCCCCACGCGTCACCCCTAACGACACTGGCTCCCACTCTCAGGGGCGTCCAAGGTCGCAGGGCCAGGCCCCAGCCCCAAGGGGAAGGGCGGGCGAGGCACTGCCCTGCAGTGTCCCCTCCCATTGTGCCCACCGGTGTGGCTCAGTGAGCATCAACCTGTGAACCAGGAGGTCACAGTTCAATTCCCGGTCAGGGCACAGGCCCGGGTTGTGGGCTCTATCCCCAGTGTGGGGCGTGCAGGAGGCAGCCGGTCCATGGTTCTCTCTCATCATTGATGTTCCTTTTTTAAAAAATAAGTTTTATTTTTATTTACCTGTTAATCCTCACCTGAGGATATTTTCCATTGATTTTTAGGAAGAGTGGAAGAGAGAAAGACAGAGAGAAACATTGATGTGAGAGAAACACATCGATTGGTTGCCTCCAGGGAGGAGCCTGCAACCAAGGTACGTGCCCTTGACCGGAATCGAACCCGGGACCCTTTGGTCTGCAGGCCGATGCTCTATCCACTGAGCAAACTGGCTAGGGCTCATCATGGATGTTTCTATCTCCGTCTCCTTTCCTCTCTGAAATCCATACAAATATACTAAAAAGAAAATCTGTAATAATCAAAACGCTGAAACAGCAAGAGACCGCCTCCAGGGCAGCAGAGGAGCACGTGTGCGTGGGGGCGGGGCGGAGGACACGCACCCACAGCTGCTCGTCCAGACGAGCTGAGCCACGGAGGGAGAGGACCGCAGAGGCCGTCACCAAGGCTTTCCAACTTTAAATACCATTTTATAAACTTTAAATACAACTTGTTCATTATTTTAAAACCCCATTAAAATTTGTCGTTTACTCACCGGGAGGAAACGCGGGGATTTTAAACTGACTCGTCGGGGTGGGCGGAGCCTTCGTCTGGGAAATCAGGAAGGAGGCCCGCCTGGCGCTGCCCGGGCCGTGCAGCTGAGAGCGGGACAGACTGGGCCGAGGGCTCAGCCGCCCGCCCCCCTGTTCTGGCGTCTGTGGCTGCGTGAGAGCCAGGGCGGTGGGCGCCACGGGCAGCTGGGCGACCGGCCGGACGGCAGGGGCTCTCGCGCGGCCCGACTGGCGGGGGTCGGGAGGCCGGGCGCGGGCTGCAGAGACGCTGGGGCGCTCGCTGGATTTGGCTGGAAGGGGAGACACACAGTCTGGGTGTCACTCAGGCTCTGCTGTTTCTAATTCGTGGGGTCAGCACGCACGGGAGACGTGCTCTCCTCAGCGCGTCGACTTCACACGCTTCCCAGTGAAGACGGCGACCGTCAGGGCGATTTCCGCACAAGGAAGCACAGGACGTGGGGAACAACCTTCTGTGTCCATCAGGCAGCATCCTCACATGCAGGGCGACCAGGCTGCCCGTGGCCGAGCGCGTGTGCCGAGGGCCATTCCACAGCCACCCGGTCACTGCCGAGAGCCGGTCCATGCTTGCTGTTTCAAGGGACCTGGCATATATGGCATACTGTTCTCACCTTCTTGGCACTATGTGTTTTAACCAAGGTCTCTGAGAAAGGTTGTTTCCCCAGGTAGGGATTTTCCCCTGAAGTTAGGGAGGGAATAAAACCTCTTAACTAAAGTGCCAGGCGGGTAATTAATCACTTTAACTACGAACAATCATGCTTAAGCTACATAATCTTTACTCCCTGGAATGGAGATAAGAAACGCCCTAACCTTTGGAATAGAGATTGATAGGATTGGAATCAACTGGTATAAATGCAGATGTAAGAAGACAGAACCACCACAGAACCTACATAGAACCTACAGACAGAAGAACTTCGCTGGAGAGAATATGGCAAAAGATCCTGGACTGAACCTGACTACAGAAATTGGCAAAAGAACCTGACTAGAACCTGGTGACTGAACCTGGCTGGAGAACCTGGACAGAACCTGGCTGGAGAACCTAGCGAGGGAACATGGACACAGAACCTAGCTGGAGATCCTAAGCAGAACTTCGCTGGAGATCCAGACCAGAACTTGGCTGGAGATCCTGGCTAGAGATCCTGGCTAGGCTGCTGATCAACTGAATGCTGTCTCCGTGTCCTTCCTTCTTCGCCGACTCCATCCACACCTTTGGGGACCCCTGGACCTGCTGGGGTTGGACCCCGGCAGGTCACGGCCAGGGCTCACCGGGCCCCACTCCTCCTGATCCCACGTCGGCACTGACCCCACCCCCTGGAGCGCCGTGAGGATGCAGCGCTGGGAGTTCTGCCGGGCATTTTACAGGATGACAACCCCACTCGAAACAGGGCCCGCTTGCACCCAAGACCCGCTCGCACCCGGGGCCGGCTCACACCTGGGGCCCGCTCGCACCCGAGGCCCATTCGCTCTGGGGCCTGCTCACACCCAGGACCTGCTCACACCCGGGGCCCGCTCGCACCCGGGGCCCACTCGCTCTGGGGCCTGCTCACACCCAGGACCCGCTCACACCCAAGACCCACTCGTACCAGGGCCCGCTCGCACCCAAGACCCGCTCGCACCCGGGGCCTGCTCGTACCCAGGACCCGCTCGCACCTGGGGCCGCTCGCACCCGGGGCCCGCTCACACCCAAGACCCACTCGCACCCGGGGCCCGCTCGCACCCAAGACCCGCTCGCACCCGGGGCCCGCTCGCACCCAGGGCCCACTTGCACCCAAGACCTGCTCGCACCCGGGGCCCGCTCGCACCCGGGGCCCGCTCACAACCGGGGCCCGCTCGCACCCAAGACCCGCTCACACCCAGGACCCGCTCACACCCGGGACCCGCTCGCACCAGGGCCCGCTCGCACCCAAGACCCGCTCGCACCCAAGACCCGCTCGCTCCGGGGCCCGCTCACAACCGGGGCCCGCTCACAACCGGGGCCTGTCCCTTACACAGGACCTGAGCTTAGCACTGCCACCCCAGGTTCCTGTTGTGCTTTTCCCGGGCACCTTTAAAAATAACCACCGAGACCTAAGCCTGCACAATGCCAGTGACCTCCCCCAACGCCTCTCCCGCTCTGTCTCCTGCTCCCCGTGACCTGGGGTGGGGGCTGCCTTTCCAGGCTCACTGCCCCCATTTCTGGGACTGTGCGTAATACACTTGCAGACTTCTTTGTGTGAGGCTATTGAAACTGCGCCTCCATCAGAACGCCCCAGGTTTCTCACTCCCCAATGTGGGAGCCCAGCTGCTGAGGGGCTCCCGCCGACCCGTGGGGGCTCCTGCCGATGTCGTGGGGGCTCCGGCCGACCCGTGGGGGCTCCCGCCGATGCCATGGGGGCTCCCGCCGATGCCGTGGGGGCTCCGGCCGACCCGTGGGGGCCAAGCTCCTCCTCAGCTGGCCATCTGTGTGCCCTGCGTTCACCCTCCAGCTGCAGGATGAGCGCTGTCGCCCCGAGCCGCAGAGACCGGGGTGCGAGTCCTCGGCTGCCAATAGCCACCACACGGGTTGGCCTGGTCAGAGATGTTCCTAACGGTGTGAGACAGCGCCGCTTCACCAGGAAGAGGGGCTGCGTGTGGCTGGCAGGCGGCACCCGCACGACGGGCAAACGGCCCACGGCAGGTGTCTGCAGAAAGGTCAGCTGGAGCGTGGCTGCCTCAGGGCCGCCTCCCCACCTCATCCCTCTGAGGGTCAGGACACCCCCACCACGTCCCTGAAGGCAGCTGCTTCGAGCGAGGGAGGCCTCAGTGCCTGTTGATAAACTTCTCATGTTCCCCTTGCTCTGCAGGCGGCGGCGGCTGCACAGGCGGCCTTGGTGTTGGCCCTGAGTCTCTGTGTCCCGACCGGGGTGCAGGGTCACATCGCCGGCCAGTGCCGCCTGCCCGGAGTGAACTGAAGGGGGAGCTGCCTCCTGTGGGGACCGAGCGGGGCTGACGAGCACTGGACCCAAAGTTTCCCTTCAGCTTGTGTTCAGAGCACCATTTGTCTCCCCTCGAATCAGACCCGCCCAGCTGCTCCACAGTCCGCCCCGCTGGCTGCGTCTCCCGCACTAGAGTGGTGAGTCCTGTGGTCCCAACGGCATCTACTGCATCAGAAGCACAACGCACAGGGCACGTCCTTCAGCGGCTTGAGGCGATCCCACAGGAGCGGCCCCCGGACCAGCGCTGGGGTTTGGCTGCCAGGCTCTGGCTAGTGAGGCTGGACCTGTGCCCGGGGACCATCTCCTCATCACACTCCGGGTGAGTGGGAGGAGCCTGATTCCTTACCTCCCGGACGTGGCTGTCCACACGCCTGGGGCCACCCTCCCCCTGGGACTGTCCCACCAGTGTCAGCCGTCAGCACCCCTATCCCGGCATGCTCCTCGGCTGAGCACGGCCGACAGCCCGCCGCAGCCCCTGCTGGAACAAAAGCCCGCGGGCGGCACGTGCTGAGCCAGACACGCGCGGGCGGCAGAGCTGCCCTCAGCGGCCTCCTCCACGTTCCCACAACACGGTGCCCGCCGGCTGCCCAGCCGTGACCGGCCCGACTTTTCTTCTGAGGCTTCCCGTGCGCCTGATTTCTAGCCACTCGCCCTCCCGGGAGACGGTCTCTAACCCTCTCCCTCCGCTAGCGGCACGAGGGCCTTGTTCTCCTCTCCCCGCCTGGTCCCACGGGAGGTTCTCATTTCCAGTCCGCGCCTCCTCCTCGCCCCTCGGGCCGAGCCGCACTCTCACTTCGACCCGTCCTGCTTCGGCTGCTCTAGCAAAGGGTCTCAAAGAAAACCCTAAACCCTGGCTGGCTGTGCAGTGGTGAGAGCGCCAGCTCCCAGACACGGGGTCTCAGGTCCGATTCCCGGGCAGAGGCTTGTACCTGGGTTGCAAGTCCACTCCCTGGCCCCTGTCCAGTGTATGCGGCAGGCACCCAGTCCATGTGTCTCTCACATCGATGTTTCTCTCTCCCTCCCTCCCTCCTTTCCACTCTCTCTACAAGTCAGTGAAAAACTATCCTTGGGTGAGCGTTAGCAAAAAATCACAAAAGCACCTTAAGAGCATGATTAGCACCATGTTCCTGCCCCCACACGCCCAGATCCCAGGTCCAGCCGCCCCCACACTCCCGGATCCCAGATCCGGCCGCCCCCACACGCCCGGATCCCAGATCCGGCCGCCCCCACACGCCCGGATCCCAGATCCGGCCGCCCCCACACGCCCGGATCCCAGATCCGGCCGCCCCCACACTCCCGGATCCCAGATCCGGCCGCCCCCACACGCCCGGATCCCAGATCCGGCCGCCCCCACACTCCCGGATCCCAGATCCGGCTGCCCCCACACTCCCGGATCCCAGATCCGGCTGCTCCCACACTCCCGGATTCGGCTGCAGGGGTTCTGCTGTGGACAGAGAGCCCCAGTCAGTCGCCCCGACCTTCCCCAGAGCGAGGAGTGCAGACACCTGCCCCAGCGCGGCAGACGGGCGCCCTAACCTGTGCCACAGAGCTGCTGCGCCACGTGCCTCCCGAGCTGAGGCCCACAGAACAGCGGGAGGTCTCCCCTCAGCCCTCAAGACAAGGAAACAACTTGGGTTCCTGAACGCCCCACGCAGTCAGGTCCAAATCACAGCCCCCACTTCCACACCCTGAGCACAGGCCACGCCGTGTGCCTGGACGGCAGGCGGAGCCTGGAGAGGGCGAGTCCTTCCCACAGACCAGGCCTTTCCTGCCGCCTCCGAGGGGGCCTGCCCTCCCCACCAGGGGCAGCCCCTCCTCCAGGAGTGGGAGGGTCCTCGGCACTAACCTCCCCGGCACAGCCTGTTCTTATGCCCTCGCCCCGTGGCCTCCCCCCCGGGCTGCTCTCAGGGACCCGCACACGCCCCTTTGTGACGGCCACACCCCCAACACGGCAATGCCCTCTGCGTGAGCCTCTCCCCGGGAGGGGAAGCACCCCGAGGGCAGGGACGCTGACCCCCTCCGGCCTCAGACCACAAGCCTTCCAGAACCTTCTGCTGAGCCCAAGCAGGTCTGAAAAGCTGTCTCAGAGGGATGGCCAGCCGGGTCGGAGCAGAGCGCCTGCCGCCTTACCTCTGCCGGCCGCCGGGGAGGCGCCCAGGCCGGCGCTCCCGCCCGGGACAGACCCCCGGGCGCAGGGCTGTCGTGCAGGACCCCCCGCGCCTCCGGGAAGCCTCAGCTGCGTCTTCTTCAGCCCCAGCTGGAATGAAACATTAAAAATCACCAACGAGCTCATTAGCCTCCCGCTCTTGTTTCTGCAAAAGTCGGGTTTTAATTAAATTTTAACCAATGAATAATTATCATCTCAAATGAGAGAAGATGAAGGACAAGCGGCATGCGCTGTGGCCTGAGCCGCCGTGGGGAGCGGCTGGGACGTGGAGCCCCCAGGCCCAGGGTCAGCCGCCGTGGGCCCAGCTGGGGCAGCTGGACAAGCTCGCACGCTGCGTGGCCACCGTGCGGAGAAGCCGACGGCGGAGGGACGGCGAGGCCAGGCCTGCGAGGAGCTGAGGCTGCAGACACGGGCGTCCCTCGCCCCACGCAGGGCCCGTGAGGCCGCGGGAGCAGCCCCGGGTCAGACCCTCAGTGCCAGGGAGGTGACTTCCTGACCCGCACGCTCCGGGGGCAGAGGCCAGGCCCCACTGCACGCGGCCTGCTCTTCACACCTCACCACGCGCCTCCCGGGCATCACCCTTCAACCTCATACCCAACTGTCATTCAGAGACATGCCCTGCACACACACGCTGCCCTGACGCCCTCGCTCAGGCCACGCACACACACGCACACACACACGCTGCCCTCACGCCCTCGCTCAGGCCCCGCACACACACACACACACACATACACACGCTGCCCTCACGCCCTCACTCAGACCCCGCACACACACACACACACACACTGCCCTCACGCCCTCGCTCAGGCCCCGCACACACACACACACACACACGCTGCCCTCACGCCCTCGCTCAGGCCCTGCACACACAACGCTGCCCTCACGCCCTCGCTCGGGCCCCGCACACACACACACACACACACGCTGCCCTCACGCCCTCGCTCAGGCCCCGCACACACACACACACGCTGCCCTCGCGCCCTCGCTCAGGCCCCGCACACACACACACACACACACACACACACACACACACGCTGCCCTCACGCCCTCGCTCAGGCCCCGCACACACACACACACACACGCTGCCCTCACGCCCTCGCTCAGGCCCCGCACACACACACACACACACACACACACACACACACGCTGCCCTCACGCCCTCGCTCAGGCCCCGCACACACACACGCTGCCCTCACGCCCTCGCTCAGGCCCCGCACACACACACACACACACACGCTGCCCTCACGCCCTCGCTCAGTCCCCGCACACACACACACACGCTGCCCTCACGCCCTCGCTCAGGCCCTGCACACACACACACACACACACACACGCTGCCCTCACGCCCTCGCTCAGGCCCCGCACACACACACACACGCTGCCCTCACGCCCTCGCTCAGGCCCCGCACACACACACACACACACACACGCTGCCCTCACGCCCACGCACAGGCCCCGCACACACACACACACACACACACACGCTGCCCTCACGCCCTCGCTCAGGCCCCGCACACACACACACACACACACACACACACACGCTGCCCTCGCGCCCTCGCTCAGGCCCCGCACACACACACACACACACACACACACACACGCTGCCCTCGCGCCCTCGCTCAGGCCCCGCACACACACGCTGCCCTCACGCCCTCGCTCAGGCCCCGCACACACACACACACGCTGCCCTCACGCCCTCGCTCAGGCCCCGCACACACACGCACACACACACGCTGCCCTCACGCCCTCGCTCAGGGCCCCGCACACACACACACACACACACACACACACACGCTGCCCTCGCGCCCTCGCTCAGGCCCCGCACACACACACACACACACACACACACACACACACACGCTGCCCTCGCGCCCTCGCTCAGGCCCCGCACACACACACACACACACACACGCTGCCCTCACGCCCTCGCTCAGGCCCCGCACACACACACACACGCTGCCCTCGCGCCCTCGCTCAGGCCCCGCACACACACACACACACACACACACACACACACACGCTGCCCTCGCGCCCTCGCTCAGGCCCCGCACACACACACACACGCTGCCCTCGCGCCCTCGCTCAGGCCCCGCACACACACACACACGCTGCCCTCGCGCCCTCGCTCAGGCCCCGCACACACACACGCTGCCCTCACGCCCTCGCTCAGGCCCCGCACACACACGCTGCCCTCACGCCCTCGCTCAGGCCCCGCACACACACACACACGCTGCCCTCACGCCCTCGCTCAGGCCCCGCACACACACGCTGCCCTCACGCCCTCGCTCAGGCCCCGCACACACACACACACGCTGCCCTCACGCCCTCGCTCAGGCCCCGCACACACACACACACGCACACACACACGCTGCCCTCACGCCCTCGCTCAGGCCCCGCACACACACACACACACACACACACGCTGCCCTCGCGCCCTCGCTCAGGCCCCGCACACACACACACACACACACACACACGCTGCCCTCACGCCCTCGCTCAGGCCCCGCACACACACGCTGCCCTCACGCCCTCGCTCAGGCCCCGCACACGCACACACACGCTGCCCTCACGCCCTCGCTCAGGCCCCGCACACACATGCACACACACACGCTGCCCTCACGCCCTCGCTCAGGCCCCGCACACACACACACACACACACACACGCTGCCCTCGCGCCCTCGCTCAGGCCCCGCACACACACACACACGCTGCCCTCACGCCCTCGCTCAGGCCCCGCACACACACACACACGCTGCCCTCACGCCCTCGCTCAGGCCCTGCACACACACACACACACACACACACACGCTGCCCTCACGCCCTCGCTCAGGCCCCGCACACACACACACACGCTGCCCTCACGCCCTCGCTCAGGCCCCGCACACACACACACACACACACACGCTGCCCTCACGCCCTCGCTCAGGCCCCGCACACACACACACACACACACACGCTGCCCTCACGCCCTCGCTCAGGCCCCACACACACACACACACACACACACGCTGCCCTCACGCCCTCGCTCAGGCCCCGCACACACACACACACACACACACACACGCTGCCCTCACGCCCTCGCTCAGGCCCCGCACACACACACACACACACACGCTGCCCTCACGCCCTCGCTCAGGCCCCGCACACACACACACACACACACAACGCTGCCCTCACGCCCTCGCTCAGGCCCCGCACACACACACACACACACACACACACACACACGCTGCCCTCGCGCCCTCGCTCAGGCCCCGCACATACACACACACACACACACACACACACACACGCTGCCCTCGCGCCCTCGCTCAGGCCCCGCACACACACACACACACACACACACACACGCTGCCCTCGCGCCCTCGCTCAGGCCCCACACACACACACACACACACACACGCTGCCCTCACGCCCTCGCTCAGGCCCCACACACACACACACACACACACACACACGCTGCCCTCACGCCCTCGCTCAGGCCCCGCACACACACACACACACACACACACGCTGCCCTCACGCCCTCGCTCAGGCCCCACACACACACACACACACACACGCTGCCCTCACGCCCTCGCTCGGGCCCCGCACACACACACACACACACACGCTGCCCTCACGCCCTCGCTCAGGCCCCGCACACACACACACACGCTGCCCTCGCGCCCTCGCTCAGGCCCCGCACACACACACACACACACACACACACACACACACGCTGCCCTCACGCCCTCGCTCAGGCCCCGCACACACACACACACACACGCTGCCCTCACGCCCTCGCTCAGGCCCCGCACACACACACACACACACACACACGCTGCCCTCGCGCCCTCGCTCAGGCCCCGCACACACACACACACACACACACACACACGCTGCCCTCACGCCCTCGCTCAGGCCCCACACACACACACACACACACACACACGCTGCCCTCACGCCCTCGCTCAGGCCCCACACACACACACACACACACACACACACGCTGCCCTCACGCCCTCGCTCAGGCCCCGCACACACACACACACACACACACACGCTGCCCTCACGCCCTCGCTCAGGCCCCACACACACACACACACACACACGCTGCCCTCACGCCCTCGCTCGGGCCCCGCACACACACACACACACACACGCTGCCCTCACGCCCTCGCTCAGGCCCCGCACACACACACACACGCTGCCCTCGCGCCCTCGCTCAGGCCCCGCACACACACACACACACACACACACACACACACACACGCTGCCCTCACGCCCTCGCTCAGGCCCCGCACACACACACACACACACGCTGCCCTCACGCCCTCGCTCAGGCCCCGCACACACACACACACACACACACACACACACACACACGCTGCCCTCACGCCCTCGCTCAGGCCCCGCACACACACACGCTGCCCTCACGCCCTCGCTCAGGCCCCGCACACACACACACACACACACGCTGCCCTCACGCCCTCGCTCAGGCCCCGCACACACACACACACGCTGCCCTCACGCCCTCGCTCAGGCCCTGCACACACACACACACACACACACACGCTGCCCTCACGCCCTCGCTCAGGCCCCACACACACACACACGCTGCCCTCGCGCCCTCGCTCAGGCCCCGCACACACACACACACACACACACGCTGCCCTCACGCCCTCGCTCAGGCCCTGCACACACACACACACACACACACACACGCTGCCCTCACGCCCTCGCTCAGGCCCCGCACACACACACACACACACACACGCAGCCCTCGCGCCCTCGCTCAGGCCCCCCACACACACACACACACACACACACGCTGCCCTCACGCCCTCGCTCAGGCCCCGCACACACACACACACACACACACACACACACGCTGCCCTCGCGCCCTCGCTCAGGCCCCGCACACACACACACACACACACACACGCTGCCCTCACGCCCTCGCTCAGGCCCGGCACACACACACACACACACACACACACACACACACGCTGCCCTCGCGCCCTCGCTCAGGCCCCGCACACACACACACACACACACACACACACACACACACGCTGCCCTCGCGCCCTCGCTCAGGCCCCGCACACACACACACACACACACACGCTGCCCTCACGCCCTCGCTCAGGCCCCGCACACACACACACACGCTGCCCTCGCGCCCTCGCTCAGGCCCCGCACACACACACACACACACACACACACACACACACGCTGCCCTCGCGCCCTCGCTCAGGCCCCGCACACACACACACACGCTGCCCTCGCGCCCTCGCTCAGGCCCCGCACACACACACACACACACACACACACACACACGCTGCCCTCGCGCCCTCGCTCAGGCCCCACACACACACACACACGCTGCCCTCGCGCCCTCGCTCAGGCCCCCCACACACACACACACCCTGCCCTCGCGCCCTCGCTCAGGCCCCACACACACACACACACGCTGCCCTCGCGCCCTCGCTCAGGCCCCGCACACACACACGCTGCCCTCACGCCCTCGCTCAGGCCCCGCACACACACGCTGCCCTCACGCCCTCGCTCAGGCCCCGCACACACACACACACGCTGCCCTCACGCCCTCGCTCAGGCCCCGCACACACACGCACACACACACGCTGCCCTCACGCCCTCGCTCAGGCCCCGCACACACACACACACACACACACACACGCTGCCCTCGCGCCCTCGCTCAGGCCCCGCACACACACACACACACACACACACGCTGCCCTCACGCCCTCGCTCAGGCCCCGCACACACACGCTGCCCTCACGCCCTCGCTCAGGCCCCACACACGCACACACACGCTGCCCTCACGCCCTCGCTCAGGCCCCGCACACACATGCACACACACACGCTGCCCTCACGCCCTCGCTCAGGCCCCGCACACACACACACACACACACACACGCTGCCCTCGCGCCCTCGCTCAGGCCCCGCACACACACACACACGCTGCCCTCGCGCCCTCGCTCAGGCCCCGCACACACACACACACGCTGCCCTCACGCCCTCGCTCAGGCCCTGCACACACACACACACACACACACACACGCTGCCCTCACGCCCTCGCTCAGGCCCCGCACACACACACACACGCTGCCCTCACGCCCTCGCTCAGGCCCCGCACACACACACACACACACACACGCTGCCCTCACGCCCTCGCTCAGGCCCCGCACACACACACACACACACACACGCTGCCCTCGCGCCCTCGCTCAGGCCCCACACACACACACACACACACACACGCTGCCCTCACGCCCTCGCTCAGGCCCCGCACACACACACAACACACACACACACGCTGCCCTCACGCCCTCGCTCAGGCCCCGCACACACACACACACACACACACGCTGCCCTCACGCCCTCGCTCAGGCCCCGCACACACACACACACACACACAACGCTCCCCTCACGCCCTCGCTCAGGCCCCGCACACACACACACACACACACACACACACACGCTGCCCTCGCGCCCTCGCTCAGGCCCCGCACATACACACACACACACACACACACACACACACACGCTGCCCTCGCGCCCTCGCTCAGGCCCCGCACACACACACACACACACACACACACACGCTGCCCTCACGCCCTCGCTCAGGCCCCACACACACACACACACACACACACGCTGCCCTCACGCCCTCGCTCAGGCCCCACACACACACACACACACACACACACACGCTGCCCTCACGCCCTCGCTCAGGCCCCGCACACACACACACACACACACACACGCTGCCCTCACGCCCTCGCTCAGGCCCCGCACACACACACACACACACACACACACACGCTGCCCTCGCGCCCTCGCTCAGGCCCCGCACACACACACACACACACACACACACACGCTGCCCTCACGCCCTCGCTCAGGCCCCGCACACACACACACACACACACACACACGCAGCCCTCACGCCCTCGCTCAGGCCCCACACACACACACACACACACACACGCTGCCCTCACGCCCTCGCTCAGGCCCCGCGCACACACACACACACACACGCTGCCCTCACGCCCTCGCTCAGGCCCCGCACACACACACACACACACACACACGCTGCCCTCACGCCCTCGCTCAGGCCCCGCACACACACACACACACACACACACGCTGCCCTCACGCCCTCGCTCAGGCCCCGCGCGCACACACACACACACACACACACACACACACGCTGCCCTCACGCCCTCGCTCAGGCCCCGCCACCGCAGTCCCTGCCACCCACCTTGTTTGGAGCAGGGAGCGATCGCTTGCCCTGGACCAAGTGGCTCCTGCTGGCTGGCAGGGTGGTGGCATCCCGGGCAGCCCCATGGGGTTCCTTCTCGTGTGGGATTTTCATCTTGGAAGGACTGGCCGGCTTCTCTTTCGGAGGCTGAAAATGTCACAGTGGGATGTGAGCGCTGCCGGGTGCTTAACAAATGGACACCCTAGGGCTTCGCTCGGCACCGCTGCAGGCACGCCCCTCGCCCCTTGGTCCCGGCTCTGCAGGCGCTGCAGCCGGCCCTTCGGGGCTGGCAGGGGGGTCGTGTGGTGCAGGAGGTGAGCTTGGAGTGGGAAGAAAGGATTTCTAGGCCCTGGTGAGGCGCTGCATTCACCTAAACCGCTAACCACGTCACAGCGTCAGTGCTCCACGCCTGGCCCAGCGGAGGCCTGCCCAGGGCGGGAGCAGAGGGCCAGGCACAGGCTGCAGCCACTCCTCAGAGAGAACCCTGCCGAGTCCACAGCCCCTGCTGCCCCCCAAGCCTCCAGGACCACAGCTCCGGCGCTGGCCGACCACCCCACCGGCACCCCTGTCCATTGCCACCTCCCAGGACAGTCCCCTGCTAAACCCCGAGTAAAGTGTCGAAACTGAGTCACAGGGGAGGAGCAGGACGCATGGCTATCCCGGGAGGGGGAGTTTTTGGAAGTTGCTTATTAAGTAAATGAATTGGGTGAACGTCCAACGTTGTAACAAAATCCAAGAAAAGACGTCAACCAGAACTTCGGAGGAGGTGTTTTCAAGGCCTCACATTAGCAAGGCGGCCGGGCCCATGTCCACCCCAAGCCCAGTCCCTGCAGGCGCTGCTCCCCCACTGCTGTGAGCCCTCGGAGCAGCACCCCTAGCCCCCTACCCCCAAGGGTTGAACCACAGGCTCGGAACCAGGCCGGGTCAGCGTGGGGCGGCCGTGCCTACCTTTTCCGCGGCCACGGGCAGGCTCCCTCCCCTGGCAGACGAGGCCCGGGGCGGCGGCAACCTGCTGGCCACCTTTTTCTGAGGGACTGCCAGGCGTGGAGGGCGAGCGGGGCTTGTTTCCACGGGCAAAGGCCGAGAAGAGCCCGGTGGGCCCTGTGCCCCGGCGGGGCCCACGCCCGAGGCGGGCTGGCTTCCTGGCAGCTGCGGGCCGCTGGCAGGACTGTCCAACAGGCAGTACGTCTCCCTCTTCAGGGAGTTGGGGCTTTTCTGGGCTTCCTTTTCCCTCTCGAACAGGAGCATCTTTAACCTCGACTCCTGTATGAACCGTTCAACGCCCTGGCTGCCCGCGTCCTCGGGCCCGGCCGGGGCCGGGGGGGCCGCGCTCCGGCTGCTGCTCTCGATCTGCAGGGCCAGGAGGCGCGCTTCCTTGTAAACTTCCACGAACTTCTCCCCGGCGAGAGGGCTCCAGCGGAAGGGACTTTCTGACACCGAGGAAGGAGGCTGTGGGGGGCTTGGACCTGGGTGGCCGAGTTCCAGGCTGGCGGCGACACACCTTTCCTTGTGCCCAACGGGCCCAAAAAAGACCTCGTCGTCTTCATTCGCACTATTTCGGGAGAGAAGGACTGTGAGTAGCGCTGGCCTGTGCGTGGGAGAGTTCACTGAATGTGGTTATGCCCGAGGCCAGGGAAGAAGACGCAGCTTCTTACCTCAAAGAAGACAGCGACAGGTCGAAGTCAAACTTTTCATCGGCCAGAAGCAGGACGTCTGGGGGGAGAGTCACCGTTACTTTAGGGCGGGCTGATAAACAGGAAAACATCCATCTCTATCGCTATCACCACTAGGACCAACTTTCACTCCCCACAGCGTCACTTACCATCTTTTTTTTTTTTTTAATCTTGTTTTATTGCTTAAAGTATTACAAAGAGTAGTACATATATCTCCTTTTGTTCCCCCTTGGCCTTCCCCGGCCTCCCCACTCCCAGTGTCTTGCGTCCATTGGTTATGCTTATGTGCATGCATACAAGCCCTTCGTTGGATCCCATCATTTTTAATAGTCACATTTTCATAGGGGGCTCTAGATTATCTTTTTTTTTCCCATTTTCTTTTTAAAATATAGCATCGGCTCTTCCGTGTTTGCTAAGCGGTTCCAAAGCCCAAGGCCTGGGTTTACAGACACGGTCTGACCTGCCCTCGCCGTCACCCCGCGGCTCTCCGTCACCCCGCGGCTCTCCCAGGCAGTGTCAGGTACAGGACATTTTCCGATAACCCCGCTTCCCAACCACGAACAGCTGTTCCCCTCGGAACCAGGTTCCGTGTTATTCAAGCGCATAGGGACTCCGGAAGTGGACGGGCCTGCTGGCTGTCACCTCTTCTTCGAGCCCATCGGAGCCCCCAGGCCACACTGCACCGTGTGCTCCACCCACACTCCCACCTGGTGCCTCCTGAGCCCGACCCCCCTCACAGAGCACCGGCTCCGGCCGGGGTCCCTCTGCTGGGGGACCTCCTGCTCCTCCCCCTCCCCCCCTCGCCGGGTTCCCGCAGCACCAGGCGCTGCCCTCCACCTGCGCCGCCTCACCGTTCGGTCCGTAAATGGCTCCAGACCCTCCCTCCTGTGGCCCCAACGAGACTGTGAGCTCCTCCAGGACACAGACGTCCAACTCTCCCACGTTCCCACTGTCCAGCTAAGGAACTGACACTTCAATCAAACTCACCCAGGCCTTCACCACGCACGTCTCACTGGTCCCTGATAAACAACGCAGCATGCTCAGCAAAACCGTAAAACGGAAAATATCCTAATGTCCTAACTAGACTCAATCAGGGAAAGGGAGAAGCATAAATGCACAAAAGAAATAAGCAAAACAAACCAGAGGGAGGACAGTAAAAGACTCAGCGGCTCGTTTGCTCAACTCCATGCACATACATAAGGATTTGACTGAATGGATAATTTCCTAGGAAACAGGCTTTATTTTGTTATTTAGCGTTTTTTTCTTCAATCGTCACCCGAGGGTATGTTTTACTGATGTGAGAGAGAAACATCGATCCCGTAAGCGCCCTGACTGGGAATCGACCCCAAAACCTAGGCATGTGCCCTGACTGGGAATCGAACCCGCGACCTTGTTGGTGTATGGGGACGATGCTCCAACCAACCGAGCCACACAGCAATCAATGGCTTTCCCATCTAGAAAATACATGGGAGAAAGACCGCATTTACAGCAGCAGCAAAAAATACAAAATACTTGCCGAAACCGGTGTGGCTCAGTGGATAGAGCGTCGGCCTGCGGACTGAAGGGTCCCAGGTTCGATTCCGGTCAAGGGCATGTACCTGGGTTGCGGGCATATCCCCAGTAGGAGATGTGCAGGAGGCAGCTGATCGATGTTTCTCTCTCATTGATGTTTCTAACCCTCTATCTCTCTCCCTTCCTCTCTGTAAAAAATCAATAAAATAAAATATATTTTAAAAAAAAAGTCAACCACTAAAAAAAAAAAAATACAAAATACCTATGAAGAAACCTAACAAGAAACAGACAAGGTGAATATAAGAAGTTTAGTATATCATAAAAGTAACACATCAAATAAAAGGGGAAAACGAATTGTTCAGTAAATGGTATTGAGTTGTGGGGAAAATATATATATGTAACGTTTGATCCACACTTCATACCATACCAGGCTAAGTTTCAAATAAGTCGAAGATATAATTTTAAAAAATGAAACCCTGAAAGAGTCATTAGCCAGGGGACATTGTTTTACACGCTGAGCGTGGAGGGCTGTGACACCCAACTGGGAGCCGTACAGGAAAGGCTGCTGGTCCGATACGTAAAAAACGATTTAAACCTCTGCCTGGCCAAAGCCGCCAGGAGCCAAGTTAAAAGACACCATTCAGAGGGACAAGCATGTTTGCCCTCGTGAACGGTGCCCGCACGCCGCTAAGAAGACAACTGACAGCGGGATGGGCGGACGGACACAGAACATGAACAGATGAAATGCACGGGAGTAAAATGGAGAGTTCTTACACCTATGCCAGGAAGCCCAGCCTCCCTCAAAAAACAAAAGTCACGCCAAAGAAACCTCGCGCCAACTCCCACTTCCCACCCGGCAGGCTGGCTGTGGGAAGAGGGAGTCTGCCACCCGTCCCAGCGGCACCGCCAGGGTGCCTGGCAGCACCTACCAAAACCAAGGCGCCCGCCTCCGGCCCAGGAGCCTCCTCCCGGAAGGTCTCCCACAGACCATCCACTGTTACCTGTGGCAGCGGCATGTGCAACAGCAGGACACGAGACACCCACCGCGGGAGGGCAGTGACAGCACAGCCCACGGGGAATCAGAAGAGGAAGTGACGCGCCCTGCTCCTCGGGGGAGACTTCACAAACAAGGGGGATGGAGGCGAAGCCCTCCACGACGGGCACCATGAGCCCATGGTACAGAGCACAGGCCGGGCCCTTATGAGCACATCCAGTTCTCACGGGAGGACCCTTCCACCGACCCCCACTGAGCGCCCCCCCCCCCCGCACCCCCCAGCCACGCGCTGCAGGACCAGACGTACCATCCTTCCTGGGAACCTCCGTCTCCGCTCCTCCTGCCTGGCTGGCTGGGGGCCCGCCGCTGCTGCCTCCTTCCATCCCGGAGCTACCAGCAAGTCTGTGTCTGCAGAGAGGAGGGGGGCAGGTGAAGAGGGAGGAGGGAGGCAGGTGAGCAGGGAGGAGGGGGACAGGTGAGCCGGGAGGAGGGGGCAGGTGAGCAGGGAGGAGGGGGCAGGTGAGCAGGGAGGAGGGGGCAGGTGAGGAGGGAGGAGGGGGACAGGTGAGCCGGGAGGAGGGGGACAGGTGAGCCGGGAGGAGGGGGACAGGTGAGCAGGGAGGAGGGGGCAGGTGAGCAGGGAGGAGGGGGCAGGTGAGCAGGGAGGAGGGGGCAGGTGAGCAGGGAGGAAGGGGCAGGAGAGCAGGGAGGAGGGGGCAGGGGAGCAGGGAGGAGGGGGCAGGTGAGCAGGGAGGAGGGGCAGGTGAGCAGGAGGAGGGGGCAGGTGAGCAGGGAGGAGGGGGCAGGTGAGCAGGGAGGAGGGGGCAGGTGAGCAGGGAGGAGGGGGCAGGTGAGCAGGGCTCGGCCCAGGCCCGGGTCCTCCGCTCAGGGGCGCCCAGCAGCGTGCGCCCGGCAGCGCGGACAGGGACTCGGGCCTAGAAGCCGCCTGGGCTGCAGCTCCAGATCCTCCACGACGCACCCTGTACCCCGTACCCCGCACCCCGGACCGCGCTCCTCCACGGCGGCGGCTGCGCGTCCGAGCCAGGCCTGGACACTCGGGCGGCGGCAACGGATCCCGAAGTAGTCCGACAGGTATGCTGGGGGCTTCGGTTACCAAAGTCCCGACGGAGCATGCGCGAGGACCTCTGCGGGGGGCCCCCCCCTCCCCCGACCCCGCCCCGGCCCGGCCCCAACCCCCCGAGAGCCCCACACCCGTACCTGCTGTGACGCCCCGACCCACACGCCTCCGCCCCGGATTTAAACTGGGCGCGACGGGAGCGGCGCGCGCTGCGATTGGCCGGTTTGAAAAGGGCTCTGCGAGGTCGTCATGCCCGGTGCATCCTGGGGGTTGTAGTCCGCGCGCCTGGGAGGAGGAGCGTGGCGCGCGTGCGCACTGCCTCGGCGCGCAGATGTGCTGCGCAGGCCGGAGGTCAGGGCAGACCCGGGCGGGGTTTGCTTAGAGCCCCGCTCGGTGAACCTGCAGGTTTAGCATGGGGCCAGGGATGTGGGTTCTGATCCCCGCTCTTCAGCTGTAAATGGAGACAGTTAAATTCCTGTCGTAGAGTGTTGTAGAGACTAGACGAGGCAGGTTCATCTGCCTGCTTTGCAAAGCTGCACGCGGTTCCTAGTCCAGTAAGGAGACCTGGTCACTTGGTACTGGACACCGCGGTTTGTGCCCCTGGAGCAGGAGCTCTCTGGCCGCGGGGGACAGTGATCAGGGCCTGGGCAGGGCCAGAGGGGTGGCAGGAGCCTGCCCTGGGCTTTACAGCCTCCTGGAGCTGGATTGGTTGGGGGGTTTGGGAGCAGGTTGGAGGGGTGCACCTCCAGGCAGGGTCCGGTGGCCAGGTGAGGGGTCTGCATGGGGAGTGCACCTGTTGGAGCCAGCAGGAGACCCCTGGCCTGAGAGGGGCTGACTGGTGGCCAGGCCAGGCAGCTTAGACGACCACACTTGACCCTTGGGGCTCCGCCCAGACCAGTGTCAGGAAGCTCTGGCTCATTAACAGGGGCTGAAGGAGGGAGGGGCGGAGGGACTGGGGAGGGAACAGCGCCTCCTCCCCATTCCCCAACTCTGGAGGGAGACACCCTTTTCAGGGGTGACGTCGAGCCATTGATCTGGGCAGGCAGGTGAGATGTGTCCAGGGGAAGCCATCCTGTGCCCGACTTCCACTAAGAGGCCTTCCAGGACGGCTGGGGCCCCCTCTGGGCCCCTCGTCCCTGGTTCCACACCATCCACACCCATCACTCCGTGTGGCCGTGGTCCCGCTTCTCTTCTCATTCCTATTCGGGCTCCTCAAGAGACGCTGAGCTCCTGCAGGGCAGGTGAGTCTGTCACCTCTGTCCTCCAGCCTCACCCAGCCCAGCGCGGGGCACCAGGCAGGAGCTGAGCGAGGGCTCGACAAGATGGGGGAGGGGTTAGTGCTTTGGAAGGAACCCGGCTTGCACTCTGCCTCCCCTTGGGCTTATCTTGGCACCCCGACACCTCTTTTCTATCTAGGGGCTCCCTCTGCAGCCTCCCTCGTCACCCTCACCAGGTTCCGATGTGCTGGGCCCCTGGCCCCTGCCTCTCCCTCCCAAGTCTCTGATCCTGGGTTCCGTTCTGAGTCCCGTCATCTTTGGCTCAGGATCCTGCTTAACTGGAGAGGAGAGATGGAGCCAGACAGACCGGGCGCAAGTCCCAGCTACACCCAAGAGCCGTTGGGTGTAGGGAACACCAACCAGGGTCACACTGGCTTTATTATTACTTTAATGTGTTTTTATTGACTTCAGAGAGGAAGGGAGAGGGAGAGAGCGGTAGAGACATCCATGATGAGAGAATCATTGATCGGCTGCCTCCTGCACGCCCCCTACTGGGGACCAAGCCCACACCCCGGGCATGTGCCCCTCACCGGAAATGGAACCGTGACCTCCTGGTTCCTAGGTCAACGCTCAACCACTGAGCCATGTCTTCCGGGCCATTCTAGCTTTAGAAAGAGGAGGATTTATTGGCCGAAGGAACAGGGAAACGCAGGCATGGCCTTGCTTCAGGCCCGGTTGGAGAGAGGCCTCAAAGGGGGCTGGGTTGGGTCATCTCCCAGCCCCTCGAGGGTCCTGCTCACCTCAGGCAGGCGGCTTTGTCCGCACACTAAACTGAAACCTCCTGGCTCAGGGGACCTGGGGCCAGGTGAACGCCGGAAGCAGGAGCATTGAAGCCACATGTCACGATGCTTCGGTTTTTGCCACAAGAGGGCAGCCCGAGCTCAACCCTCACACCCCAGAAAGCGGGCAGCTCCCCTGCTCTGTTCCTCTGACCCAGTGGTTCTCAACCTCCTGGCCCTTTCAATACAGTTCCTCATGCTGTGACCCAGCCATAACATTATTTTCGTGGCTACTTCATCACTGTCATGTTGCTACTGTGATGAATCGTCATGTAAATATCTGAGATGCAGGATGGTCTTAGGCGACCCCCGTGAAAGGGTCCATCGACCGCCAAAGAGGCCGCGACCCACAGGTTGGGAACCGCTGGTCTGACCGGTCACAGTCCATGTTAGAAACCATGTGGGGGGGCCCCTTCACAACGTGCAGTTCAGAATAAAGAGAGACAAGCCCACATCAATGTCACCAAATGCCCCCGGGACGTGGCCAGGGCGGCAGGAGGGCACCCACGGGCTGTGCTCCCGTGAGGAGGGGCGGCTGAGATGAGGTCCCTCCCTCCCCCTGTGGCCTGGGCAAGTCACTGCCCCCCCTGGTTCCCTCACTCCCAACCTGCCTGGGAGAGGAGGTGAAGACAATGAGGGTTACCCCAAGGGCAGCCTGGGGTGGGGTGCCCCGGGCTGTGAAGACCCCCCTCCCCTCCCCCCCACCCCCATCCTACCCCAGCTTCCAACCCTTGAACAACAGGAGGCGCAAGGCCCCTGGGAAAATACAATTTGCAAGGCCAGTGGACACAGAGCACGCGCCTTGGCCTTTAACAAGGATTAGAAGGAGATTCTGAATCATCTCTACATACAGTCACATGCCCTCTTCCTGTGGGGCCGCTGGTCCAGGGCTCTGTTTAAAGCTGCAGACCACTCCCCAGGCCTGTCGCTGTGGCTGCTGAGCTAGGACGCCCGCCGCCGGCTCTGCACTGGGCCCGGCCGGCTCACTGCAGGAGGTGGACAGCGGCTGCCTTGCGCATGAGCCGCTCAGTCAGGGGCGAGTTGGGCTTCAAGGCGTCCCGCTCCATCAGAAGGCTTCTGCAGACACAGAGACGGGGCTGTTGGTGGAACCTTCTAGAAGGAGGTGGGGGCCCGATGGGTCGCTCAGCCCTGAAGCAGCTCCCAGGCAGCTGGGCTGGGGCTGACGTGGTCCGAGAGCAAGAAGCCCCCCTTCCAAGGCTGCGGGAGGGGGCAGCCTCAAGTTCTGGGCAGCGGGGGCCTGGGCCTGCCTGCCCTCCGCCTCCTGGCTCCAGCCCGGTCAGAAAGGAGAACGGCACTGAGGCCTGAAGGGTTGGTAGGGGGCATCAGGTGGCAAAGGACGGTATCCGAGGCGGAGGGCACACACGTGCAAGGCCCAGGGGCCTGGGAGGCAGCCGTGTCTGGGCAACTAGCTCAGCGTGGCCGGAACGAGGAGGGGCTGTGCCCTTCAAGCTGACATGGCAACAGGGAGGACCAAGCAGCAGAGCCTGGTGTCTGCGTAACCTCAAAGCTGGGAACCGCCCCGGCCCAGGGAGGTGGGGCCGCTGAGCATCCGGACGCCCCGGGGAGACCCCGTGTGAGAGCCGTGGCCTGAGACCCCGAGGAACTCACCGGGCCAGGTTCCTGTGGGGGCCCGAGGTGCACTGCAGGGCCGCGTGGATCAGCAGCTGGCTGAAGACGTCTCTCTGCAAGGTCACGGGCAGGTCAGGCTCCCGGACGTGGGTGAGGGAGGACACCCCCCTCCGGAAGGCCACCCGCTCTCGGGACGGGTTGGGGGCGAGGAGGTAAGGATACCCCACGCTGTGGGCTCCGTCCCTCGGAGCCTGGCAGGCAGCGGGCTCACCTGCGCGTTGCTGCCCCCGATCTGGACGATGCGGTAGCGGATGGGCAGCAGGAGCTCCAGGACGCGGTCGGGGTTCCCGCGGTCGGCCTCCACCAGGGCCTGGCACAGGGGCAGCCCCACGTCGCGGGCCAGGCGGTGCTGGCAGTTCTCCCCGGGGGACCTGCCGCGAAGGTGCCGTCAGGGGCCTGCCCGTCACAGCGCAGCTCTGCCCCTGCTCAGCCCATGGCCCTGGCCCTGAGCGTACAGGCAGCTCCCTGTTGCTGGGCACCTCGCCTGGCAGAGGGGTAGGGCAAGCGGCCGTGGTGGTGACCAGCTCAAGCGGTGGCCAAGGTCACCCTCCACCAGGCCTCAGGACAGACCACAGGGGGCACATACCCCGCCCCCCGGCGAGAGCCTCCCGGTGGAGGCCAGGCCTGGCTGCATCTCCAGGACCCGCCACAGAGGCCCCGCCCCCCAGGCTCCCTCTGGCCTCCACGGTGACGGGCAGTGGCCCCACCAGTGCCAGGAACCTGCACGAGGCGCGTCGCTGTCCCACCGCCTGCCTCAGCCGCACTGTCCCCGGTTTGAACACGGGGAAACTGAGGCTCGGGAAAAAGAAGTGCTTCCGGGACTCCACCACATCCCTGGGGGAGGCTGCCCGTGTGACAGGAGGCGCTCCCACCCACCCAGGGCTGCCCACCTGGAGGACGGAGGGTGCCCACCTGGGCTCACAGCTGGGAGCAGCCCTGGAGGCATCCCCACGGCCGTGCTCACAACGGGACCCCACCCCAGCCTCCCCGCACGGAGGCGCCCGGAGCCCTGGCCCCACGTACTCGCTGGCCTCCTGCAGGGTGGTCAGCAGCTCCTGCGTGGTCTGGGCGTCCCGCGCACCCAGCGACGCCATCAGGAAGTGGGCGTCGTTGAACAGCAGGATGTGGTCGCGGCTGTGCTCCCGGGTCACGGGCAGGACATCCCGCCACCGCTCGCCCACAGACACCCCTAGGACGCGGGGAGGAAACCGCCGCAGGCGTGAGGTTCCTGGGTCCCCGCACCCGCACGTGGGGCCCTAGGACCCTGCTCCGGGAGGAAGGCCGAGGCCTTCGGCAGGCTGACCGTTCCCTTCGTTCAGTTGTAAAGTCAATCAGTGCATCCGTCAGGAAAAGCCATCGAGGGCTTCAGGGCGTCTCTAGCCCCTTTAACAAATCCCCGAACCCCCTCGTAAATGCTTCCCACACTATTGCTAGTCCGGCGCCTGATAGTAACAGGTGCTCGATAAAACCTGCCAAGTAAGCAGCCTTCTTCCGCCTTCGCCCCCATTTCTCCACCCCGGACAGTCCCTGCTTCCGACCCTCTGACCCTCTCGCCGGCACCACCCCCTCCTGTCCTCCGCCCCCCGGGGCTCCGGGGGCTCCCCTTCTCCCGGGCACCCCGTAACCAGGGATGTTGCCCTGGGCAATTCCGGACCTGGCTGTGCGTCTCCACTCTGCGTGTGAGGGATGAGCGGCCGCTGTGCCCTCGCCCTGCCCCCGACCGTTCTGGACGGTTTTGGTGACGAGGGACACAGGCCTCCCCTAGACCAGGTTGCAGGTCCCAGCCTTGCCACCGGGACAGCCAGGAGGCAGCCTCTGCAGGGGTCCGCTCCCTCCCGATCCCCAGGGCCCCTCAAGGACCTCCCCACCTCCTCACTGTTTCCTCCGCCTCCTCCCACTTCCTCAGCCTCTGGCCTCAGCTTCCCCTGGCTCAGCCCCCACGGCTCAGCCCCCACGGCTCAGCCCCCACGGCTCAGCCCCCACGGCTCAGAGGCTCCTTCTCAAAGGCGGACTGGAGCCCGGCTGGTGCGGCTCAGTGGTTGAGCACCGACCCAGGAACCGAGAGGTCACGGTTCGGCTCCCGGCAGGGGCGGATGCCCTGGTTGCAGGCTGGGTCGCCAGTGGGGGGCGTGCAGGATCGGTGATGTTTCCCTCTCATCGATGTTTCTTTCCCTCTATGCCTCGCCCCTCCCCTCTCTAAAAATCAATAAAAACATATTAAAAATAACTAAGTAAAGCAGACTCGAGCCGTCCGTCCCTGCTCAGCGGCTCCTCTGAGGCCGAGGAAGGCCAGCTCCTCACTGGCCCGTGGCTGCGGCCTCCGTGCCGGGGGCTTTGGAGGGCTGCTCTCTGCCTGGACCACCGTCCCCGTCTCTGCCTGGCAAGCCCTGCGCACCCTCCACGGCCACGTTTCACCGCCACCGGGGAGCCGCCCCCCCCCCCCCCCCAGCGGCCTGCCCGCCTGCCTGTCTCACCCCCCACTGTCCTGCTGACCCAGGGTCGGGAGGGGCCCAGGCCGGCTCTGCTGGGCCTGGGAGGAGAACCATCGGGCGCAGAGCTGGCCAGGAGCCTCCGTCGCCCCAGAGCTGGGGCCAGCCCCGCCCAGCTCCCTGTAGAGCGTGGGTGACTGTGGAGAAACCGCTTTGAGCCTCAGGGGGCTGAGGACTCTCCCTTCCCTTGTTCTAGAAAAGGCGGCAGCACCAGAGACAGGTGGCCAGGTGCCAGCTGTGCCCGCAGGCCTGGTGGGCAGGCTGTGGGGAGCGCAGGTGCCACCCTGGGCACAGGGCCCGAGGCCTGCACACGGGAGGTGGTGGGAACTGGGAGAAAGGGCCGTGGCGCCTCGTCCCAGGCTCAGGCAGCTGGGAGGCAGCACAGCCCTCGTGCCCAAGGCCGTGGCTGGCGCGGGGGGAGGGGCGTCCCAGGACCTGCAGCGGGAGGGGAGGGTGGGGACCAAGGGGGGAGCAGGGAGCCGGCACCTTCCATCTGCAGCCGGTACAGCATGGAGCAGCTGTCCACCACGTCCAGCATGGCGCCGCTGGCCCGCAGGCTGGGGAGGATCTGGAAGGCAGGGTGGGCGAGGCCTCAGCAGCTCAAGTCCCCACCCCCCTCGTCCCCTCCCTGCCCCCCACACCAGGCACAGACCTGGGGGAGCATGTGCAGACCCGGCATCCGCCACCTCCCACCCCAGCCGTGGACCCCGCTCCCGGGCCCGAGTCTGCCCGTCCGCGGTTCTAGAAGGCTGGCTGGTCTCCACCTCGCGGCCCATGGCTCTCGGCACCCTTCTGCTCTCACCACGAGCCCTGACAGCACGAAGGACCCCTTCAGGAAAAAGGCCCAAGTGTCTTCCCCGGTGCTCAGCCCCCACGCACTTGTCTGACCTCAGGCCTCTGTCCTGAGGCCCGTACTGGGCTGCCTGGAGCTGGGAGTTAGGCTTTTTATTCTCTGAGAAGCATATCCAGCCCGGCCGGCGTGGCTCAGTGGTTGAGCATCGACCTAGGAACCAGGAGGTCACAGTTTCATTCCCGGTCGGGGCATAGGCCCGGGTTGCGGGCTCCATCCCCAGTGTGGGGCGTGCAGGAGGCAGCCGATTCATGGTTCTCTCTCATCATTGGGGTCCCCCCCCCCTCTCTCTCCCTTCCTCTCTGAAATCAATAAAAAGGCATTTTTTAAAAGCACATCTAGGGCTGGGAGAGGTGTGGGGAGTTAGTGCTCAGGGAGCACTGGGGGCGAGTTGAGAAGATGAAGCTCTGGGACAGTGGTGGGCCAGATGCACACCAATGCGAACGGACTCGATGCCACAGACCTGGACACCTAAAGCTGGTCAAAATGGCCGGTTTTAGATTCCGGACATTTTCCCACAATAAAAAATTCCTATTGGATCAATGGAGAAGAGCCTGGGATTTCAGAGACCACCAAGGTGTAATTCCACCAATGCCCGCAAGGGGGCACTGCCGACCCACCGTCTTCATCCCGCCACGCGTTCCCCTCCAGCGGTTGGCTGTTTCCGGCCGGGGCAGCCGTGATGGGCTCAAAGGTCTAGAGACTACAAGCCAAATTGCCGCAATAAACCGAACCGTGTGCAAACAGGGACTTACGTGGTCGTCGTAAATGGTCAGCGCGGCCTCATACTCGCCCTGGAAAAGCGAAGTTCCCGTGGTTACTGCTGAGAGGGCGAGGTGTGATCGGAGGAATGAACGGGGAACGCGCCACGAGGGCCCCCGCGCTACGGAGGGCTGGGTGCGCCTGGTGCGGACCTGGGGGTGGGAGCCTCGGCCGTCTCTGCCCTGGCCTGCGCTTCCGGTCACAGGAGACGGACGCGGCCTCGCTGCTAAGGGGACGCTTGTCACAGCACATTCTTCCTACAAGCGCTTGTCCACCTGCGGCCAGCTCCCTCCTGGACCCCCTCGTCTCCTCTCTGAGCTCCTCCCTGCACACACGGCTGCGATCACCGCTCCTCTGGGCAGCGTGTCACCGCGGTCTCCGTGTCCCTGCACGGTCCGTCTCCCCAGCACTCCTCCTCGGGCACTTAGGGGGCGTCCACAGTCTCTCTGAGAAGCAGCTTAGAGTGGAGCCAGTGGCAGAACCAGATGGGACCAGGCGTCCCCCCACCTGGCTCCCCTGGGGCAACGCATCGGGAGCGTCCTGGGCTCAGCAGGTCACCCAGCAAAAGGAACATTTGGTCTGAGGTGTGGCCGCAGGCTGCACACGACACGGCTGGTCTCCAAGTGCAGGCGGTGCCGGTGCCGGAGGTGGTTCAGGCCCGAAAAGCTATCAAAACCACGCAGCCTCTCCCACATCGGGACACCCCTTAAAGGCGCGCGCACAGCCCGGCCGGCCTGGCTCGGTAGGGAGGGATCGGCCCGTGGACCGAAGGGTCTCGGGTTCAATTCCCGTCCAGAGCGTGTACCTCGGTTGCGGGCTCGATCCCCGGCCCCGGTCAGGGTGCAAATGGAAGGTGCAAATCGAGGTGTCTCTCTCACATCAATGTGTCTCTCCCCCCTCCTTCCTCCCTTCCACTCTCAAAAAAAAAAAAAAAAAAAAAAAAAAAAACCAATGGGGAAAATATCCTCGGGTGAGGATAATAAATAAATGTGCGAACACACAGTACGGCTCCGCGGGACGTGAGGGCAGCGAAGGGCGGAAAAGCGTGTCTCTCTCCGGCCAGCTTCACGGGAAACACGCCAGGCGTCTTACCTTTTCAATCAGATACAAAGCCCAGTGCCAGTAGTTGTGACAAGCAAGCATGTCCGAGCCCTGGGGGGAGGAGAGAGTCGGAAACACTCCACAGCCCCTGGGAGAAAGGCCCGGATGTTGGCTTCTGTGGGCCCCACGCCCTGGAGTGTGGGGACACTTCCCGGGCACCCCTCAGAGGCCGGTCTGAGCCCGCGCTCCCACGCCGCCTCCTTCAGCGCCAGGGACGGCGGGTCGATGCCTGCGCTTGCTGAGGAGCCTGAGGCTGGGGAGCCGGCCACGGGTCAGCCCGAGCGAGGGAGCAGAGAAGCAGGGGTCACTCAGCTCCTCACCCACCTGCCTTGTGTGTGGGGTGAAGTGACCAGGAAATCACCCAGCACAGGGCCCACCGTGTCCACCTGCACAGGGCCCACCGTGTCCACCTGCACAGGGCCCACCGTGTCCACCCAGCACAGGGCCCACCGTGTCCACCCAGCACAGGGCCCACCGTGTCCACCCAGCACTGGGTCCACCGTGTCCACCTGTGCAAGGCCCACCGTGTCCACCTGCGCAGGGCCCACCGTGTCCACCCTGTGCAGGGCCCACCGTGTCCACCTGTGCAGGGCACCTGACGAAGCTGCCAGGGCCAGGAAGCTGGGGAACTCCTGCAGGGATTGGTGAGCCCCCAGCAGGGGGGGCAGGAGGACGCCTGGATGCCAGCCCTTCCTTCTACCGCCTGCCATGCAGCCGCCTGCTCCTCGCGGGCACCACCTCCGTCCCCTGGAAAGGGCCTGGCAGCCCCTCCATGGCCCCTGGCCTCTCTGCACCTGTGCTGAGGATGCAAGCTGCCGCCCCCTCTCCATCCCTGGGGTTTCAGAGACAACCGAGATGTGTAATTGCATCAGTTACCAATTGGTGTCTCTGCTCAGGCTGGCCCTTGGCTGGGGTACCGCCCCGCTGCCCCTCCTTCACCTGCAAACTCCTACACATCCTTCATCACCCAGCTCAAAGGCTGCCTTCACCAGGAAGCCTTCCCCGATCACTTCCCCTCAAGCCCAGTTCGGTCAGATGCCTCCCTGGGTGCTCACTCCCCCATGGGCCCTGGCCTGGGTGGCCCGTGGGCTGCCAGGAGCCTGCTCACTGCGCTTGACCAGGTCTTCTGAGGACCGAGAAGTCCAGGCTGGGCTCTCAGCGGGGTCCCCAGGGCCAGCACACAGCCGGGGACAGTGGCTGGAGGAGGAAAGCGCATCCCAGGCCACACTGTCCATTCCAGAGCTGCCCGGCCAGGCTGGAGGCCGCCAGCAGACACGGCAGGGGACAGGTGCAGACAGCAGGTGACGCGAGCCGGGCGGGAGTCGACCCCGGGAGCCTGCGCTGCCTCATCTTATATGTTTGGAACCAACACCCAAGGGAGCTCGCGTGGGCCAGGGCTTCAGAGCTGTCACCGTAGCAGGTGTAAGAGGAGGACCCCGAGGCTCCGAGGGTCACGTTCACGACCAGGACAGAGCCAGGTCAGCAAAAGCCGGGTCCCGGGAGACATGTGCACGGAAGGAGCTGAACGCCCCGGACGGGCCCCTCCATCCCCCGCCTCCCTCCGTTCTGCCGGGACAAGCCCTGGCCCAGCCGGGAGGGGCTGCGCGCTGCTCCCCCACCCCCAGACCCAGGGCTCCCCGGAACCAGCAGTCAGTATCTGCGTGGGGAGCCCGAGGCAGGTCCCACAGGGGCCCCCCAGGCTCTCCTGTCCCCGGAGCTGGGGGACCCTTCGGAAGACCTGTCACCATCTGCCTGCCGCCCGCACCGCTGCCGAGAAGCCCGGGGTCGCTCCCTGTCATCACCGAAGCCCCTGACGGACGGGGGGCCACACCAGGAAACCACCCTCCGTCGGAAACGCCCGACCTCGGATGCATGTATCCCACGCACTGACCCACGGCCCCCCGGCTCAGCGCGACCCACCCTAAAGGTGCTCGGGGACCGCCTCAGCCCGCGCTCGGGCGACCACCGACACGAGCCTGTTCTCCGATCAAGTGCCCAGCGTCTCATGAGCTTTATCACGCGTATCTCAGTGGGTGAGCGCCAGCCGCAGGCCCAGGGTCCGGGGTTCCATTCAGGGCCAAGGGCATCTACCTCAGCTGCAGGCTCGACCTCGGCCCTGGTCGGGCGCGTGTGGAGGGCAACTCATCGATGTCTTTCTCCCATCGATGTCTCTCTCTCTGTCTCTCCCCCTCCCTTCCACTCTCTCTAAAAATTGATGGAAAAATATCCTCAGGGAGGATTAACAACGAAAATAAAGCAATAAGGCTCCATGGCCCCATAGAAACGCACACCCTAATTCTAATCCTGGGGAGTGAGGGCCACCTGTCCTTCCCACAGGCACGTCCCAGGCTGGGAGCCGCCACGGACGCAGCCCCTGTGCCCGGTTCCTGGTGCTTCCGCGGTTTGCGCCGTCACTGAGGGCCCGCCGCTCGGTCCAGCCCGGGCAGAGACCCTCTGTCCTGGCCAGCGGCGCCCTGGGGAACCCACACGGCAAAGAGAAGGGCAGGGCAGCCACCGCACCTGGACAGGTGGCCAGGCTGTGCCAGACGCAAGCCCAGGACGACAGGTGCACATGGAGGGCAACCTCTGAGCCACCACAGCCAGGACGCCAGGAGGGGGCAGGGAGGTCCAGCCCTGCCCCACAGGACGCCCGCCCCCAGGCCAGCCCTGCAGACACTCCCTCGCCCTCACCTACGTCCTGCGGCCCGGCGCTCCCTGAGCCCACCCCTGGGTGCCATGCGGAGCCCTCACGGTTCCCGCCCATGCCAGGCTCCTTTCCCCGGGCACTTCCTGTCCATTCCTTTCACCCCGAATGACTCAGGCCAGGACCGACTCTAGAGTCACCTGCAAGACACTGGCCCAGGGGACACTGTGGCTGGACAGAAACGCCTCCCCAAACATGAGTTCCCGTGACCAAGCTACACCTGTCACTTCTGTCCACGACCCGTCCGGGCAGGTGACTGCGGCCCGATGCCTACCTTCCAGTGGGCTTCCGAGTGCTGCATGAAGTCCAGCCCGGCCTTGACCTCCGCCTTCATCTCGTGAATGTGGGCCACGGTGTGCACCGACCACGCGTCCGTGGGGGTCACAGACAACGCCTGGGGGGCAGGAAAGACGGGCGGATCAGTCAGGCTGTGGCTCGAGTTCTGCACACGCGGCCTGAGCTGGAGGCCGGACATCAGGTGGGGCCGGCGTGGGGACTGGGCTCAGCCTCAAACAAGAATGGCCCGAAGGCCAGGCCTGCTGACCCCCTGCAGGATCCCAAGGGCTGTCACACCCATTTCACAGATGGGACTGAGGCTGGCCCGGGACCACCCAGCCGTCTTCTCCCCGCCAGGGCGCGCCTGAAGGAAGGGCTGGCCGCGGGACCCTGCCCCCCAGCCCCCAGCCCCCCAGCCAGGGCCACCAGAGCAGCCTCCGCTCCAACTGTGGCTCATCTCCCGGAGTGACATTAGTGACAGTAGTGAGGTCCGAGGTGGGAGCACCCGCATTTCCATACACTCCCGGCCTCCCAAGCTCTGGCTCCCGCAGGGTCAGGCGGGCTCTGGAGGCAGACAGAGCGGTGCCAGGGCCGCCCTCCATGCCACCGGAGCGAGGGGCAGCCTCCCTGGCCTCGCTCGCCTTCCTCGCCTATGGAGGTAGTTTGTGCTTCGTGGCTCCGTGGGCCAAACCGTGGGAGGCGCTGGTGACCGGTGGCAGCTGCTGTTACCACGAGCCCTTCACCCCCGAATCCTCAAGGAAATGGGCACAGAGGGGGAACCTGGCCAGGGTCACCCACGAGCGGGTCCTCGTGCCCTGCCCCACGGACGCCAGCCCTGAGGCCGGCACCTCGGGGAGCCACCCACCTCTTTGGCGAGCTTCTCTGCCTGGTCGTAGAGGTTGGTTTCCATCAGCCCGAACGAGTAGATGCCTTTCACGTAGCTGAAGAGAGAGCGAAAGTCCTTTTTAAAAAGGGGACCAGCACCGTTCAACCCTCAGCACGACCTGCGCGGGCCGATGTGCCCCCACACACCCGTGTGCACACATGTCCTAGCGCGGAGTCAGGTGTGTGCACACGTGTCCTAGCACGGAGTCGGGTGTGTGCACACGTGTTCTAGCGCGGAGTCGGGTGTGTGCGGATGTGGTCACGCCAGGAGGTGGGTCCCAAATCCGGTGGCTGGTGCCCTGATGGCACGCGAAAGGAGAGCGAAGCTCGACACAGACACACACAGGACAGACCCGCGTGAGGACCGGGCAGGGACGGGTAGCACAGCCGTGAGCCGGGGACCCTCCCCTAGAGCCTTCGACGGGCCCCCGGCCCCTGGATTTCGGACCGCGGCCTCCGTAGCGGAGAGAGAATGAATCTGTGGTTTTAAGCCTCCCAGCCTGTGGCCGCGGTTCTGGCAGCGCCAGGAGCTGGTCCACTGGCCCGGTGCCAGGCACTACGCCGCGTGCGGGGTCCCAGCGAGCGGATGCCCTGGCTGGGGAGAGGCGGCGTGACCTTTATCATCTGCGTGACGGCTCCCAACCCAACCCCTGTCTCCGTGCTGGACCCTCTGCAATTCACATCCCACCTCCCAGGATGCCAAGGTCCCCACGGGGGCGGCAAGGGCCTTTTCCCTCCTGCCCGCGGGGGCTGCCCGAGAGGAGGGACAGCTCAGGGACAGCCCCGGGAGCCATGGTGACCGCGGGCTGTCAGCAGCTTCTCCCCAGACCCCAGCTCCTGGAGGCGGGGCCCCGTCTGTCCAACTGGCTCTCGCCCGGGCCCCGCCGAGCACGGGCTGGGCGACACAGCGCTGACTAACCGTGCCTTCCTCGCCCCGTCACCGCTGGCACCCAGCTCCCCACCGAGCTCCCCACCGAGCTCCCCACCGAGCTCCCGCACGCTTCCTGCGCTTCTGCGGGATTCCGCGGGGGCGAGAGAGAACCACGGAGCTTCTGTCTGCGACTCGGGTGTGGTCGTGTCTCCGTGGACAGGGGGACTCCGGCTTTACTCTCCATGGAAGCAGCGTTCTGGAGCCCTGGCTTCCGACTTTGCCTTTAAATATTCACGGGCTCTTCTTGGGGTCCTGTCACCGCGACAGCTGAGCGCGCACGGGATGCTCACGGCCGGCAGCCTCTACCGGCTCCGCGACAGTTACGCTGATGTCATCTCGGCAGGGCCACGGTGCGTCGTCGGGTCAGAGGCGATCTAGGTGCTGCTGTGACGGTCGTGCTTGTACGCGGCTGACATGTAAATCAGCAGATGACGCTCCATGGGTGGGTGTGGGTGGGCCTCGCCGCATCAGGCGAAGGTTTTCGAGCCGAGTCTGACCTCCCAGGGAGGAAGGAAGCGGCCTCCCCAGAAACGGCGACCCAGCACGCTCCCTGACTTTCCCGACTGCGCAGTCCTGCGGCCTGGGACTCGCCAGCCGCCAAGAGTGGAGCCAAGGCCGTACAATCCACGTCTCTACACGTACGCAGACACGGAGGCTGACGTTTGCATACCCGTGTAAGCACCATGAATACAGGTGCACACGTGGTACTGGTTCTGTTTCTCTGGAGAACCCTCACTCACACGGCTCTTCAGTCCATTCATCTGTTTGACCTTCACCACAATCCTCTGGTTAAGGGGCGACGAAGCCCTGGCCGGTGTGGCCCATGGTTAGGGTGTTGGCCTGCGCACCAAAGGGCCGCAGGTTCAATTCCCAGTCAAGGGCATGGACCTGCCTGGCAGGCTCGATCCCCAGCCCCGGTTGGGACACATGCAGGAGGCAACCAAACAATCGACGTCTCTCACCTCTCTCTCTCTCCCTCTCTCTCTCTCTCTCCTTCCCTTCCACTCTCTCTAAAAATCAATGGAAAAATGTGCTCGGGTGAGGATTAACAAACACAACAGCAAGAAGCTGCAATGGAGGCGACCCTGTGCGGTGTCACTCGGGCTGTTCACAGGTCCACCTACCCCTCCGCCCCCACCTCTCCCCTCCGAGCCACAGCAGAGCTGCGCTTGCTGGGTTCCTGGGAGGGTGGCCGGCTCTGGCCAATGACTCCGGGCCAGTGGTCCCCACCCTTTTTAGGCCACGCCCCACTTGAGCATCTCTAACTCCTGATGCTCCCTCTCCGTGACCTAGAATTCTTATTCTTCAAAAAGTGACCCCTATGCACGTGGAGGAAGCCTGAAAGGCCATTCACTTGGTCTAAACAAGCTTCCAAAGAACATGGCGTCCATGAGAGAGAAAAATAAAAGAACAAAAGGGCATTTCACTAAGGAATCACTAAGAAATTGTTGAGATAATAATAATATGAGGTGATGTGAAAAAACATCAAATAAAGTTTCAAAACGTATAATAGAGAACTGATATGCAGAAATACGTCACAATATATATTTATAGGCTGCATAGGAGGCCCCTAGAACCATAAGAAATGCACAAAACTCATTGTTAATAACTCATCCTCAAACTGCCCCCTTAACAACCAAACTGCCGCCCGTGGGGTGTGGGCCCCAGTGGGCCCCGCTGCTCTGAGCGCGTCGGCACCCTCATGAGTCCCTCAGGAGAGCTCCTTCTGCTCTTGGTGTGTCCGAGAGCAGGTGCTCCACCACCCGGAGTCCCAGAGGGTGGCCCCGCAGGGCACAGCGCCAGCCGCCTGGGACGGGCGGGGGCATGATGAGCAGAGACCTCGCTGTGGTCGCCCTGGAGGACCAGGTCTGCAGCAGGCTCATTGCCACGGCCAACTCCCCTGTGCTGACTGCGCAATGTGCCGCCTCACTCCCGGGTGGCGAGACGGCGGGTGAGGAAACCAGAAGAGCCACCGTGGCCTCACCTTGGGGGGAGGGCCAGGAGCCTGGCCCCAGCTCAGGGCAGGGGAGGGAGACTCGGCAGGAAATGATGTGGTTGCCAACGCACCTGCTCAGGGGGACGCCGGGTGTCCAGAAGGGGTAGACTCGGGCCGCAGAATCGCGCATCTGCTCCTGGTAGCCCAGGTAGAAGTAGGCGTCGTGGGAGAACTTGAGGGCCAGCATGTCGGTAGGGTGGTCCCGGAGAATCTGCTCCCACAGCTCGCAGGCTCCGGGGAAGTTCCTGGGAGGAGAGCGCGGGTTCTCAGCGACAGGGACACAGCCCACCTGCAGGGGGGAGCATCGCTTCCTGCCAGCTCCGCAGTCTGCCCCGCACTGGCCACACACACGCACACACATACATGCACATGCGCGTGCACATGTGTGCACACACATACACACGTGCACGCACACGCGGCAGGTCTTTCAATGACATCGTTCTGTTCAATGTTCTTTTAAAGAAATTTTTTTATGATTTCAGAGGGAGGGAGGGAGAGAAACATCAATAATGAGAATCACTGATCGGCTGCCTCCTGCGCGCCCCACACTGGGGATCGAGCCCACAACCCGGGCCTGTGCCCTGACTAGGAATCGAACCGTGACCTCGTGGTTCATAGGCTGACACTCAGCCACGGAGCCACGTGGCAGGGCTGGTGTCCTAGTAACACGGACAGGATGCTGTGGGAAGGTGGCGCTTGTCTATCAAGACGCCTGCGGTGAAATTGGCTTTTGTTACGTGTCCCTTTGTTTAAAGTCACGGAACGTACCACTGACATTAGCGAGGACTCAACTGTACGCATAGACGTATCTATGTCGGCTTGTGGCTCATAGAATCGATCACCCAGTGGGTGGTTGTTCTCCTGAATTCAAACCAGATGGGAGCACTGGCTTAACAAGCGGCCCCAAGCAATGTCCGTGGAGACCAGGAACCGGCGTGAGAGGCCTGGAGGCAGAAGCCCAGCCAGCGCTAAGCCCCGGCACTGACCCCCCAGGGGCCCGGGCAGCCTTCCTCTGTCCGCGGGCACTGACCCCCCAGGGAGCCAGGGCAGCCTTTCTCTGTCGCTTCCAGAACCTGCACAGCAGCTCAGGTGGCATCGCTCTGTGGGCATCTCCCCGGCCTGAGCAGACCAGGCCGCCCAGACACGGGCTCCGGCTCCGACGCCACTGGCAGGGGCAGTGGTGGGGAGAGCAGGTGTTGTGGGCAGATGCTCGAAGGGCGGGTAGGCAAAGGGGGAAGGTTTCTCTTCTATCTCTTATTTGTTTCTCTAATGTGGTCCTATTATTTTTGTAAGAAAATAATAACCAATTTATTGAATGAAACAGTGAGCTGCTTTGAAAGCCCTACGGGGACCCTGGCCAGCTCCTCCCTCCTTCACGGTCCCCGGGACAGGGCAGCGGGCAGCAGGTGAGTGTTGATCAGAGGCTGGGAGGCGGGGGCAATCACCCCGGGCCCCCTCCCGAGGGGCACTGGGCGGCCTGTGGCGCCGCCCCCAGGCCTCGGAGCGCCAGCCCCAGCCCCAGCCCCAGCCGGGTCGCTCCTCACCCCTTGGCGAAGGCCTCCACCGCAGACACGTGCAGCCGCTCCCTCGGCGTCAGCGGCTGGGCTTTGGACATCTCCACCATGTTCCTCACCGCCAGCGCCAGCTCTCGGTCCAGCCGCACGGAGCTCCCGGTGCCAATCAGCACCAGGCCGTTGGCGATGGCGTGGCCCATGGCTGGTGAAAGGTGGGGGGCAGCTGGTGATTCGCATGGCCCGCCCCGCCCTGCCCCACATGTGAAATGAGCAGCCCACGTCCCAGGAGGGGCAAGCGGGCGCAGGTGGGCAGTGCGCTGTGCCCCCACCAGAGTGCAGAGCTCAGCCGGGCCCTCACCCCCTCCTGCAGGCCACACCCTGAAAGCATCCTGCACCCCACAAACATCTGCCTCACGAGGGCAACTGGGGAGTGCGTGTCTGGAGCACCCCCTCACCAGCTGAAACTTTTTAAAAATTTAATCCTCAGCTGAGAATATTTTTCCCATTGATTTTCAGACAGAGTGGAGGGAGAGAGGGAGGGGAGAGAGAGAGACATCGGGGTGAGGGAGACACAGTGATTGGATGCCTCCTGCACGCTCCCTGACTGGGCTGGGGGCTGAACCCACAATCAAGGTATGCACCCTTGACCGGGAATGGAACCAGAAAGCCTTTGGTCCGCAGGCCGACGCTCTAACCACTGAGCAGACCAGCCAGGGCAGCGGAACCCCTCTTTCTCCAAACCTCGTTCTCATCTGAGAAATGGGATCAGTGTCTTTTTTGGAGAATGGGCGTCCAATTAGGGGGAAAGGTGCCTTCTCCAGACCCGGCATCGCCATGGGAGCAGCTGGTATTCCAACCACAACACAACACTGACTGGCCCCTCCCACCCCCTCCGTGCAAATGCCCGGCCGGGCACTGCCAGCCGCGACCCGGGGCCCAGCCCAGGGAGCGTCACTCACCGAAGGTCGGGTCTGCCGCCTTCAGCTTTGCCAGGCAGCCCTCGATGCCCCCGAGAGCCGCGTCGTTGGTCCACGTCACGTACTGAAACACAAGCACAGCGAGCCGTCGCGGGGCGGCGCTCCCGCTGGTGAGGGCGCGGCCCGCAGCCAGGCCTGTGCTCCTTCCTGGAACACGGGTGTTTTCTGGGCTCAAGGAAAGCAGGACTGGGTTGCTCTCAGCGAAGAGACTGAACACACGCACCTCGAGGCACGTTCTCTGGGGTTTCCAAAACCCCCACAGCCTCTAAAGCAGCGGTTCTCAACCTGTGGGTGGCGACCCCTTTGGGGGGTCGAAGGACCCTTTCACAGGGGTCGCCTAAGACCATCGGAAAACACATATATAATTACATATTGTTTTTGTGATTAATCACTATGCTTTCATTATGTCCGATTTGTGACCATGAAAATACATCCTGCATATCAGATATTTACATGACGATTCATAACAGTAGCAACATGACAGTGATGAAGTAGCCACGACAATAATTTTGTGGTTGGGGGTCACCACAACATGAGGAGCTGTATTGAAGGGTCGCGGCATTAGGAAGGTTGAGAACCACTGCTCTAGAGGAAGTCTGCCCGTGTCACCTGCCCCTACTCAGCGTCAGCCCTCGAGGGGCCGCCATAGGGCACCCCAGTGGGAGTCTTCTCCGCCTCGTTCACACCTTTTAAGAAGAACGTACAGTAGCCCTAGTCGGTGTGGCTCAGCGGATAGAGCGTGGGCCTGAAGACCGAAGGGTCCCAGGTTCAATTCTGGTCAAGAGTGCGTACCTCGGCTGCAGGCTCCTCCCTGGCCCCAGCCCTGGTTGGGGCCTCTGCAGGAGGCAACCAATCGATGTGTTTCTCTCACATCGGTGTTTCTCTCTGTCTTTCCCTCTCTCTTCTACTCTCTCTAAAAAAAGATCAATGGAAAAATATCCTCGGGTGAAGATTATACAATAAAAATAAATAAATAATAAAATACTTTTTAAAAGAAGAAAAACCATAGTAAATATGTATTATGAAAAGTCAGGCTGAGCCCTGGCTGGTGTGGCTCAGTGGTTGGACATTGTCCCATGCACTGAAAAGTCACCAGTTTGATTCCCAGTCAGGTCACATGCCCAGATTGTGGGTTCGATCCCTGGTTGGGGTGCATATGGGAGGCAACTGAATGATGTTTCTCTCTCACATGGATGTCTCTCTCCCTCTCCCTTTCTCTCTAAAATCAAGAATCCTATATAATAAAAGGCTAATATTCAAATTGTTCCCTCACCCGGAGCTCAACGAGGGGGCGGGGCCAGCCAACCACCTGAGGCCCCTCCCCCAGATAGCCCCACCCTCGGTCACCCCCCACCCCGTCAGGGGTGGGGCCAGCCTGCAACCTCCTGCGGCCCCTCCCCCTGACCGGCCCAATCACCCCCATCCGGGATGGCCGGCCAGACCCCACCCGTGCATGAATTCATGCACCGGGCCTCTAGTACTTTTTAAGAAGTGCTATGAAGCATGTCTGGGTCCCCATGAAGCCCTGCTCTCCCCAAGTTTCCCAGGAGACCTGGCTAGGAAGGATCCATGGGCTTCACTGTTCATAAAGCCAGGAGCACTGATGATGACATAAGGCCCCGAGAGTGCGAGTCCCTCACCTGCACACGGCCATCCCCCACTCCACCTGGAGGCCCAGCGAGGACCCCGGTCAGGATGCACGTGTAAGCGAGCCGTTAGAGGGGAGCTCAGAGCACCCTGGACACGGTGGAAGTAGCCTTCACACCGTGGCAGGAATGGACGAAGCTGTGAGATGAGCCCAGCAATGTAACAAGGAAAAACTAATTGAAAGCATTCACCAGCCGGCTGGCCTGGCTCAGTGGCTGAGCGTCGACCTATGAACCGGGAGGTCACGGTTCGATTCCGTCAAGAGCACAGGCCGGGTGACCGGCTCCATCCCCAGTGGGGGGCGTGCAGGAGGCAGCCGATCCATGATTCTCTCTCATTCAAGTTTCTATCCCTCTCTCCCTCTCCCTTCCTCTCTGAAGTCAATTAAAATATCTTTTAAAAAAGCATCCACCAATTTCTGAAACCTGGCCCTTTACGGAGGGGGCTGCGCCCTCGGGGGCATCACCTGGGTCAGGGTGGCATCGAACAGCTTGCAGGCCTCGTTGCTGGGGGTGGAGAGCGGGAGACCGGCGTCCTTCCACGCCTGCACACAGAGGGCATGCCAGTCAGGGCCTGTTCCACGCGGTCCTCGGAACAGGAACACACGCCCCCCCTAGCGCGGACCTCCCAGGCCCGGGGTCTGCAGGTGTGGGTCCCCGGAGGGCCCGGCGTGGACTCCCCGACTTCCCAGCTGGCGCGGGGCAGAGGTCCCCGCGGCCCCTAAAGGACGGTGCCCGCTGGGAGGTCCTTGCTGGCCCGCGGCGAATGGGCTCCAGGATGCGGGGGTGACCGGGAAGCGTCCTGGGCGCAGCGGAGGTCTGGGCTGGGGTGCCAGGCGGGGCGGGGTGAGGTGCGCCCGGCCTGCGCGCCCCCGGACAGCCCTTCAGCCCCGCAGATGGGACGGCCCGGCCGCCCGCAGCGCTGTCCGTGGCAAGTCCGAGGCCATGGGCACCGTTCACTGTAGCTGCCGCCCTGCCCTCGGTGTCCGCCGGGGACGCACAGGCCGGCCACTCCCCCGGGCGGGGACATGTCCTCTACTCCTCGCCAAGTGGAGCACCGCGTCCCCTGCTCCTCGGGACCCCTCCTTCCTCATCTGCAAAAGGAGCTGGTCCCCCGCCAGGCGCCCCGCGGTGCCACGCGGGGCTGGTGCTTTCTGGGAGGCTCCGGGGTCCCCACCCCGTTCCCTCGAGGGGGGGGCTTGGGGGGGGCGCGGTCCTCCGGGCCCTGTCGTGAGCCCCGGGGTCCTCCCCGCTGTACCTGGCAGTCGCGCAGCGGGGTGGACACAGCCATGGTGCGCGCTCCGTTCGGGGTGCCTGCGGGGTGCGGGGTGCGGGTCCGGCTCTGCGCGTGGCCTTCCGGGTGGGGGCGGGGCGCGGAGGGGCGGGGCGCGGCGCCGTGCTCCCCGCTGGCTCACTGGTCCGCTGGGGACGAAGCCGGACAGCGCCCCGCCTCACCCGGGGGAGGCGCGCGGGTCCGCGGGTCCGCCTCCGCCTCGGGGCTGCGGGCGCCAGGCCGGCTCCAGGGCTCACTCTGGTGTCCTCCAGCCGGTCTCGCCCCCCCAACTCCCGCTCCCCACCACCACCGAAGGGCCCCTCCCTGCTGGGGACCCCCTGGCCCAGGCGACTGCCGAGCCCCTGGGGGCAGAGGAGCCCTGGGCAGTTGTCACTGAAGCGCCTCGTAGTTCCACTAGGAAGCCAGGCGCGCACAGAGGTCTTTTTGGCCAACATCCCAGGCGACTTATCCTCCAGTGTCCGTCCATCCCGCTCCCTCTCGAGGACTTGCAGCCTGAGCTCCGCCCTCAGCCCCAAACCTCTAGCCACCGCCCCCCATCTCCGAATTTAATCGACCCCCCCCCCCCTCCCCAGGGCGCAGGAGGCAAGGGGTGAGCAGCTCAGGGCAGGTTAAAATGTTGATATTTTTGTTCACTATGATTTTTTTGCCTTAATTTTTGATTTTCAAAAATATTGCATTAATGTATTACTTGTCTCATGTAAGAGATGAAATTATAAAACTCTTAGGAGAAAACCGAGGGGTAAACCCTTGTGATGTTGGATCAGACAGTGGGTTTCTTAGATACGACACCAAAGGACAAGCAACAAAAGAAAACAGAAAAATTGGATTTCACCAAAATTAGAAAAACCTTCTTGCATCAAGGGACGTCATCAAGGAAGTGAAAAGACAACTGTGGGACAGGAGAGAACCCTGCAGATCACAGACGGCCAAGAATCCAGTGTCCAGGGCACACGAGGAATTCTCACCACGCAACAGCAAACGCAAACCTCCCAGCTTGAAATTAAGCAAAGCATGTGAGGAGACAGACATTCTCCAAAGAAAACCTAGAAATGGCCAGTGAGCACTGAAAAGCTGCCCCTCTGCCCTGGCGTGTGTGGCTCCGTCGGTTGGAGCAGAGTCCGGTACATGGAAAGGCCTCGGGTTTGGTTCCGGTTAGGGCACATGCCCAGGTTGCAGGTTCCATCCCTGGTCAGGCACCTGACTGATGTTTCTCCCCCTCCCCCTCCTCCATCCTTCCCCCTCCCCCTCCCTCCCCCTCCCCCTCCCTCCCTCTCTGTAAAATCAATGGAAACATATCCTCAGGTGAAGATTAAAAAAAAATGCTCAACATTATTAGTCAACAGGGAAATGCAGATCACAATCACAATGAAATGCCACTTCCCATCGGGTAGGTTGACCAGGAAAAACAGGTAAATCGGCTGCTGGCAAGGGCCCGGAGAAACCGAAACCTCATGCCCGGCTGGGGGAGTGTGAGGGGAGCGCCTGCCATGGGGACCGGTTTCCTGGCAGGGTGACAGGAAGGCTTCGGAACCCCTAGTGGTGACGGGTACACAGCACTGTGGATGTGCTAAATGCCCCTGAATTGTGCGCTTTAAAACGGTTAATTTTATGTGAACTTCACCTCAATAAAAACTATGATTTGTCTTTGCTTACTGAGGTTTTGGTTGCCCCTCCCTTACATTTTGCACCCCAGGTGAGTGCCTCCCTGCGCGCCCCCTCCCCCCCCCCCAGTCCACTGTAGCCTGGTGCCCACGTTGGAAAAGGTCTGGCTGGTACAAGTGAAATAACCAGACCCCGAGGCTCTGGCCTGCAGCCCTACACGACCAGGAGGCCCCAAGGCCCAGGACAGCACCGAGGGTGGCAGGCAGTGGCGGCTGGGTCACCCTTGAGGGCCTGTGGGCGAGCCGTGTCCTGCACCCTCCCCAGGATGGAGGTGGGTAGGAGCATGTCCTCGGGAACCCCCAAATGTGATGTGGTGTGTCCCCTCCCCCCCACCGCACCCCTTGCAGGTGGCGGGACCTTCCTGGAGGCTCAGAAGCTGGTGCCGTTGGCTGGGGCAGCTCTGAGCATGATGCTGGGAAGGCCCCGCCCCACTGGTCAGAGCACATGGAGCCTGGTGTGGGCTTGTCAGGGTGGGGAGAGGGGGAAGGGGGGCCAGGAACAGGCCTTTACTCAAGAGGGGCCCCTGGGAGAGTGGGGGGCTTGTTAACGACGTCCAAACGCCTGGGCTGAAGGGTGTCCATCAGGGGAGATCCTGCCTGAGGGAGGGGCCCGGCAGTGGGCGGGGGACCTCCAGGGAGCCCAGTGCGCCCTCAGTGAGCTCAGCTGCAGCCACAGCCTCCACACAGGTGCCTCTTTCACTGCCACCTGTGGGCTCAGAAGTGCCCTGGGGCGAAGGGCAAAGGTCAGAGCTGGGTGTGAAGACAGCCAACATACCTGAACTTCAAGTTTTGACTCACCTCCTGCCTCGTTCTCGCCTCCCTGCCTTCGCGCTTACAGGTCCCTCCGCTAGTGGCTCACTCGGAGGCTCGGCCCCTCCTTTCATGCAGGCCCGCTGGCTCCGGGGGCACCCGCTCCAAGAGGCCTTCCCTGGCTCCCTCGCCCCGTCCTCAGTCCTTCTCCCTTCGACTGCTTTATTCTCCTTCACACCCTGCCACACCGGAAGTCGGCCGCACAAGCCCTGGTCGGTTAGGGTTGTCTCTCACCCCCGTTGTCATGGAAGCCCCTTGAGAACGGGACCAGGGCTGATGCCTAGAAAAACGCCTGCACATAGCAGATATTCAAGAAATATATGTGGAGGGACTGATGCTAAATTAGTGCATGAGGAAGGGAAGAAGGAAATCAGAGGGGATGATGAAAACCGAGTAATAAAGGGGTAGGCCCACCTCTAAACATTTCAATAATCACACTAAGTGTTGATGGTTTAAATATTTCAATTAAAAGGCTGAGATAGACTGAGCAGATAAAACAAAACCAACCCTCTTAAATATTGCCTACCGAAAAAACGCTTTAAATATGAAGACAAAATTAATCTAAAAAGATATGTCATATAGACAGTAAGCGTAAGAGGGCCCGTGTGGCTATTTTATTTCATCCCGCCCACCCACCCCATTTTATTCGAGCATAACTGACATGCTAGGTGACTACTTTAATATCAGGTAAAATGGACTTCAAACCAAGGATTATTACCAGCAATAGAGACATTTCATAATGATAAGAGGGGCGGCTCATCAGGAAGCATAACGCCAATGTGTGCGCCCTACTCAGCCCAGCTCCGCGTGCGAAACGCCGAAACTGACAGACTGGACGCTGAGCGGGATGGTTTCGCCGTCCTACCAGGAGGGACCAATGCCGCCGCCGCAGCAGCTGATAGAACGAGACAGAAGTTCAGGAAGACTGCGCTTGGGGGGTAGGGGGTAACGTGGGGATAAGGACACATATGTAATAACTTCATCAATAAAAAAATTTTTTAAAAAAGACTGCCCTCATACAAGCACCCGGCTCGCAATGGCGTTTCCGGAACATTCCCCAGCAACAGCAGAACACACATTTTCACGTGCACGCGGAACACGCAGGCGGACAGACCCACCACGGCTCTCAAGCTGCCTCCACCAACGTGAGGAATAACACATCACACAGAACATACTCTCTGACCACAACGGAACTCAGTCAGAAATCAATGCCCAGACGAGTTCCACAGACACTCCCAACCTGGGGAAATTAAACAGCGCACTTTTAACTCATGGCTCCAACCCAAACTTAAAGACACTCTTAATGGAACTATAAAATACAACACCTGCGGGTGGGGGCAGTGCTTGGAAGGAAACTCAGAGCAGTAAACACTTCTGTTCGCCAGAGGAGAGATTAAAATGAAAGACTCGGGGTTTCACATTTAAAAAGTAGAAAAAAAGAACGGCTGGTGTGGCTCAGTGAGTAGAGCATCCGCCTGTGGACCGAAGGGTCCAGGTTCGATTCCCGGTTAGGGCACAGGCATGGGCTCGATCCCCAGTGGGGGGCGTGCAGGAGGCAGCGGATCCATGATCCTCTTTCATCATGGATGTTTCTGTCTCTCCCTTTCCCTTCCTCTCTGAAATCAATAAAAAATAAGAAATAGAAAAAGAAAAGCAAAGTAAGAAACCCCGAGTCCGCCCTCCTTGGGTGCTCACCGTCCCTGGTCCCCACTGTCCCGTTGTCCTGGCGACGGGGGTCCTGCCAAGGGGCCGCCTCAGTGGGTCAAGACAGGAGGCCACCTGAATCCCGCAATCCGCCCCCCCACCTGTGACCCCGTGACCCCGCGGCCCCGTGACCCCCGCGGCCCGTGCTCGGCCGGCAGTTGGCGCACCGTGGCCGCGCCTCCGCCTTCGCCGCGCCTCGCAGCTCCCGGCGGCCATCATGCGGCCGGCGCTGCTCCTCCTGCTCCTGGGCCTGGGCCTGCGCTGCGGCGGCCTCCCTCCGCCCCCCGCCACTCGCGGGCCCCGGACCGGCGTCTCCATCCGGGCCCCGGGAGCGCCTGCCGCGGCCCCGGGCGGCTCACCCCCGGCCTGGCCCCGCCTCCCGGCTCCCGGACAGGCGGCCGCGCTGAGCTCCGTCGCCGTCGCCGGTGTCCCGGGGGCCCAGGGCCTCCCTCCGCTCCGCGGCCATGCTCGCTTCGGCCTGCGACCAGGCGTGGCCCTCGGCGGCGGCGTCCTGAGTGGAAGTGGCCGCGGCCTCTGCTCCTCCCGCGGCCCCGCGTGGCGGCCGCGCTGGCACTGCCTCCACGTGCGCGTCCTGCTCCGCGCGCTCCGTGCCCGCCGCGCAGCGCCCACCCGCATGGACCCGCACCTGCCGGCGCGCGGGGGCCAGCGCTCCCTGCGGAGGTCCGCCCCTCTGCGCCGCTTGCTCCGGCTTCGGGAACGGACCTTGCACCTCGGACTGGTCAGCCCCACTGAGGCCTCCTCAGCCTCCAGGGGCCTTCACCCCGACGCGGGCTTCGAGACCCAAACCAAGTGTCCGACAGATGTCAACTCCGGCAGTTGGCCAGCCGGGGAGTCCGCCGTGTCCTGTGGGTTCTCGAGACAGGTGACTTGCAGCATCAAGAAGGTGCAGATCAACAGGAATCCGGGCCTGCCCATTGTGCTGCTGACCAGGAGGATGGACATCTCCCTAAATGCCACCTTTCAGTACGACTGCCCGGTGGCTCACATCGCACAGTCTAACTGGAAGGTCTTCTCTGTGCAGTCTCTCCACCACCAGCCGGACTGGACGAAACCTCTGGTGGTGCCCGGCTTCCAGTTAGGGAACGATCCAACAGTCATGCACATCCCCAAGAAAACGTTATCTTTGGGGGTGTACGTGTTCAATTTCTCAGCGATCCTGGCCCCCTCTTTGCCACAAGCTGCAGTGGACAAAGGCTCAGATAGCATCTACGTCTCGATCCTTAGTGACTTCCTGCAGGCGGTTCTTCTTGGGGAGGTCAACATGACAATTAAGTTCACAGACCAGCTGGTTCTGGACGGATCAACGTCCATGGACCCAGATGTAGACAACCCTTTAGAGGGAGTCCAGTTCTCCTGGTTCTGCACCACAAATTCCAAGAACTACAACAGAGACAAAATAAACGTGATAAGCAAGGAAGTTTGCCTCCCAAAGCAGGTGGATCTCAAGCTGACCTGGGCCTCTGACCCTGTACTGACAATTTCCCCAGAAACACTGAGAGGGGGCCACGTGTATTTTTTCAGAATGGTGATACAGAAGGCTCCCAGATCCGCATATTCTGATAAAAGGGTCCACGTGCTCCAAGCACCGGCACCGAAAGCAAGTATTTTGTGTATTGAAAACTGTGGCAGGATTTTGGTTCTATCAGATCGGTTCTCTCTGTCTCTAAATTGCCCCGATTGTGCCAGAAGCCGGGAAGTGTACAAGTGGTCCATCCTGCGGGCTTCAGGGGATGAGGTCACATTTGATTGGTTGGGGCAAACTTCAACGGGAAGGGACAGTGATTCTTTGTCTATAAAAACTTTTGCTTTTAGGAATTTTTCTGAAGCTCAGTTCTGGATTGCTTTAGATCTAGAAACTTGGGGTGGAGTGAACTTGAACCTCAGGCATTCCTTTACTATTAACTATGCCCCTGCAATTGGAGATTGCAAAATTAATCCAACTAGTGGGATTGCCTTTTTTACTAAGTTTGTTGTCCAGTGTAATAATTTTAAGGATCAGAACATCCCTCTGACATATAAAATGATCGTGTCTGATTTGTACGATGGCTTTGGCGAAATCAGTTCTTTAACAGAGAACACCTTGGGGCCCATCCTGTATGTGGGCAACGATCCCAAATGCCCCCCTTCCTTTCTCCCCGTCGGTGGGGGGGACAGTCATTACTCCTTGAAGGTCTTTGTCCAGGTGTATGACTCTCTGGCAGCTTTTTCTCAGGTGACTCTTTACGCCACTGTACAAGCTCCTACGGGCCAAGCCTCACCCCAGGCCATACTGAATCAGTTAGTCAATTTCACCGTGGGACCAAATTCAGAGATCTCTACTTTGCTTCAAAAGCAGGAGTTTTCGTTCGCTGGTTACTTAATGTACGTAGTGGCCTCCGTTCTGAACAGCATGAAACCCGAACCAGCCCTGCAGGCGGACAAAGCCTGGCTCCGGGAACACCTGGTCAACCAGTCTGCCCTCCTCCCCATGAACACCCTGATGGAAATTAACCAGGTGGTCACGGTGTTTGCCAAATTAACCCAGAGAACGTCGGAATTTCCTCAGGCTGCTCGGCAATCTGCCACAGAAAGGATGTGGCAAGCAAATCGAGCCTTCCAGCAGCATCAGCAGAAAGGCAAAAACCTGCACTCTGAGCAGATAGAGATAATGACCACCGGGATCCTAACAAGCGTGTCGAACATCCTTAAAATGACCGATCCTCACGTAATTTCTGTCGACCCTTTCCGGCTCATACAGTCCCTAGCAGACACGATCCTGGCCGGCAAAGTGCCGGATGATGGGAGCACCGTGATGAGCTCCGCCAGCTTTACCATGTATGCCAGCAAGATGGAAAAGTGGGCTGTTTCCAACAACATGTTGGGCAACGAGAGACACTGTCGAAATTGTTTCCAACCAACACTAAATGTGAGCAGCATTCCAAGTCTGTCTGCCAATGCTCCTGTTTCTGTGGTGTTTTGTGAGTTTGCAGACGACCCCTTCCCTTGGTTAAATTACCAGGACAGCCTTGCGGCAGATGTGGTTGGATTCAGATTGACAGGAATCGCGGCCAACGGTGACGAGCTGGAGGTCACCCCCGACGTAGTGGACGTGTATGTCAGCAGGAGGAACCTGAGCTCTGCAGCTTTCAACCTCACCGTGGGCCCCGACCACGAGCCTGATAACGCTGACGAGTCCTCGAGGATGACGACGGGGGCGTTCCGCTTCGAAGTGGACAGCCATGCGGTGCGGGAGCTGCTTGTTCACATCGTGACGGAGGTGACCGTGCAGTTCACTGTGCTGGTGTACGCCGGCGGGCAGATCACCCCCTCCGCCTTGGTCGCCACCTTCCTTGTGCCCCACGGTATCCCTCCCATTGCCAACCAGAGCGGCCTGTTCGACCCGGCCTGTGCAGTGACCGTGCCCCGCCTGGTTTGCCTCCCGCTGTCCCTGCTACAGGTCATAGCTCAGCGGGGCCACTCGCCTGAGTGTGTCATAATCATGGTTCTGAAGGCACCTCATTTTGTCATGCAGCCCAGTGACAAGCTGGTGAGGATTTCTCTTTTCAGTGTCCGCTGCCTGGACATGTACGGGGTCCAGAGCGACTGGACAGAAGACACCTGTGTCCTCGGGGAGAAGACCACCTGGGACCGAGTGCACTGTGTCTGCAGGAAGGCCAGGCGGGCCCGGCGGCAGCTGGCCAACATTCCCTTGCACTTCCGCTACTTGACTGCCAAGGTGATCGTGCCCCCCAACCCTGTGGATCTACGGTTAGAGGCCATCAAGAATGTCACCCAGAACCCCGTGACACTCTTCGTCGTCCTTTTCATTCTGGTCACGTACATCGTCCTAGCTTTCTGGGCCTTGCACAGAGACGAAACAGACCAGTACCTTCGGGACCACGCCATAGTCCTCCCTGATAACGACCCTTACGATAACATATGTTACCTCGTCACTTTTTTCACAGGAAGCCGTTGTGGGTCCGGCACCAGGGCCAATGTTTTTGTCCAACTTGCGGGGACACAGAGCGCCAGTGCTGTGCATTGTCTAAGCCACCCACATTTTAAAACTCTCTACCGGGCAAGCGTCCACACTTTCCTCCTAACGACCAGCAGGGACTTGGGGGACATTCAGTCCATCCGCGTGTGGCACAACAACGAGGGCCATGCCCCCGGCTGGTACTTAAGTCGAATCAAAGTGGAGAACCTGTTCAGCAGGCACATCTGGCTGTTCATGTGTCGCGAGTGGCTTTCTATCGAGACCTCTTTGGACAGAACGTTTCCCGTCACCGACCCCAATACGCCACTGCAGAGAATGGACTTCTTGCTCATCGATGCGACGGACAACCTGGGGAAGAATCACCTGTGGTTCTCCGTGTTTGCCGGCGTCATTGCCCACGGCTTCAATCGGCTGCAGCGGCTGTCCTGCTGCCTGGCCATGCTGCTGTCCACCCTCCTGTGCAACATCATGTTCTTCAACCTGGACACGGAGAAGCAAGACAAACAAGACCAAGGGAACCGATACATCAGATCGATGATGATCGGCTTGGAGAGCGTCCTGATCACCCTCCCGGTGCAGGTCATAATCACGGGGCTGTTCACCTACTCCCAGCGGAGACCGCAGGCGACCCTGGACAAGGTGACGCCTCAGGAGTACCCAGAGGTGGCAGAGGCGAGCGGCCACTGGGAGGAGCGGCTGGAGAGGTGGCACGCCCAGGAGACGGAGACGGCTGCAGAGGCGCGGTCCCAGAAGCAGCGCTCCCTGAGGGCGCGTTCCCAGAGGGCGCGCTCCCAGAGGGCACGCTCCCAAGAGGCGCATGCCCAGGAGGCGCGGTCCCATAAGGAGCACTCCCAGAAGGCGCGCTCCCAGAAGGCACGCTCCCAAGAGGCGCATGCCCAGGAGACGGCCGCAGAGGCGCGCTCCCAAGAGGCGCGTGCCCAGGAGGCGCGGTCCCAGAAGGAGCGCTCCCAGAAGGCGAGCGCCCGCAAGGCCCAGCAGTCCCTCACCAGGAAGCTCACAGGACGCCATAAGTCTCTTTCCAAGAGGACCTCCAAAGCAGGGCACTCGCTTAGGAAAAAAGACAGCAAGGGCCCACACACCCCCGGCACCAACACCAACGCCAACGCCAACAACGAAAACATGAACAACAGTCCCCAGGTGCCCTCCGCACAGCCGCCGCCCCCGCCCCAAGACCAAGAACCATGGGATCCACTTGCACCCCCGCCCCCATCCACAAAGCCCAGGACCACCCTGCCCGGGTGGTGCAAGTGGATCGCGTGGTTCTTGGTCTTCGCCACTTCGGGGGTGTCCTCGTTCTTCATTGTGTTTTACGGCCTGACCTACGGCTATGAGAAGTCGACTGAGTGGCTCTTTGCATCGCTCTGTTCCTTCTGCGAGTCCGTTTTCCTGGTGCAGCCTTCGAAAATTATCCTCTTCACAGGCATGCGAACCAACAGGCTCAAGTACTGCAAAAACCTCTCCTGGGTCAGCAACTACCGCTACACCGAGATCCAGCTGCCGGGCCTCAGGCTGCGTCCCGAGGAGATGCGCCAGCGGCACCAGGACGTCGCCCGCCTCCGAGGCAGCAGCATGTACCAGCCTCTCACGCAGGACGAAGTCGGGATATTCAGAAGGAAGAGGGCGCTCAAGAGGCGAGCCCTGCTGTTCCTGGGTCACTTCCTCACTCACTGCATCTTTCTAGCCCTTCTGCTGGGCCTCGTCGCCCTCCTCCGCCGCACGGACAGCTTCCGCTACAACCAGTTCATCCGCAGCCGCTTCTCTGTGGATCTTGCTACGGTCACCAAGCTGGACGACATCTACCCGTGGCTCCACAGCGCGCTGCTGCCTTTGTTTCACAACGACCTCCACCCAACGTTTCTTCCCGACAGCTCCTCCAAAATCCTCGGCCTCCCACTGCTGAGGCAGGTGAGGGCCACGCCTGGCCCCAGGGCCTGTCGGCCGGCCAAGCGCTTTCCGCCCAACAGCATCGAAGGAGAGATTCGCTGCCATCCCGAGTACGGGGCCGACCCAGAGGACACCAGCGACCACCCCGGCTTCTGGAAGAAAGTTGCTAAGCGGGAGGCAGACAAGAACACCAACGGGTTTACCTATAAGCCTCCGGAGGAGAGGTGGGTGTACTACTCCTACGGACTTCTCCACACCTACGGCTCGGGGGGGTATGTTTTCTATTTCTTCCCAGACCAGCAGCAGTTTAATTCCACACTGAGGCTCAGGGACCTCCAGAGCGGCCGCTGGCTGGACGAGAAGACGTGGGCTGTGATCCTGGAGCTGACCACGCTGAACGCGGACGCGGGGCTGCTCGGCAGCACTTCCGTCCTGTTTGAGGTCTCTCAGTTAGGGGTCGTGAACGCGAGCATATCCGTGCACTCCTTCTCACTGGCGGATCTGAACAGAGACACGTCGGCAGAGATCTACCTGTACGTGGCCATTCTCGTGTTTTTCGTGGCCTACGTCGTGTACGAGGGCTACGTCATCACGCAGAAGGGGGCCTCCTACCTGGCCAATGCGAACAACTTGTTCAACTTGGCACTCAAGTGCACCCTTGCCGTGCTGATTGTGCTGTTTCTCAGGAAATACTTCTTGGCCACTGGCATCATTCAGTTCTACTCATCGAACCCCGTGGATTTCATTCCCTTTCACGCCGTTGCGAAAGTGGACCGTGCCCTGGGGATGGTTTTGGGCCTCCTGCTGTTCCTGACCATTCTGAAGACCCTCAGGTACTTCAGGTTCTTTTACCACGTGCGCCTGGCTGAGCGGGTCCTCCAGACCGCCCTGCCCGGCATCTGCCACGTGGCGCTCCTGGTGTTCGTGTATTTCTTTCTGTTCGTGGCTTTTGGCCACCTGGTGTTCAGTCAGCATGAGTGGGGCTACAGCACCTTGATCCGCGCCACGCAGACAGTCTTCTCCTACTGCACGGCAGCCCTCCGGGACGCGGAGTTTTCCAGCAACAGGGCCCTCGGGGTCCTGCTCCTCGCGGCGTTTGTGCTGCTGCTGATCTGCGTATTGATCCACTTGTTTACGGCTGTGATCCTCTCTGCCTACAAGGCCCTGAGGCAGCCCGTGTATGAGGAACCTTCGGGCGAAGTGGAAGCCATCGCCTACCTGTGCGGCAAGCTCAGGACGGTGTTTGGCTTCCTGTGCTGCCAACCCAAGGCCCAAGAGCAGCGGGAGCTCTTCGTGGACATGCTCTACGGGAAGCCGGAGAGGCACAGCAGCCACTACCTGGGGCTGAAGACCAGGAACATCAACGAGAAGAAGATGGTGTACCTGGTGGTGTGACCGGGACAGCTTCCGGGCTGCAGGCGAGGCTCTCCCACCTGATGTGCAGTTTAGAGGTTCCGTCCTGCTATCTGCCTGTGTCCTGCACAATGCACCCCCCACATTTTATAGGGTTCCCACTCTCGGTCGCCACTTTTAGGAACGTGACAGGAAGGGTATAGCACACACCCGGGCGGGGGGCGGTGCCAGACATCCTGGGATGGGCTCCCTGTAGGGGCGCTGGGGGTCTTTGGAGCCCATAGAGTTTAGAGGGTTAGAGACCCAGGTTTGGGGGAGGGAGCTAAAGATCTCCCCAACCTCCCCAGCTGCCCACACACCTCGCTGGGAGTTCTTTTCACAGATCAGAGCTTCCTGACCCTTGTCCCTTGCAGCCCCCACATTCCAGCTGGGCCAGGGCCGGAGGGGCTTGTGGGGAGTTCTGGATGCGCCCTGAGTTTGCCATGCAGGGATGAGGAGGGTGGTCAGAAGTCTGAAGCTTCCCATCGACTCCCTAAGGGTCCTTCAAATTAAAGATGTAAAACCATAATATTTCCTGGCCATGAGACAGTTTTCGTTAGACAACAAGGGGTGAGTGTGGGCTCACTCTGAGCGGAGGCACCTGTTCTGTGTGTTGTACACCCAGGGTCTGGGCCTTCTGTTGTTTACGGCCTGGTGGATGGTTATTGAACAATAAAGAAAATGTGGTTTGTTTCAGAGAAACGCCCGGCAGCGGTGGTATTTCCCTCAGAAGCACGTTCCTTCGTGTAGATCCTGTATCAGAATTACGTGTGACTTCCGGGAGGCGTGCAGGGGCTTCTGCAGGAGGCACCTACACGGCTCCTGCCCTGGAAGTCAGCCTGTGGGCGCTCTGTCCCAGGTGTTCCTCACTCGCCAGGCGGCCCTGCAACCCTGGCAGGCACCTAGGAGCTCCCAGGGGCTCCTCCTGGGGGGCTGCCTGCGAGCCTGGGGCGGCTGCGGTCTTCTCTGCCAGGTAAGAAACAGAGAGGTTCAGTGGCCCCTCACACGGTTAAGGTCAGAGGTCGGATCTGGGTTTTCTAAGTGCCCTTTGGGGAGGTCGCGGGGGTCACACTGCCCACTGCTCCTGACTGTAGGGCATGTTTGTAGTTAGCTCCTCTCTTAGCCGCCTGAGTTTGGGTCAGGTTGAAAGACAGAGTGACCGTGTGGGAGGGGCAAACGACTCTTTACTGATGGGGGCCAGCTTCGCTCCCTGAGATGCACTTGCCCACTGAGCTGCAGGATGAGGGAGGTTCGGCCCCAGGTGAGGGCCGTGCAGGGCCGGCCCCTCTGAGAGGCTTCTGAGACTGATGGCTTCTCTCCGGGCGCTCCGGAGGCCTCGGGGGCACACTAGTTGGCCTCCCTTCCCAGGAAGACAGCTCCAGGGCTGGGAGGACCCTCCCGCCCAGGTCAGCATAGCGTCTCGGGACTCAGAGCTGTGCCGCAGGAGAGGGAGTTACAGGGTCACAAACACAGGCCCAAGCGGACAGTCCTGCTGCAGAGTCCCTGGGGGTCCAGGAACAGGGTGGTCCCAGCATGTGGTCTGAGTGAGGACCAGGATGGCAGCGGAGGTGCTATGAGGTTTCCAGGCGAAGTCCAGCAGTGGCAGGGCCTTCCACGCCCTGGGAGAGCAGAGCTGCGGGGCCCCTGGTCGGGGAGAGCCAGGGCCAGTACTTCTTGTCCTTTAGAAACAGACGTGGAATTAGAGCTTTATCAGGGAAATAAGGGGACCAGGGACACAAATCAAAACTCTGAAGGCTATTTTCACAGGACGTGGCGACAATTTCTAAGTCTTCCGGGACTCCCCTTTTCCTGTCGTATTTCCGGGAAGAGGGTGGGTATATTCCAGAACACATCGTCCACAGCTCTAAACCAACTCCTTCCCAAGTCTGTATGGCACAGGAACACAGACATATTCCCAATTCAGCCCCCTCTGAACACGTCTGACATGCAGAGCGCTCCCTGTGGCTCAGGGAGCCGAGCCGTGCCCTCCATCTGTTAATGACGAAGACTTGCTTTCAGGCCTGCTTCTGTGTGCCATACTGTTGACACTTTCTTAGAAACTACACAACACTGAAGGCACTTTATCCACTGGCCACAGACACAGCAGGTCCTCAAATAACCTTGTTCTGCCCAACGTCATGTTGTTATAACATTGATGGGAAGAAAAATAAATCAATTCCGATTCTGGCGGGGACCCCTGTGCGAAGTGTGTGTGCCCCCAGGCTGGGTGGGTTTTCTCATTTCCTCCCAGGGCCGAAAATGTGCCTGGTAGGCACCCTGGCCTGTCTCACCTGCCCCAGGCACAGTGAGTGTGGGTGAGCGTGACCGATATTCATGGTTCAACTCTAAACCTAAAGCTTCAAGGGTTTTATGGACCATTCAAGTTGATAGTCAGCAGAGTGAAGTTTCTTCCAGGTGCAATCATTAAGAACTAGCGACAAACTATGACTCGGGAGAGGCTGCGTAACTCGGCGCCTCGCGGGACTGGAGGCCAGGAGTGAGGTGGGGGGTCCGGCAGCAGGGTGAGGAGAGCCTGGGAGCTGAAGGATGGAGGGGCCCGGGTCACCCAGGGCTTCGCAGGCCACAAGGGCTCCGGAGGAGCGCGGTGACATGGCACAAGCGCACACGGCTGCACAAAGGTCCAGTTAACACAGGGCTCGCGCAGAACCCATCACTCAGTTGCCTTACGGGGCGCACTCGGCCCTGCCTGCGGCCAGCAGCTCGGGCGCGGACAGGGTGCAGGAAGCTCAGACCAGGACGCTCAGGCTCCAGCGCGTGGTCAGCGGCCTTGGACCTCCGCGCAGTCAGGTTATTTGCCAGCCGTGCCCCGGCTCTGAAGAACCCGGTGGAAAGCTCGGGAAGAAGCCGAGAACAGTAGAGCAGCCAGACCGCAGGCCAAGTAGGCGTCCCCCGGCCGGAGAAAGGCTAGGCCGCCCCCAAAAGCCAGGGACCAAGAGGACACAGCGGAGGCGGAAGTCCGACCAAAGCGTCCTCCCGCGCTGCGCATGCGCTCGGGCCCCTGGGACTGGGAGAGGAACCGCGCACGCGCTGTGGGCGGTCATGGAACGGGGGTGGAGCCAGGGGGGGCCGCGCAGGCGCTGTGGGCGGTCACGGGACGGGGGCGGGGCCAGGGCGGGGCCGCGCAGGCGCCGTGGGCAATTGGGGGGCGGGGCCGCGCAGACGCCGCGGGAGGGGGTTGCGGGTGGCGGTGGAGGTGAGTGGAGCCGCCGGACGGCGTGGCGGGGGCGTGCGAGGCGTTGGCTGCGTCCTGCCCAGCGCCTGTTGCTCGCCCGCCGACCTCGGCCCCTCGGCGGTGGTCCGCGGGGTTCTGAGTGCCAGTGGTGGGAGTCGCTGCCCCGCGGCGCCAGGGACGGGACTCCCAGACCCCAGAAGGCCCCGCGCTGAGACGGGGAAGGAGCGAAAGCGACGGGCCCAGAGGAGCGGGGCAAGCCCCGTGGGACAGCGAGCAGCCCAACACACAGGGACCCCAAACTGGACACACACCAACAGCGGCAGCTCCATGATGCAAAGGAAATGCATTTTAGTAAACACTGCCTTTATAATTCTTTAAAGTGTGTGTGTACATTTTGGGGGGACACCTTACAATGGCACTTGGAACCCCAGTAGGAGAAGAGGGAGAAAGAACAGGGCTATCACGGTTAAGACTTTCCCAAAAATAATGGAAGTTACCAAAACACAGGCCAAAGACTGCTTAAAGTACAAGCAGGATAAAAAACTTTAAAAGAAAAAAAATTACATATATATATATATTTATTGTTATTATTTCTTTTTTTTCTTCAAACTGCTGAAAGCCAAAGACAAAACATCTCCAAGGCGGCCAGAGGGAGACTCCGTAGGCAGATGTGGGGGGGCCGTCCTGGTGGCGGGAACAGCAAGAGCAGAGGCAGCTGAAGGTTAGTACCTGAGCCTGGTGTGTGAGGGGCCCTGATGGGAAAAGATAATCCCCGTCTTGCAGGGTCTCCACTGTCAAGGAAGGGAGTTTGTTCTGCAGTCAGTAGGGGAGCCCCTTGGGTTGGATGCGCCACCCAGAGCCTTGAATTTTGTAAAATCCTGCTGAGTTTGTCATGCTTTTTACACATCTGTTGAAGAAATGATGTCTACTGTTTTTTATACATCTTTGGAAATGATAAGTACTGGCTTTTTTCTGTTACTATGAAAAGTTCCATTCGTTGGCTTCTGAGTGTTAAACCAACCTTGCATTCCTCGAGTCTAGTGGAATTGAATCCACTCAGGCAGGATGCATTGGGCTTCCTATATGTTGTTATTGAATTCAGTTTGCTAATATGTTGCTCAACATTTTTGTATCTGGGTTCATGAAGGATGTTGGTCTGTAGTTTTTGTGTCATTGCTTTGTCTGGTTAACGGTATCAAGGCAGTCCTGGCAGTTTTGGTGTACTGGCCTCATAAAATCACTGAGCAAGTGTTTCTTTCTTTGCATTCTGAAATAATTTCTATATGTTGGTACTGTTTCTCCTTTAAATGTTTAACAATTTGAGGTTAAGCCATTTTGGCATGATATTTTTTTTTGGGGGGGGGGAGGTTATTTCAGTTTTTAGGAAAAATTTATATTATGAAATTTCTGAATAGATATAGAGCTATTCAGGTTTTCTGTTTCTATTTGAGTCACTTTTGATAATTGGTAGGTTTCTTTTTTCCAAGAAATCTGTCCATGTCAGCTAAATTGTCACATTTATTTGGTAAAAAGTTGTTCACAATATCCCCTTATTTTCCTTTTAATGTCTGTAGTCTTAGTGATGTCCCCTCTCTCATTCCCGATCGTGGTATTTTGCATCTTCTCACTTTCTTGCTCAGTCTAGTTAGAGGTTATCAACTTTATTGATGTTTTGAAATAACCAGTCTTGGTTGTACTGATTCCCCCCTCCCCCCATTGTTTATCACTTTCTATATGTTTGATTTCTGTCCTTTATTATTTTCTTCTTTGATGTATGTTGGGTTCAATTTTTTTTCTAGCTTCTTAAAGTTGAAACTTAGATGGTTGGTTTTAGACCTTTCCCATTTTAAATATTAAAGCCAGTGAATTTCCCGGCAGACACTGTCTCAGCTGTGTATCTTGATATGCTGTATTTCAGCTTTCATTTAGTGAAAATATCTTCTAATTTCCCTCTTTGAACTGTGATTTAGTTAGAATTATATTGTTTAACTTCCATGTATTTGGAGGTTTTTAGGGTATCTTTTTGTTATGATTTTAATTTAACTGTTTTGGGATTGGAGAACGTACTCTGCAATTCCAGGTATTTTTTATTGTCTGAGGCCCGTTTTGTGGCACGGCATAGAATCTCTCTTGGTAAGTGTCTCACGTGCACTTGAAAACAATGTGTGACCTTGCGGAGGTCTCAGACTTTGACCTTGAGGCTCCTGGTCTAAGGGGCGCCCTTCGTCTTCTCCGTTGGAGCATGCAACCAGGGCTTCGAGAGATGGGTAGGGTTTGGTTCTGAAGGTGGCGGGCCCTGCATCTTGATCTTGCAGATGACGTGTGAGGCAGAGCACCGTCCCCTGGGTGTGTTTGAGTGCCAGCTCTGTGCCTTGGCAGCTCCATACAGCTATGTGGGGCAGAAGCCCCCCGACACCCAGTCTGTCATGTGAGTATCCGTGCCCAGGGGCCCAGGAGTGGGCAAGCTAGTGCACCGGTGGGAGTGAGTCCTGAGGTCCAGCTTCCTGTGACTGCCTGGGGAAGGCCTGGAGTAGAGCCAGTGGGTCCCAGCGCTTGATTCCTGACCTTCAAATTGTCCTTCACCAAATGCCACATCATGGGGAAGCGGACCAGTAGTTACGTAGGGCAAGTGGCAGGGCAAGGCTCCTTCCTGCTGGCGGGGTTCCTCTGCTGACGGCACAGGGGTGTCTCTCGGAACCCCGTGGATCTCCCTCCCGGTGTGTGGTGTGAGGCCAGCACCCGACACAGGTGCGATGCACCTGTTTTCCCGGCGGGGAAGCAGGCAGTTTGGGAATGGGCATCACCTTGCTCGGGTGAGGGGAGGGCTTAGAGGGCGTGGATGGAGGCCTCGGGGCCCCGGCCCCATCCTGTGAGTCAGGTCAGGGCCCCTCTGTGGGCTGAGGAGTGGTGGCCCTGCCGCGGTGGTTTCAGAGCCCAGAGCAGGGGCCAGCCCCACCCCCCCACTGAGCTCCCAGCAGCAGAGGTTCCAGCGGCATCACTTCCTGTCCCACAGCCTCCTGGAGGAGAGCTACGTCATGAAGGACCCCTTCACCCCAGACAAGGACAGGTTCCTCATCCTGGGCTCCAGGTGCAGTGTCTGCGGCCGGCTGGTGTGTGTGGGCCCGGTGGGTAAGCCACACGACTGCCTCGCTTCCACCCTCACGCCCCCTATCACCCGCTCCCGGGCTGGGACCCCACATGCGTGACTGTGGGAGAGGTAGCACGTGAGCCTTTCCCAAGGGCGGTGTGAGCACCAGCTTTCCTCTCCATGGGGTCCCCAGACCCTCAGTCACCAGGTGGGGCCCGGGGGGTTCTTAGAGGCCAGCTGGTCAACCTCATTTTGGGTGTTCCCTCTGCCATCTTAGGACAGAAGACGTGCAGAGGGCACCCTGGGTCAGCCAGGGTCTCTGTGGGGCCTGAGGGGTCCAAGTAGATTCTGGGAGGTTCTGCACCACCCCAGTGGCCCTCACAGGCCTCTCACCACGGGTGCTGACCTTCTCTCTGGCTGTCCTTGGGGACCCGCAGAACAAGGGACCGTGCTCTCCCGAGCATGTGTGTGCCAGGCCCTGTGCTTGGAGCTGCCTTAACCCTGGGGCGTCCTTCAGTCCCCTCCCCTCAAGCCCAGCCAGGCGAAGCAGGACTGCACCCATTTGACAGGTGAGGAAGACGAGGTCCCAGAGGCTGCGGGCCCAGTGCCCAGCACGGCTGAGCCTAGTGTTTGACAACCCACAGACAGCGCAGTGGGTGGTGCAGCTGAGTGTGGCCCTGTAATCCGAGTGACCCTGCCCCGAAGGGACCCTGCGCGTCCTGCCTGGGGGTGGTCACCTCCCAGCCCCTCAGAGGCACAAAGGCCCCTGCAATGAGGCCTCGCCAAGTGTTGAAAGCCCCCGACACCCGTACCTGCAGGGCTGCCCCTGGCGCGCACCCCCGCCCCCATTTCTTTTTCTCTCAGGCGGCTGGCCAGGCCCCTGGGCCACGGTCTCCCTCTTGCTCTTCTGGCTCCGCTGCACCCTCCCCACCTCCTCTCAGCTGCCCGTGCGTCCTGGGGCCCGCCCAGCCCCTGCCCGCCTGCGCCCGTGCCCGTCCTCAGCCCGCCCTCCTCCTCCAGGAATGCAGTCTGTTCTACTCCAAGAGGTTCTGCCTCCCTTGTGTCCAGAAGAACCTCCAGGCTTTCCCTCAGGAGATCCGGCAGGACCTGGAGAAAAGGAAAGGCCCCGCGAAGAGGCCGGCCGGCCAGCCCAGCTCGCAGGCCTGAGCCGGCGTCGGAGGCCCCCAGTCGGGTGCTGAGCTGGGAGCCACCGTGTGGCCTTGTTCTGGAGCCGTGCAGAGGAGGCACCTGGGAACCCCACCCCGACTCCAGAGGTCGCTCAGTGCTGAGCGCGGGCAGGAGCCAAGGGGCGCCCAGGCTCTCACGGGGCTGGGGCCCCACCCTCTGCAGGTCCTCCCGGCTGTGTCCTGCTCCACATGGCTGGGCTGGAGGGCCCTGCGTCCTTCCCACGAGGGGTCCGATCCAGGGGTTGTCTCCACGCGCCACGCCGCTCTGCTGGGCCCTGAACACAGCCGCGCGGGGCAAAGGCCTCTGCCGTGGAGCTGTCCCCGCGTGCGGACCTCTGGCCCCCGCAGTGGGCGGGGGGAGCGTGTGCTCCCTCTGGCTCTGGTTCCAGCCCCAGGCCCCCGGCTCCCTCCCCTCACGCCCTCGCCTCGGAGCCTTCTGTTGCTTGCCTGCCCCTCTCCCCAGCGAACTCAGCCTCGGGCCTGCGGAGGCCAACCCCACAGCCTCAGCATTGCGCGTGGGAGCTCGCCTCCTGTCTGCTGGTTCCTGGCGGCAGGCGCTGCCCTGAGTCATCTTACAGTTGCTGCGCAGCCACCGTCCCAGCCCCGAGTGAGAAATGTGAATAAAGAGCCGTTTCCATCGATCCGTGTGCCGGGTTTATTCTCAGATGCCCACGCCTTAAAAAGCTTTCCCTGCTTCATGTCATTTTACACAAATGGACGCCCTGTTCGGGGCCACGCTGTCCGGGGCACACCCTGAGTGAGCGGCACGCGGTGGGGGACGTGCGGGCGGAGGGCACACCCACTGCCAGGGGTTTGGCTTCAAACCCAGCGCTGCGTCCCACAGCATCACTCAAACACAACACATAATTTTTAAAAATAGTTTATTTTTAAAACCATTAAGGCAAATGGTACCCTGAAATTAACTCTTTACATTCATCAGTCTTACAGTAGGACATTCCAATTATGTAAGTTACCACAGTCAGGATATAAATCAATATACATGACCAGTTCAGTTTCCTAATGGGAAAGTGAATAGGACCCAAGATTTTGAAAAATTAGTTATTTTATAGCCGTTTCCTAATTGCCTGGCACCATGATCAGGGGATGCGATGAGCAGGATGCCCTGTGCCCTTTGCTGCTCCCCGCACCCTGCTGCGCGGGGCCCTGGACCCACCCAGACCAGAGAGCGAGCGCCTGGGGTGGACGTGGTGTCCGCTGGGAGGGTCTGTGTGGGAGCGTCAGCACAGAAACCAGGGTCCAGCAGCCCCCAAAGGCTTAGAGTACAAGGCACCCAGGAACGGTGGCGACAGTCCGCGCCAGGGGACGAAGCTCAGGCCTGTGGAGATCTGCGTGGCCTGACTTGGACCCGGGCCCCGGGCAGGACAGGTGCACCCCCAGGGGGAACTTTGCTAAGATCTGGGAAAACGGAGGTGGTGGGGGGGACTCCTGGCCCGCGGTTCCTGCTTTCTGCTTCGGGTTGGGCCACCTGAGGCTGCCAGGCAACCAGCCGGTGCCCATGTTCCACCAGGACACGGGAGAGGGCGCAGTTCTTTGGTAAAAACCCACAGCCCGAGTTCCCTGCGGAGGCCCGGCCTAGCGAGACACTGCTGTGCAGTGGGTGGCATCTTGCCCGGGGCTAGGGCGGCCGCTGTGCTTGCACGTGCCGGGCGGCAGGGGACCGACTCACGCGACAGAAGCTCTGTGGCTTGGGGTGTGTGTGCGTGCGGTCTGCCTCGGTCCTGACGCTTCAGCTCCGCCCCCAGCCCGGCCAGGAAGAGGATACGTCCATTAACACTGATTCCAAAAAACCCAGACGTTTCTTATTAGACACATGATTGTAAGTTAGTAAAATATTTATATTAGGATTTTTAAAAAATTCAAATCACAGTATTGAAGATACAGCTAGTCACATGGTTCTTTCCACCAAACAGTGTAGAAAAGGCAGTGATGCGTGACCACAAATACTGTCGGACCGAGCGAGTGCGTGGCCGCCGTGTCTCCTGAGGTACGTTCTCTTAGGCCTGGAAAGAGGCCCAGACCGACTGTGCTTTTGAAACGAGAAGACAGTCCCGCAGAGTGAGTGGTTTCACTGGAGAGGACGGGCCAGTCACTCGTCTTCAGGGGAGTGAGGCCGCTCCCCCGGCTCCTGTCCCGGGAGGTGGGACACTAGTGCATTGTGATCGGGGTAGGGCAGTGGGTGGGCGAGGAAGCCGGGGTGTTCCCTGCTCTGGAGGAAAACATGGAGCCTTCTCACATTTGACTCAAATAGCGAACCTATTTTAAGAGAGAGAGAGAGAGAGAGAGAGAGAGAGAGAGAAAGGAAGACCAGACCCAGGCCTGAATGTGCTGTCCCTGATGTAAGAAGCGGATGTTGCTTCGGTGTTTTTGCAGGCGATGCATTTCACAACCGGGGCCACCGAAGTCCCTGATGTCACCAGTTGCTTCAGTCACCATGTGCCCTTGCCCAGGGGTGCCGTTGCCAAGATTCCCACGGGACGCGGCTGCATTCCCGCTGGGCCAGTCACTTGGCATGCCACCCCCTCGCCTGTGGCGTTAGGGGGAGGAAGCAGTGATATTTCTTGTGTCTCCTGCTGAAATTTGAGAAGCACATGGTCAGGGGCGACCCCCGCCAGATGGGAGAAGGCGACTGCGCCGGGGGAGCAGCGTGGAGGGGCCTGGGCGGCCTCCCTCCTGCTCTCAGGGGCCACATTAATTTTTAATGTGCCTGTGGCCCACTCTACCGAAGTAAAGTTTAAGAAATGGCTGCATTCCACAAAAATAGTGTGACGGAAAGCATTACGGAATTATTAAAACGAGACCAAGGAGACATCTTTTATCGCCCAGTATCACACTTTAGTTGTTAGAGTATAGCTCCCAGGGCAGTGATGGCAAACCTTTTGAGCTCGGCGTGTCAGCGTTTTGAAAAACCCTAACTTAACTCTGGTGCCGTGTCACATATGGAAATTTTTTGATATTTGCAACCATAGTAAAACAAAGGTTTATATTTTTGATATTTATTTTATATATTTAATTGCCATTTAACAAAGAAAAATCAACCAAAAAAATGAGTTCGCGTGTCACCTCTGACACGCGTGTCATAGGTTCGCCATCACTGTCCCAGGGAAATACAACGCCCGATTCAGACCAAATGCATTGCCTTTGTCTCCTGCTCCTGCTCCATAGGTGGGGGGTCAGTGACCATTTTCTTGAAGTCGATTAAAATGGCACCTAAAAATGTATATGTCTCAGCAGACACGTGGACCTCGACCTTGGGAGCCTGATCTTCGCTCTCTTCGGGCAGGTCCCTCCGAGGAGGACCCGCCCGGGAGACGCTCCTGCACTTGGAGGGAAGCGTCAACCCCATGCCTCGGAGCCCGCGGTCAGGAGGCGCGGCCAGCCCTGCAGGCGCGAGTCCACGCTGCTTGTCACACCTGCACTGCTCCCAGCACACCCGGCGCCTGCCCTTGAGCCTCCCGCTGCAGGCGCCGTCCGCAGCCACGTGGACACGCAGGCCCGAGCGGAATCGCTAACCGGGGGAGCCCCTGAGGCAGCCCACCCCGGGGAGCTGCCAGCACTGGTCTTCCTGGTGGCATCTGCATCGTGAAAGGCCACGCGGGATGAGAGGTACTTGGAAGGGGCTGCTTCCCTGGTCCCCGGAAGCCCCCGACCGCAGGCCAGGCCACTGGTCGAGTCCGTGTCAGCCGGGCGTGCTGGCCTCGCTGGTTGAAACAGTGGACCCGCATTTAGACAGGAGTTCCTGAGACACTCCCGAGGCGCGACCACGGGGAAAGGCCAAAACGCCGCTGCGCCTCCACCGCTGCGGCCCCTGTGCCCGTGTCACTGGTTTGCAAAGTGAGCGGGAGGTGGGGGGCGCCTGGAGCCGGGCAGAGAGGCGCAGGGGGAGCCAGGGCAGACCCCGGGGGGGGCCCTCTCTCAGAGCCCGAGCAGGAGCCCCAGCCCGGCTTGTGCGTGGCTGCGGCAGGCGGCACAGCGGGTGGCCTCGCCTGGGTGTCGCGGGCCTGGCCTTCCTGCTGCTCCAGCCCCGTCTCGCCCCCGCTCGGCCCCACTACGCCCACAGCAGCCTCTGCACACGCGTCTGATGCTCCCTTTAAACAACAGAAGCTCCTTTAAGTCACTTGTCCTGCTGTTTCTGCGTGTGGTGGGGGCGGGGCGGGCCTGCAGCCTGGAGTCCTCATCGGCAGGTCGGGCCGCAGGGGTTCGAGCACCTTTGCTGAGCCGGCGCCTGCGGACTCTCTGTTGAGGTAGCTGAGTTGCGGTGGCTCTGGGACACCAGTGGCCGGGACGACAGTTCCCTCACAGCAAACAAGGGGCCTGTGCCTCAGGCTCTGCCGGGTCCCGGACCCTCCACATTCCTGGCCGCCCTTGCCTTCGTAAGCAGCACAGCAGCTCCAGCTGAGCCGTCCTGGGCCCTGAAGTGCAAAGCAGGGGCCCGTCCCATGGGGGTGCGCTCGGGGCTCCCTGGGCGACCGCACACGCATCTCCCTGGCATGACTGGCGCAGCTGCACCCCCGCCGGGGAAGGTCGCAGGGACCGGGGAGCAGGGCGGGAGGAAGGACCGGCCCGCAGTCGCTGTTGTGGATCCCGCTGTTGCCAGCACTGGGAGCGGCACCCGCAGGGCCTCGCCCACAAGCTGCAGAGATGCCAGGGGTGCGGGATGGGCAGAGGGACCAGGCAGCCAAGCTGGAGCTGCTGCAGTTGGGAGGAGGGGAGGCCGGTCTCCTCTGTGGCCTCAGCGCGGGACCAGGTGGCCGGTGACTGTGGCCGAGGGCTGCCCTCTGCGATGGCAAGTCAAGGCCGTGAAGATGCCGGTTGAACAGACTTGCTGGCGCAGGTCCCGGGGGGCATCCCCCGGAGGAGGCGGCTTCACACTCTGGTTGGCGGCTTCTGGACCTTCTAGGCCGCGCGGGCTGTCCTCTGTGCAGGCGGGTGAGCCCACGGACACAGCAAGCACGCCTGACGCCTCCACGAGCCCGAGTGGAAGGCCACAGGATGCCGAGCTGCTGGGTGGCTGTGCCGCTGGGAGAAAGCGGGTGCGCGGACCTGACCGTCTGAGTGGCCGTTAGAGAGGCTGCATCACAACGAATGGGAGCGTGACTTCCTCCCTGTCGCCAGGTGAGCGGCGCCAGTGCCTTCAAGCCGAGGCCACGTGCGGCCGCCTCTGCGCCGCACCAGGGACACGGCCCCGGAGGACCAGCGCCCTCCGCCGGCCGCTGCGGGAGGCGTGGGACCGGGGACCGGGTGCTCCCAGCCGATCCGCACGGCCATCTGCACGGATGCACGCCTTCTGCAAGCTGGGTCTCAGGCTCCCTCCCCGAGGCCGGTGGTCGGTGGCCACAGGTCCGGGCCAGCACCCTGCCCCCACCCGGACCGGCCCGCAGGCCCTCCGGCCTCCCCCGTGCAGGGACCCCTCCAGGGAAGAGTGCTCCGTGGGCCTGGAAGCGTGGCCCGTCCTGGCCTGGACCTCCCTCGACGGGGTGGCTCCCATGTGGAGATGCGTTCACTGGCTTCCAGCTGACCCTCTGGCGGGATCTTCAAAAGCAGCAGCCGCTCAGCCGTTTTAGAAGGACGGCGAGTGGAGCTTTCGCTCTCCTCTGGTTGAGGCCTCCGTTTTACTGTTGGTTTTCCGAGTGCTGGCCTTGGGGACCTCACCAGCACCGACCCGAATCCTCTGTGACCACAAATGCTCACGGCCTTGACGAGCCAGGCTTTCAGGGGCGTGGGTGGGGGATGGAGGGTGGGGGTGGGGGTGGGGGATGAAGGGATGGGGATGGGGGATGGAGGGATGCAGGTGGGGATGGAGGGATGGGATTGGGGATTGGGGTTGGGATGGAGGGATGGGGGATTGGAAGGGTTGGATGGAGGGATGGGGATGGAGGGATGGGGTGGGGGATTGGGATGGGGTTGGGATGGAGGGATGGGGTGGGGATGGGGACAGAGGGTGACGAACGGCAAGCAGGCTGCTGGAATGAGGGGACACTGGGTCCGCTAAGGTGACGGAGGAGAGTGCTTGCAGGCCAAGTGCTGTGGCCACGGTCAGCGTGGCTCTCAGGAGACCGAGGCCGAGCAGTGGACCTTTAGGACTGAAACAGGCACGTGGTGTTTGGAGGATGCTTACTGTCAGCCTTCGTAACAGCTGCCAGGCTTGGCGAGTCCTGTTCTAGGTGCAGCCTTTTAACGGACCTCGCCCCTCCCCTCCCCTTTGTCCTCCTGTGACCCGCCCCCCCCAAGTCACATGTGCCGCGTCTTCTCCACTCCGGGGGGCAGCACTTCCGCCCAGAGTTACACACAAGCTGCAGATTGAACAGCCACAGGGAGGACCACGGAGCGGCCGGAGGCGCGGGGCCAGAGGAACAGCTGCGGGCAGCTTGTCAGGCTGCCCCGCACACGCGACCAGGCCCCGGCAGCCGGGGCGGTGCCGGTTTGAGGGGCCCCAGGCGAGGGGACTGGGACCCTGAGGCACTTTAAAGTCCGTCACCATCCTGCCCACGACGCCGGCTTCGCACAGGCCTGCGGTCCAGACCAGGCGCCCAGACGCGGTTCCCGGGACCCTCTCCCCAAACCTGGACATGGGCTTCTCCGCGGTCCAGCGACTGCCCGTCACCCAGGGAACCGAGCACGACGGGGCCCGCACCGCGATAGCTTATCAGTAACTTCCGGAACGCTAAACCCTACGGTTAAAAAAGAGCATGTCTCTTCGAATTCAGGAACCAGAATCGAAGCCTTCGAATAAATACTTGCTGCTTGTAAAGCCCCTACCCTTTGGTTACCTCTAGAAACACAGGATTACGAACGTTAAAAAGTGCGATTAGCTTTCCCAGTTACAAAGGAGCCAGCAGTCCGCGCGGGACCGGCAGGCAGCCGGCTGCTGTGAGGTCGGGGTGTTCAGTGGGCGTCGCGAGGGCGCTGTCAGGACATCTGATGGACTGATGCTGGCAGGCTTCTCCCGCCGCCCACTCCCAGCTACGGCGGGCGAGGCGGGGAGGCGGGCGGTGGGGACGGGCCCGGCCCAGGGCGCGGCGGCGGGCCTCGCTCCCCTCTCCGCAGCTGCGGAGCGGCTCCTCCTGGCCCGGGGCCTCAGTACATGTCGCGGTAGATCTCCTGCAGCAGCGGGTGCAGCGCGGCGTCCGCCTCGGTCCTCTTGATGACCTGCACCAGCTGCGCGTGCTCCGTGACCAGCTGCCGCAGGTCCGCCATCTTCTGCAGGAGCTTGGGGAAGAGGAAGGCGGCGTCGGGGTGGTTGCCCTGCAGGTGCAGCCGGAGCACGTGCACGATGCCCTCCTGCATCTTCTCGATCTGTCCCACGTGCAGGAGGCCCGGGCGATCTGTCCCCAAAGGAGAGAGACACGGCTGAGTTGATGGTCACCATGGCGACGCCCAAGACACCAGCTCCCTTCCTGCCAGGCCTCTCTCCCCGGAAGCGCCGGGCTCCAGACACTGTAGACCTGACCACGAGAGACCAGAGTGGGCCTGGCCAGTGTGGCTCAGCGGGTAGAGCGTCAGCCTGCGGACCCAAGGGTCCCGGGTTCGATTCCGTTCAAGGGCACGCACCTCGGTTGCAAGCTCCTCCCCGGCCCGGGCCCTGGTCAGGGCTCCTGCAGGAGGCAACCAATCGATGTGTTTCTCTCACAGCCATGTTTCTCTCTGTCTCTCCCTCTCTCTCCCACTCTCCCTAAAACCAGTGGGAAAAGATCCTCGGGTGAGGATTCAAAACAAAACAAAACAACAACCAGAGGTTCAGTGAAGCGCGGGAGGAAAGGACAGGATAGAGACGACACGAGGCGTGAGGCCTGCGCGCAGCACGGCTGCTGCCAGAGGCGTTTCTGCCTAAACGTCGAGGGAGTTCGCGCGGACAGGACGGTGAGGGGAGCGGGAGGAGCCAGGACAGCCGTGTATGACGTCACGCGCGCTGCCCCTCACCCTGCGCTGCGCCACGGCGGCCGCCCAGCAGGCGTGTCCACCCGCACGGCCCCCGCGCGGAGGGCGGTGCTGAGTCCCGGGCCCCACCGTGACCCGCGGGACCGCCTGGGCGGGTCCTCGTTGACTGAAACGTGGTGCGGCGCACGCCTGTCATCATGTGACGCACCACACGCTGCATGACATCACGACTGCCAGCCAGACCTGACATGCTACTGAAGGGCTACGTGACGTGCTAATTACATGCAGAACATATACCGGTATTCACATGTCATAACTGTAACCAGAGCTACATAACGGACAGCACGTATTCACGCACAATACGCGGTGCTGTGTTGGTGTAACTCACTTGCTTTTGGTTGGTGGCAATATGGGGGCCCAGGCCCCCCCTTTCCCCCCTCCAGTGCCCGCTCCACGACGGCACCACCCACACCGCCAGGGGCGTGTGAGTGCCAGGGAGCAGGTGGCGCCGCTGACTCACCTCCGCAGCAAATGATGGCCGCCACGAACAGGGCGATGTCGCTGTCGTCCAGCTCCAGGGCGTTGAACTTCATGGCGAAGTCGAACTTGGGCTCCATGATGTCGCAGAAGGGCTTGCGCAGGCCCTTGAGGAACTCGCGGGTGATGAAGCCGCTGCCGCAGGCCACCAGCATGCCGTCCTTGTTCATGACGGACGCCAGCATGGCGAAGATGGCCTCGTACACGCCGTACTTGAGCAGCGTGACCTGGTCGTTGAGGTCCAGGCCCGCGAAGCCGGGGATGGCCTTGGCGAACTCCGTGAGCTCCGTGACGGTCTCCACGGACGTGCACTGGCAGCAGTGGAAGATGCGCACCTCCGCCTCCTTGTTCTGGATGCCGTTGGCCACCAGCTTGGCCACCAGCGTCTTCTCGGCCATGCACAGCGTCTCCATGTCGTGGATGACGAAGGGCTGCCAAGGAAAGCAGGGCCCAGTCAGGCGACGGGCGACACCCACCCTCCAGCCGTGCACCCCGATCGCCGGGAGAGCCGCGGCAGGTACAGAGCGCGGTCCTCAGCAGCAGGGTCAGTGGGACACGCGTCACCACTGCTCAGAAAGTGAGGTACGGGTCTTGGCACGAAAGCTAACGAGACAGTATTGGCAAAGCGCTTTCACTACGTTAGAACCTTCTCCGGATCCTGACGGCTCCTGCAGCCGCCGGTTACAGCCCTGCCCGGTGTTACTGCCCGTGGACTTCACAGAAGCGATCTGACGCCAAGAACACGCAACTCAGAAGGTCGGTGTTTGTGGGAAATAAGCAAACAAGCCCGTCAGAGCCCGGCTCTGGGGTAACGGGAAAGCATGGGGGCGGCTTTTCCCGGGCACGGGACTGACCCCTTCCCGTCAGAGCCCCAACCCTGGACCAGCTGACAAGCCCCGTGGCACAGGCCACACGCCCCCTGGCCATTCCCTCCTGAACCCCCGGGGCCTGCCCTCTCTGAAGACCTGGTGGAGGTGCCGGCCGGCCTGGCTCCATGGCTGAGCGTCGACCTGTGAACCAGGAGGTCACAGTTCGATTCTGGTCAAGGCACAGGCCCGGGTTGTGGCTCGATCCCCAGCAGGAGGCAGCCGATCCATGATTCTCTCTCATCATCGATATTTCTCTCTCTCTCCCTTCCTCTCTGAAGTCGAGCAATATATATATTTATATGTTTTAAAAAAGCTAGAGCAACTGGAGCTAAAACACCTTGAAACTTGCCCAACTTCCACTTTCGTGGTGAGACTGTTTAAAAACCCGTGCAGCTGAGCCTTCCCTTCGGAACCTGCCCTTGACTCTCAGGTCTGAGTCCGCTCACGTCTGACATCAGAGGTGGCCGTTCCCAACGTGTAAGCAGTCGTCAGGCCTGTGAGCAGCGCGGGGCAGACAGCGCCCGGCCCCCGACGGCGCCCCACCAAGACCCGCAGGCGCCCCGCCAAGACCCGCAGGCTGCCTCTGCTCACACCCCACGCCATCCTGTGTGTGTGACGATGTTACTTAGGACAAGCCAGCCCCAAAGGACAATGAAATGGCATTTCCTGTGGAAAGCGAGGCAGTGCCATCTTTTAGGGAACATCTGTGAGCTGTGGCAGGATCGCTCGGGATGGAATTAGTTCATGACTTCTGGTTGGGTTTCACTACACATTTCTAGAAATGCTATAAAATATTAGGTCTGTTTTTCAATCCAGGGACAACTTAAGTCGCACGCGTATTCCCATCGAGCAGGAGGAAAGCGCGGTGTGGCGCCAGGCAGCCGTCCGAGGGCCACGCTGGTCCTGGGGTGCCGGGAGCCTCGCCCGGGCGCCCGCGATGTGGAGAATGATGGGGGAACTCCTTCCCCAACTAGTTTCAGACCCGTTCTCAGCCACATGTCAAGAGGTAGTCCCCTTGCTTCACTTTTTATTTTTTTAAATTATTTTTTCAACATATTTTTATTGATTTCAGAGAGGAAGTGAGAGGGAGATAGAGACATCGATGATGAGAATCATCGGTCAGCCGCCTCCTGCACGCTCCCCACTGGGGATAGAGCCCGCAACCCGGGCCTGTGCCCTGACCGGAATCGAACGGGTGACCTCCATGGGTCAATGCTCAACATTGATGTCTCTCTCTCCCTCTCCCGGTCCCCCACACCCCTCTCTCTCAAATCAATAAGAACCTATTTTTTTTAAAAGAGTAAAGATGACTTTTAAGTTTCCTTTAGGTTCTGAAAATCCCAGGGAGAAAGCGAAGATGTCAGAGAGACCTAAGACGACGTGAAGGAGATCAGGGCGTCGGTTCCTCTACCTCGGGCCGCACTCACTGGTCACCTCCAGGACGGAAATGCCAAGGGGAAAGGCTGCCCGGGTGGCTCAGCTGGTTCGGCTGCGGTTCAATCCCCGGTCAGGGCACCACAAGGCAACCGATGAATGCATGAATACGTGCTGCGACTCCTCTCTCTCTCTCTCTCTCTCTCTCTCTCTCTCTCTCTCTCTCCCCCCCCTCCCTCCCTCTCTCCTCCACCCCCCCCCTCTCTAAAATCAATTTAAAATTTTTTAAAGGTTATTTGGCTTTAACCCTTGTGGCCCAGAGAGGGTCTAATTTGCAGGCACCCCTGGCTGCCGGGCGCGACTGTGGCTTGTTTAACAGCTGCCTGAACCCTCCTCAACGCCTCAGCCCCTTTACGGGGAGAGCCCATGGGAATTAAAAGGCTCCATAAGAAAAGAGGTTTGGTTTGTTCATGAAAGCCAGAGCTTGGGAAATACTTTCCTTTCCTGTGACTGCAACTTCCAGCTTGTGATTCCCAAGGAGGCGGCTTCAAGCGACTCACGAGCACCCATGGGACCCGGGACCCGGGTCCGAGGGAAAGGCCCATGTGGTCATCGCCAACCTCGCCGCCCCCTCTGAGGGCAGCTCGGAGGAGAGCTCTGCAGCGGAGGCGACCCAGTTGCGGAGGACGCGGGGCAGCAGGACGCGGGCTGGCAGGGGAGGCCGTGTGTGTGTGTGGGGGGGGGGGGTCCCCAGGGAACTCACAGAGGCTCCTGAGGAGGCAGAGGCCAGAACTGCCCACAACAGCCCGTCAGCACAGGCCCTTCTAAGCTGGGAGCTGTGAGTGTGCCAATTACACTCATTCTAAGAACGTGGTCGCTGGGAGCTGTGAGTGTGCCAATAACACAGTCATTCTAAGAACGTGGTCGCTGGGAGCTGTGAGTGTGCCAATTAAACAGTCATTCTAAGAACGTGGTCGCTGGGAGCTGTGAGTGTGCCAATAACACAGTCATCCTAAGAACATGGTCGCTGGGAGCGTGCCAATTACACACTCATTCTAAGAACGTGGTCACAGGGAGCTGTGAGTGTGCCAATTACACACTCATTCTAAGAACGTGGTCGTTGGGAGCTGTGAGTGTGCCAATTACACAGTCATTCTAAGAACGTGGTCGCAGGGAGCTGTGAGTGTGCCAATAACACAGTCATTCTAAGAACGTGGTCGCTGGGAGCTGTGAGTGTGCCAATTACACACTCATTCTAAGAACATGGTTGCTAGGAGCTGTGAGTGTGCCAATTACACACTCATTCTAAGAACGTGGTCGCAGGGAGCTGTGAGTGTGCCAATTACACAGTCATTCTAAGAACGTGGTCGCAGGGAGCTGTGAGTGTGCCAATTACACAGTCATTCTAAGAACGTGGTCGCAGGGAGCTGTGAGTGTGCCAATAACACAGTCATTCTAAGAACGTGGTCGCTGGGAGCTGTGAGTGTGCCAATTACACACTCATTCTAAGAACATGGTTGCTAGGAGCTGTGAGTGTGCCAATTACACACTCATTCTAAGAACGTGATCGCAGGGAGCTGTGAGTGTGCCAATTACATACTCATTCTAAGAACGTGGTCGCAGGGAGCTGTGAGTGTGCCAATTACACACTCATTCTAAGAACGTGGTTGCTAGGAGCTGTGAGTGTGCCAATTACACACTCATTCTAAGAACGTGGTCGCAGGGAGCTGTGAGTGTGCCAATTACACAGTCATTCTAAGAACGTGGTCGCTGGGAGCTGTGAGTGTGCCAATTACACACTCATTCTAAGAACATGGTCGCTGGGAGCGTGCCAATTACACACTCATTCTAAGAACGTGGTCGCTGGGAGCTGTGAGTGTGCCAATTACACACTCATTCTAAGAACATGGTCGCTGGGAGCGTGCCAATTACACACTCATTCTAAGAATGTGGTCACTAGGAGCTGTGAGTGTGCCAATTACACACTCATTCTAAGAACGTGATCGCAGGGAGCTGTGAGTGTGCCAATTACATACTCATTCTAAGAACGTGGTCGCAGGGAGCTGTGAGTGTGCCAATTACACACTCATTCTAAGAACGTGGTCGCAGGGAGCTGTGAGTGTGCCAATTACACACTCATTCTAAGAACGTGGTCGCAGGGAGCTGTGAGTGTGCCAATTACACACTCATTCTAAGAACATGGTCGCTGGGAGCGTGCCAATTACACACTCATTCTAAGAATGTGGTCACTAGGAGCTGTGAGTGTGCCAATTACACACTCATTCTAAGAACGTGATCGCAGGGAGCTGTGAGTGTGCCAATTACATACTCATTCTAAGAACGTGGTCACTGGGAGCTGTGAGTGTGCCAATTACACACTCATTCTAAGAACGTGGTCGCTGGGAGCTGTGAGTGTGCCCATTACACACTCATTCTAAGAACATGGTCGCTGGGAGCGTGCCAATTACACACTCATTCTAAGAATGTGGTCGCTGGGAGCTGTGAGTGTGCCAATTACACACTCATTCTAAGAATGTGGTCGCTTGGAGCTGTGAGTGTGCCAATTACACACTCGTTCTAAGAACGTGGTCGCAGGGAGCTGTGAGTGTGCCAATTACACACTCATTCTAAGAACGTGGTCGCTGGGAGCTGTGAGTGTGCCAATTACACACTCATTCTAAGAACGTGATCGCAGGGAGCTGTGAGTGTGCCAATTACACACTCATTCTAAGAATGTGGTCACTGGGAGCTGTGAGTGTGCCAATTACACACTCGTTCTAAGAATGTGGTCACTGGCGGCAGATCAAAGCTGAGGACAGCGGGTGAGCGACACGTTAGCATCTCTGGCTGAAATGTCCCCCCGCCCTGGCTCCTGGGCCTTGGGGTAGATGTTTTCCCACCACCTAAGGCCTGTCTCCAGCCCTTCCTGCCACCCAGGCTGACACCGGCCAGGGGACCGTGGACGCGGAGACCACGCAGCCGACACCCACCGGGTTGTTGCTGGCCTTGCCGGCGAGGATGCCACGGGCCTTGGCCTTGTTCATGTTGAAGTTCCGCAGGTAGGCCTCGTAGATGCGCTTGGCCAGGGACTTGAGGTCCGCAGTTTCTGAATCGTCCACGTCGTGGTCACACGTAAGGATTTCTGCTTTCAGTTTCGCTTTTTCGGATCTTGGCATTCGTCCAAAACGGATTGCTGGGGGGGGGGGGGGGGATGAAATGACGGGGACAAACAGAAGTGAGCACGTGGCGAGAAGGAGGGCTGACCGCGGCACGGAACGTTCGCGCGGGAATTACACTCGGAATGAAAACTGACAGGGAAGGTCAGAGGCGCCTCTCAGCCCCACTCCACTTTCTGCTTTGGAGATGAAAGTGAAACTCAGGCTCCCCGGTCCCGCCCCTTTTCAAAAGGTTAAAATAGCCCGGCCAGGGTGGCTCAGTGGTTGAACGTCAACCTGTGAACCAGGAGGTCACGGTTAGATTCCAGGTCGGGGCACATGCCTTGGGTTGTGGGCGTGCAGGAAGTAGCTGATCAACAATTCTCTCTCACCACTGATGTTTCTCTCTCCCTCTCCCTGAACTCTTTCCTCTCTGAACTCACTAAAGTTATCTATTTTTTTAAAAATTTCAAGGTTAAAATAAAAGGCAACGGCATGAATTGTGGCTTTGGTAGGACGGGCTCGCGGGTGCGTCATCGGTCTGTGATTAAGGAGATGAAGCTGGGCCTGGGAGTGCGTTTATACCGCCCTTTTTCTTTTTCCAGAAGGCAGGCTGCAACTTCTATGAACTCGTTATTTTATTTTTTTAATGTTTATATTGATTTCAGCGAGAGGAAGGGAGAGGGAGAGAGAGAGAGAATCATGGATCGGCAGCCTCCTGCACGCCCCCCACTGGGAATGGAGCCTGCAACCCGGGCCGGTGCCTGACTGGGAGTCCTGTGACCTCCTGGTTCATGGGTCCACGCTCAACCTCTGAGCACACTGGTAGGGCTGAACTCGTTATTGTAAATTCACTTTCACGTAATAACTGGCATGTTCTAAAATGAGGATAGGTTTTAATGCAATTAAACTCACACTGGAGCAGGATGCTGACGATGGCACACACTTCTTACGTGTGATAACCTCACGGCACTGCCTACCATCGGTGACTGACAATCGGTTTAAAGTCTCACATCACCGAGTCTCAGCGTCTGACGCTTCTAACAGCGACTCCCGCGCTGGGCTGGCCGCAGCCACGTGAGGCGCTTCCTGTCTCGGGCATTCACGGCTGCGGCAGGACCCGGGCACTGTCCGGGCTGCGGCACGACCCGGGCATTCACGGCTGCGGCACGTGCTTTCCTTCCGCCGGAGCCCGGAGAGGGAGCGGCCGGGCTGGAACGGCGACGGCAGCCTTACCTACCGTTATGGGACATCCCGACCGAAAGGCACTTGTGGAAGCGGCAGTACTGGCACTTGTTCCGGTTCTTCTTCTGGATCTTGCAGCTCCGGTCACACTTGTCGTACACCAGCTTCAGGCGGATGGTTCGCCGGAAGAACCCCTGCGGGAGGCGGGGACGTGAAGTGGCCGTCCAGGCTTCAGCCACACCCTGTTCACGCGTTACCTCCCCCCTGTTCTCGCGTTACCTCCTCCCTGTTCACGCGTTACCTCCTTCCCTGTTCACGCATTACCTCCTCCCTGTTCTCGCGTTACCTCCTCCCTGTTCACGCGTTACCTCCTCCCTGTTCACGCGTTACCTCCTTCCCTGTTCACGCGTTACCTCCTCCCTGTTCTCGCGTTACCTCCTCCCTGTTCACGAGTTACCTCCTCCCTGTTCTCGCGTTATCTCCTCCCTGTTCTCGCGTTATCTCCTCCCTGTTCACGCGTTACCTCCTCCCTGTTCACGCGTTACCTCCTCCCTGTTCTCGCGTTATCTCCTCCCTGTTTAGGTGTTACCTCCTTCCTGTTCACGCGTTACCTCCTTCCTGTTCACGCATTACCTCTTTTGGCATGAACTAAATTCAGAGACATAGTTCTGAAAAGTCTGATGTAATTGGGACTAGTTGAAAATAATTTAAATATCATTACAGGGGAAAGTGGACTCCGGTGTAACCGACTCTCAGACGACCAGCTCTGCTGCGCCTCACGGCGCGGAAGGCCCTGACGTGTGCATGGAGTTGTAAAGGGACGCGCTGCCCTGGGAGCCGCAGGTGTGGGCACGTGTCCTTCTTACTGTCACGCTGGAAAGCCACCGAAGGGCCAGGGACCCAGCGGGCAGAATGCCGGGCGCGGCCTGACCTGCGGAGCCGCGGGCCTGCGTCACGTGTGTGGCGGGCTGGCTGCGCAGCCGGAGTCGTGGGGGGTCAGGAGCCGCTGGGGCGGGGCAGCACCGGGCCGCTGTCGCCAGGCGCCGTGGGCCGCGGAGCGAGAAAGACGCGCACGTCTCTGATCGCCATGGGACCCCTGCCCTCCCGCGTGCTGGTGAGGATGCGAGAGGCGGGGCCAAAGCTCCCAGCCTCGTATCCAGTGACGGGCCCCTGAACGGAGACCGTGCCTTTAGAGCACAGGTCCCTGCGGCGTTTACAAGGCCAGTGGGGGCCTGCCCGGCTCTCCGAAGAGAGACATCCTGTTGCTTAGCTCCGTTTCGTATCGACTGCCTTCGGCACATCTGTTTCCGCAATGACAAACGTTGTGTGTAAAATAAAAGGGCCCTCGCCGCTGTGGCTCAGTGGGTAGAGCGTCGACCTGTGGACCAAAGGGTCCCGGGTTCGATTCCGGTCAAGGTCATGTACCTCGGTTGCAGGCTCCTCCCCAGCCCAGGCCCTGGTCGGGTTGCCTGCAGGAGGCGACAAATCAATGTGTTTCTCTCACATCGATGTTTCTCTCTGTCTCTCCCTCTCTCTTCCACTCTCACTAAAATCAATGGGAAAATACCCTCAGGTGGGGATTAAAAATCCTATATAATAAAAGGGTAATATGCAAATTGACCCTAACAGCAGAATGACTGGGAATGACTGGTCACTATGACACACACTGACCACCAGGGGGCAGACGCTCAATGCAGGAGCTTCCCCCTAGTGGTCAGTGCGCTCCCACAGGGAGCTCTGCTCAGCCACACCCAGGCTGACGGCTGCCAGCACAGTGGTGGTGGTGGGAGCCTCTCCTGCCTCCTCAGCAGCACTAAGGATGTCCGACTGCAGCTTAGGCCTGCTCCCCGCTGGCAAGTGGACATCCCCCGAGGGCTGCCGGGCTGCCAGAGGGATGTCTGACTGCCAGTTTGGGCCCGATCCCCCAGGGAGTGGGCCTAAGCCAGCAGGTGGACATCCTCTGAGGGGTCCCAGACTGCAAGAGGGCATAGGCCGGGCTGAGGGACCCCCCCCCCCGCCCCCGAGTGCACCAATTTTTGTGCACCAGGCCTCTGGTAAGTAAATAAAATAAAATGAACCACATGTGGTCCCTGGAGCAGGCCGCCTGCTTGCTCCTCGGGGGCCCACGTACCTTGCAGCCTTCACACGCGTGAACCCCGTAATGGTAGCCTGAGGCTTTGTCCCCACAGATTCTGCATTCGATGTTGAGTGCTGTGCTGGAGGCCTCGTCGGCGCTGCCGGGGACCACAGGGTAAGACACCGACGAGGGGCTCGAAGCCGGGGAAAGCGTGTCTGCGGACAGACAGGAGACACTGGTGAATTTTCACAGCATCCCCCCCACCGTCTGTCTCCATCAACTTCATGAGGGTCTGATGTCACAGGGGAGGGGCTGAGTGAGGAGCTGCAGCTGTGGGCGGGGCTCCTGGCCTGAGGCGCCCCTGTCCTGGGCTGTCCCACCCCTTCCTGTGCCCCTACGACTGCTATGCACTGGCATCGCCCACAGGCCCGCCCAGCTGCCCGGGTTCTGGACCTGCAGACCTGGCTGTCTCGCCGGTCCCTCCACCCCCCGGCTCCCTGAGCCCCCGCCCCCGATGCATCCTACAGAACCCGTTACTCTGCCTGCTTCCTCCCAGGTCTTCTGCATTAACTCGGCAAACTGCACCAGGACGAAGCATAAAAATCCACGTGGGCGCCAAAAGCAGAACCCGGGAAAGGAAAAAACAAGTTGGACTCTCTCTTTTCTTAAAATATATTTTTACTGATTTCAGAGAGGAAGGGAGAGCGAGAGAGAGAGACATCAATGATGAGAGAGAATCATGGATCAGCTGCCTCCTGCACGCCCCCCAGTGGCGATGGAGCCTGCAACCTGGGCATGTGCCCTGACCAGGAATCGAACCGTGACTCCTGGTTCACAGGTCGATGCTCAACCACTGAGCCGACAAGGCTAAGCTGCACTCTCTTCAAATTAAAACGCCTGCTCTGCAGAACACACCGTTAAGAAGATGAAAGACAGGCCACGGAGCAGGAGAAAACATCTGCAAAACACACGTCTGATAAAAGGTTCGTAACTCAAGTGCGCAAGGAGACCTAACTGTCACAATAATAAAACTGCCCAATCGCCCCGACCGGTGTGGCTCAGTGGATAGAGCGTCGGCCTGCAGACTGAAGGGTCCCAGGTTCGATTCCGGTCAAGGGCATGCACCTTGGTTGCGGGCACATCCCCAGTAGGGGGCGTGCAGGAGGCAACTGATCGATGTTTCTAACTCTCTATCCCTCTCCCTTCCTCTCTGTAAAAAATCAATAAAATATATTTAAAAACAAAACAAAACAAAAAAACAACCACCCAATTGAAAAATGGGCCAAGGTCTGAACGGACGCCCACCGGAGAAGGCGGACCGGCTGTAAGGGAGCATATGAAACGACGCGATGCGCCGTCGCCGGTCGCTGGGAAACGGAATGAACACGACAGTGAGACGTCACTACACGCCTATCAGGATGGCTAACTCCAAACCCTGCCACCACCGTGTGCAGGCACGGAGGCGGGGCAGGGAACCCCAGCGCGCAGCCACTGCGGAGGGCAGGTCGCAGAGTCCCACACGCGAGAGGAATTACGTTCCCAGAGATTCACCCGAGCCATCTGGCAACGGACGTCCACGCAGAAAGCGAGCTCGAGCACCCAGTGCCCTCGGCAGGCGAGCGGGTGGAGAGGGAGCGGCCTGCGCGCTCCAGCCGGAAGTTCTGGCACAGGCCGGGCTGCAGGCCGGGGAGACGATCGTGGCTCAGTGGGGCCAGGCGGGCCGGGCTGCAGGCCGGGGAGACGATCGTGGCTCGGTGGGGCCGGGCGGGCCGGGCTGAAGGCCAGGGGCACAGGGGCTCTCTGGCGGTCAGGAAGCCACTCGTATAAAAACACGATGTGGACGCGCGAGACTACGCCCTTGTCAAAATCCACACAACTTCACAGTAACGAGCGGTCCTTAATGTTGCAAATAAAGCAAAACTGATGCGGGAGGTCTGGGGAGCCCGATGGAAGGCAGCGTGCCTCCCCCACCCCCCAAGAACCCCGCGGGGTTCCACAGGCACGGAACAAGCTCGCTGAGGGGGAGAGGCACTGCCCTCGGAACCTGGGGAATGAGTGGGTCGGAGACTCAAGGCTGCAGCTCCAGGAGCACTGCACGCGAGCTGATGAAGCAGCCACGGGCTGGGCTGACACGTCTGAAACCGCTGCGCACACACGTACTGGGAACGAGCAATTGATGGAAGGAGTGTGGAGGGCGGAGCCGGGTTCCCGCTGCCGGAGCTGGGCGAGTAGGATGACAGAGGAGGAGGCCAGAATGCCCCCGCGGAGATGGCGAGGCCAGAGAGATGTGCACAGATGCGATTGCTATGTCTCTGCTCTGTCGGCCGAGAGAGATGAAAAGAAGAGAGACCCAGGAGCAACCTGAGATGACCCGAGGGGACACCCCGGGCTCCCAGGAGCTGGACACGGCGCTGGTCCCCCACTCACAGTGGGAAGCTCAGAATTCATGGGCCGCTTGGCAAAGCGCTTTGCCCCAGTACCGGGCAAAATTACCTCTGGCATCAAAACAAGGCCCGAAAGGATAAAACATTTTCAAGCAATTGAACTGCATCCTAGAACAAAGCTCAAGAATACCTACAGGAAGACAGAAATATCTGTCACCAACACAATGTACGACATCCAAAAAAATGACAAAACATGCAAAGCAGCAGAAAATGTGACCCATAATAAGGAGAAAAATCAGTGCGCTGAAACGGACCCAGGGATGACTCATACAGGTGATAGATTTTGTAGACAAGAGATTTTTTAAATGTCCAAGAAGCCAGATGAAAGACTGAACATGTTAGGTAGAGAGAGGGGTAAAAAAAAATAAACCATGATATCATAATATCTGATATGAAAAAGATATTGAATGGGATTGGGAGAAGATTAGATAGGACAGAAGGAAGATCAGTAAACTCAAAGACATTGCAAAATAAACTATCCAAAACGAAACATAGATTAAAATAAGACTGGGGGAGAAGAAGGAAGAGGAGGAGGAGAAGAAAGAACATAATTTCATCTGTGAAATCTATCAAGCATCCCAATATATAAAAAGCCAGGGGCCGTCACAACCGAAACAACTGGACCGATGACCGAACAGCAGGCTGAGTGGGGCGACCAGGCCAGCAGGAGGGGCAGTTGGGGGCAATCAGACTGGCAGGCAAAGACAGTTAGGGGTGATCAGGCTGGCAGGGGAGGCAGTTAGGGGCGATCAGGCAGGCAGGCGGATGAGCAGTTAGGAGCCAGTGGTCCGGATTGTGAGAGGGATGTCCCGGATTGGAGAGGGTGCAGGCTGGGCTGAGGGGGCCTCTAGTTTAAAAACTAAATCAATTCTACAGAAATACGTCCAAAAAAACAGAAGAGGAGGGAATACTCCCTAACTCACCCCTGAGGCCAGCATTAATCTAATACCAACACCAGACAAAGACTACAAGGAAAGAAAATAGAACCAATACACTTCGTGTACATGGATGCAAAGATTCCTAAAATGTTAGCAAGTATATGAAGAGGGTACTACACGAAGACCAAGTAGGATTTACCCCGGAAACGCAAGGTTGTCTTAACCTGTGAAAAAAGAACAGTGTAATTCACTAAATGAACAAACTAAGAAGGAAAAACAATTCGATCCTCTTACTTGATGCAGGAAAAGTATCGGAAAAAATCCAACATCAATTCTTGGTAAAAACTCAGAGAACTAGCATCAGAAGGGAACCTCCTGAGCTTGATGAAGAACAGTTGTAAGAAACTATCGCTAACATCATGCTTAGTGGCAGGAGACGGAGTGAATGGATGCTTTCCCTCTGAGATCGGGAGCAAGGCGGGGATGTTTCAAGTCCACCCAACGTTGTACTGGAGGTTCTAACCAGTGTAATAAGACAAGGAAAATAAATAAAGGCGTCCAGCTAGAAAAGGAAGAAGGAAAACGGTCTTTATGTGCCGATGACACAATTATCTGTGTAGAAGACCCCAAAGAATGCATATAAAACCACTAGAACGGATTAATCCGTTCAACAAGAGCGTGGGAAAGAAGATCAACGGCAAATCAACTGTACCTTTATCAACAGCAACAAATGATCAGAAATTGAAATTTGAAAAGTATTTACAACTGCATCAAAAAAATATGAGACGCCTAGCCACACATCTGACAAGAAATGCGAAAGCCCCCGACGCGAGAAACTACAAAACATTGCCGCGGGCAGTTACAGGCCTAACGTAAGTGGAGAAATCAAGTCCTGGCTCAGAAGACCCAGCATGCTTAAGGTGTCCGTCCTCCGCCCCGCAGCGATCGCCGGGTTCAACGCGACCCAATCAAAGCCTCCGCAGGCTGCTTTGGGAGAAACGGACACGCTGATTCTAGAGTTAATATGGGAATGGAAAGGGCCCAGGATCCTCAAACGTCTTCAGGAGAGAAGAATCAAGCTGGAGGACTTCTGCTCCCCGACCTCGGGAACCTGTGGTATTGGTGTCAAATGAGACACACGCATCCATGGAACGGAACAGAGGGTCCAGAAACAGACCCACACCTATGGGCGGCCGATGCCGGACAAAGGTGCCAAGGTCACCGAGGGGAGGCGCTGGAACAATGACAGATGCAAGAGAAGGAGAGGAAAGAGCGTAGATCAGAGACAAGAACGAGCCACGGGAGTCTCACACGCCACGCAACCCTAAGAACGCAGACTTCCGGACGCGACTGTGGGTCAGACACGGGTTCCTCGGGTCTGACGCAGAGCAGGTCCGCGAGGAACACAGCTCTGGTCGGCGGACGTGGTCCCACCCAGGGCGTCAGGCTCCTGGAAAGGCCCCGATAAGACAAGCCCAGACTCGGGGGGAAGGTCTAAATCCCGCAGCTAATGAGAGTACTCAGGCCCCGAGTACGCCCGCAGCAGCCAGAGCAGGAAGACAGCTCAGCCTGAACCCGGGCTGAGATCTGAACAGAAGCTTCACCAAGGAGATGCAAGGCAGGTGCGTGAATGAGAAGATGCTCCCCCCACCCTGCTCCTGTTCCTGGCTGTCCCACCCCCGCCCCTCGCAGCCCCACAGACCCTCCTGCCGCTCCTGTCAGCAGCGTCTGCCCCCAGTGCCCAGGGGAGCTGGAGGGGGGTGGGGGGGGCGTTCAGAGCACGCACTCCCCATGCCGTCTGCACGCAGGTCTTCCCCGCGAATAGCACTTCCCGCGGGTAAGGTCACGGAAACCACCTTCCAGGAGCGGGAATGAGCGAGAAGAGAAGACCGTCGGGAGCGTGCTCCAGGCCAAGAACTCAGCAGAGAGGAGCCGGGGAGGGAAAGGGCCTGAGACCCTCCCCAGACGTGGCCACGGAGACCCTTCTCGGGACTCCCCCAGGCCCCCGTGTCCCCCTCTCAGGCGGGAACCGCACCCAGGCCCGTTCCCAGCCACAGCTGCCGCTCCTCGCTGCTCCGAGTCCACCTGCTCCGGTCCCCACCCAAGACCACTTCCGCAGGGAGCCCCGTGCCAGCCCAGCCCCGACGGCCCTTCAGACCAGCAGCTGCTCACAGCACGTGATGGGGCGGCCTCGCCGCTGCCTACGGAACGAGGCATTTGCCCAGGTCCCTGCCCGCAAACACGCAGGCCACCGGACAGACCCGAGTTCTACTTCTATTGTGGTTGTTAGTCCTCAGCCAAGGAGGGAGGGCATTTTTTTCCACTGATTTTTAGAAAGAGTGGAAGGGAAGGGGAGGGCAGGGGGAGGGAGGGAAGGAGGGGGGGAGAGAGAGAGAGAGAGAGAGAGAGAGAGAGAGAGAGAGAGATCCATGTGACAAAGACACACTGATTGACTGCCTCCTGCACACGCCCAGACCAGGGATGGGGATTAAATGTGCAACCCAGGCATGTGCCCTTGACAGGGAATTGAGCCCCTGACTCCTCAGCCCGCAGGGCACACTCTAACCACTGAGTCATGCTGGCGGGGGGCCTTGTTGCTCTTAACCCGGGAAGCGGGAGCTGGCTCATGTACCTGTCCAGGTTTAAAAAGGAGCAGCCCAGCTGGTGTGGCTCAGTGGTGAGCATCGACCTAGAAACCGGGAGGTCACAGTTCGATTCCCGGTCAGGCACGTGCCCGGGTTGTGGGCTCGATCCCCAGCGGGGGGCGTGCAGGAGGCAGCCGGTCCATGACTCTCTCTCATCACTGATGTTTCTCTCTCTCCTTCCCCCTTCCTCTCTGAAATCAATAAAAATATTTTTTTTTGAAAAGGAGCCATTTTTATCACACTAGGGGTGTCTGTTTTCAGGGAATACAAGAGGGGCAAAAGCAGGGCTACAGTCGTCGCATGAAAGATGTCACTGTCGTGGCAGGAGATGCGCCCCCTGCCCAGCCCCCCGCTAAAGGCACCTTTTCTCGGCGGAGAAACAGGCGCTCCCGGAACCACACACTCACCCGTGATGACGGAGCCCTCGGACCCGGGGCCGCTGCCTAAGTACTGGTAGTCGGTGAAGCTGAAGCTTCCGGAGCTGTCCTCCCCGAGGGACTGGGACATGTCCTGGATGCTGCCCATTTCCTGCAGGAACTCTTCCGAGAGCGGGTTCTCCAGGTCGTCGGCCTCGAGGGGGAAGAGGGAGCAGATCGGGCTCTCGGTGTCCACCATCCTGCCCGGCGGCGCCGACCCGCTGCGAGGAGCTGGAGGAGAGAGAAGCGGCCGGTGAGACGGACCCGAGGGACGCGGCGTCCGCTTACGGAAACGTCACTTGCCGAGGGAGACACCTGGACCCAGCTCCACACATGGACGGGCGGACCTCCTTGCCTCTGCTCCAGCCTTTTTTTTTTTTTAATGTTTTTATTGATTTTTTTAGAGAGAGAGGAAGGGAGAGGGAGAGAGAGAGAGAAACATCAGTGATGAGAGAGACTCATGGATCAGCTGCCTCCTGCACGCCCCACACTGGGGACCGAGCCCGCCACCCGGGCTGTGCCCTGACCAGGAATCAAACCATAACCTCCCGGTTCACAGGTCGACGCTCCACCATGAGCCGCGCCGGCCGGTGGAACTGGACTTTCTGGCACTGTTTCTGGAAAAGCTCTCCCAGCTTCGTAAAGGGCTGTGGGGGGCGGGGAGAGGGGGGGGCGGGGGGGAGCTGGGCTGTGTCTCACTTGGGTCCCGGCTTGAGTCTTGACAAGCCAAGAAAATGAAAATCTTTAAACACAAAATGTTTAAGGCACCTTTGCCAACCGGCCGGGAAGCAGTCCTTCATCACTAGTCACGCCGCGTGCTGAGCTCAAGCCGCGGATCTGAGGCAAAGTCCCTGCTCTCCGGGAACACAGACGGCGAGCAAATAAACACAGACGTGGACGGCAGGTCGGAGGGACACGGTGACGCAGGAGGGCGGACGGGAAACAGACTCCGGTCCACACGGGCGCCCGGGGGCGGCCGCCGATGGGGACAGTGAGAGCGGAAGGAAGGCGGGGTGAGCTGTGGAGGGGTCGGGGGACAGTGTCCCAGGAAATCGACAGCCAGTGCCAAGGTCCAGGGGGGAAGCAGCGGGTCGGAGCCTGCTGGACACAGGCAGGCCAGCGGGCTGAGGCTGGGGCCCGGGGGCAGCGGGAGGGACGGGCCGGCGGTCGGCACAGCGCGACGGGCCCTCCCGCACCCTCGGTCAGTCACGTGGGCACGCCCACGGAATGCTTGAGCAGCAACAGGCGCGTCAGAGTTTAGAAAATCCAAGTAGGCGAGTCCGACAAAGCCAGACGGGTTCAACTCACAAGCGAAAGGACGTTCTCCCCTGGGCACTGCCAGGGCTGAGCAGTGTCCCCCGATCCGGGCGCTGGGGTCCAGCCCGGCCCCAGACCGTGGCCGGACTCGGAGACAAGGAGGCGGCGGCGAGAGTAAAGGTCTTCCACGTAGACCCCGACTAACCTGACCGGTGTGCTTAGAAGAGGGGATCGGACTCACAGACCCCGGGGATGTGGGCGGGCAGCGAGGTCGCCGCCTGCAAGCCACGGAGAGGCCTCCGGAGACACCAGGCCGCTGACTCTCGGGTCTCGGACTTCGGGCCTCCGGCCGTGAAGAAGGAGCTGCCTGCTGCCCGAGCCGCCGGCCCCGTGGTCCTCTGTTATGGTGCCGAGCGGAGGAACACGGGGACAAAGTCGAACAGCGTGTCTCCCGGGCCGGCCGGCCGGCCTCTGCTCAAACACTGAAGCCACGCCCTGCGCCCTCCAGACCGACGGCCCATCACCTCGGCACCTCTGGCCCGCGCACCTGTCTCCAGCCGGACCGCGCCAGCGCCCCCGCCCCCTGTGCCCACGACGACCAGCGGCCCTGGCCGGGGACGCCCAGACCTCGCCGGCTCCACCCACCTCTGCGCCCTCGCAGCGTCCAGTGCGGACACTTGTCCAGCCGGGAGCGTCAGAGCACCAGGGGCTGGTCTTTGGCTAACGGGACAGTGTGAGGCTCCCGGCCGCTGCATCTCGGGAGTTCGGATGTTCTGAGTTCTCATCATTTCACTTTCAATTGCATTTTTTTAAAAAAATATATTTTATTGATTTTTTTTTTTTTTTTTTTTTTACAGAGACGAAGGGAGAGGGATAGAGAGTTAGAAACATCGATGAGAGAGAAGCATCGATCAGCTGCCTCCTGCACACCCCCCACTGGGGATGTGCCTGCAACCAAGGAACATGCCCTTGACCAGAATCAAACCTGGGACCCTTCAGTCTGCAGGCCGACGCTCTATCCACTGAGCCACACCGGTTAGGGCTCAATTGCTTTTTAAAAAATATATTTTTTTTATTGATTTCAGAGAGGAAGTGAGAGGGAGAGAGAGAAACAAACGTCAATGATGAGAGAGAATCATTGATCGGCTGCCTCCTGCACACCCCACACTGGGGATCAAGCCTGCAACCTGGGCATGTGCCCTGACCGGGAACCAAACTGCGACCTCCTGGTTCACAAGTTGATGCTCAACCACTGAGCCACACTGGCCAGAATCAGTTGCTTTTCATTTTTTGTGTGAATCCTCACCTGAGGATATTTTTTCCATTGATTTTTAGAGAGAGTGGAAGGGGGTGGGAGGAAAGAGAGAGAAACATGGATGTGAGGGAGACACATCCATTGGCTGCCTCCTGCATGCGCCCAACTGGGGCTGGGGGTCAAACCTGCAACCTAGGATCATGCCCTTGACTGGCAATCGAACCCGAGACCCTTCAGTGTGTGGGTCGACGCTCCAATCCCTGAGCCACACCAGCCAGGGCTACTTTCTGTTGCTTTTTTTAAAAAAATACGTTTTTATTAATTTCCGAGAGAGGGAGAGAGAGATAGAAACATCAGTGATGAGAGAGAATCATTGATGGGCTGCCTCCTGCACACCCCCAACTGGGGATCAAACCCACAACCTGGACATGTGGCCTTGACCAGAATCAAACCTGGGACCCTTCTGTCTGCAGGCCGCCGCTCTATCCACTGAGCCACACCAGCCAGGGCTCCGTGGCTTTGAAAGCCCACCCGAGGTTCAACTAGAGACGCGTGGGCCTCACTGCGGAAGAAGCGCCAGATGGAGAAACCCCGGGCAGAGCGGCCACGCCGTCCCGGCCTCTTTCCATGCGTCCCTGAGCCTCTGCTCCGGCCCCGGTGCTTCCGGAGGAGAGGGGGCAGGAAGGGTCCAGGTGAGAGCAGCATGGCTCACAGCCACCGCCTCCCCGCGCTCCGGCCTGTCCTGGGCCCCGGCTCCCAGCGGCTCTCGCCTCCCCTCGGGGTGCAGAAACATCCCAGGGCTGCCCGCTCTGCGTCTACCATGGGGAGCGCGCCCCTGCCCGTGTGTGGGGCGCACCCGGCCTGGCCCTGGGTCCCGGCCCAGCGCTTGGGAGGCACCAAGCAGCGCGACACAGGACGGCCCAGGCTCGAGCCCAGTGCCTGGAGGAGAATCCTGAATGCAAATGGGGCTGAACCGGGCCTTGGCCCAGGGCGGAGCTCTCCCAGCCCAGGGCCGTGAAGGGGGCGCCGGGAGAGCTGGCCACGGCCCGGTCCCGGCAAAAGTGGGCGTTCTGCTCCCGGCACTCCTGCGGTGACCGAGGCCCAGGGCTCCCCGCCCGCTTTCCTGAGCTGCCACGGCCACGGCAGAGCCGCCTCCTGCGCCTCCGAAACGCAGTGTGGGCCTCAGAAGTGCTGCTGTAGGTCTTAGTGACCGAACACTGACCCATGAAAGAGCTCCTCTGAGAACCACCAAGCAGGGCACGCAGAACGCCAGAGCATTACAAAAAGGAAACAGCCCTGGCCTGGCCGGTGTGGCTCAGTGGACAGAGTGTCGGCCTGCGGACCCAAGGGTCCCGGGTTCCATCCCGGTCAAGGGCACGTGCCTCAGTTTCAGGCTCCTCCCTGGCCCAGGCCCTTGGTTGGGGCTTGTGCAGGAGGCAACCAATCAACGTGTCTCTCTCACATCGATGTTCCTCTCTCTTTCCCTCTCTCTTCCACTCTCCCTAAAAATCAATGGAAAAATGTCCTCGAGTGAGGATTAACCAAACAAAGCAAAAAAGGGAAACGGAAAGAAAGGGAGAGAGAGAGAGAGAGAGAGAGAGAGAGAGAGAGAAGGAAAGAGAGAGAGAGACAGACTGATTCCCGCTCTCTGTCCCCTAAGCACAGGAAGGTGAACACAGGGGACGTACTTAACATCGAGGGGACACCTTTCACACGGAGGCATCTGCTTTTGGGAAGATCAGGCCCATGAGCTGCAGCCACGGAGGGCGGGGCAGCCTCCGCTGGTTCCCACGCAGCTCCATGCTGGGAGAGCCCGATTGGCCCGGGGCCACGTCCGTCTCCACTGGGCCGTGCACTGCGTTCCCGGGGGCGGGCATGTTTTGCGAATGGTGTCAGCTCACGTCCAGGACAATCCCCGCGAGGCAGCGGGCGCTGGGCTCCTGGCGCTGCGCCGTGCCTGGCACAGAGGTGCCCAGCAGTGCCTGCGCCACCAGAACCAGGCGAAGGTCTGCCTGCGACTCACCCAGACGCGCCCTGGCTCAGCCTCCAAAGACAACAGAGCGAGAAGGCGCCCAGAGCAGAAGTCGGCGTCCACCTCGGGAAGGCGGTCAGACACCGGCGGGGTGACCATCACGTGGCGGGAGTGAAAAGCAAAGCATTCGAGGGGCAGAGGGCGGGGATCCAAGCCTCACAGCGAGGCAAGTCCCTCCTCGGCAGGGAGGGGGCAGAGGTGACGCCGATGAACACCTCTATCCGCGGGGAGAGGCCTGTTCCACGGGACCGCACGCACACGTCACCACAGGCCCTGCGCAGAGGCGGGCTCTCCACCGGGGCAGCGCAGAGAGAGAAGCCGGGAAGGCTCAGCGGTAAAGGAAGTGAGGAGCTTTGAAGAAAGGAAGGCAGTTTCACCCTCTGGTTGGAAGAGACCAGGGGTGGGGAGCGTCCGGCCCGCGGGCCTCATTCGGTCTGGCCCTGCCACGGCATCAGGGGTGAGTGAATGAGATGTGTGACCACACAGAGCAGGCGAGTGAGTAAGGTGGTACCTGGGTATGGCCGGGATGATGTTATAAATACCCACATGGCCCTGGGCGGAAAAGGCTCCCCACCCCTAGACCAGAAGACGGAGAGAGCCCCCAGGGCCGGCTAGTGGGCGGCGCCGCCTCTGCCCGCTTTGTCTCCCCACGGGAGCTTCCTGGGACCCCGAAGGCTTTTCTGAAATTAAATGTTAAGCCCTGACCGGTTTGGCTCAGTGGATAGGGCGTCGGCCTGCGGACTGAAGGGTCCCAGGCTCGATTCCGGTCAAGGGCATGCACCTTGGTTGCAGGAACATTCCCAGTAGGGGGTGTGCAGGAGGCAGCTGATTGATGTTTCTCTCTCATCGATGTTTCTAACTCTCTATCCCTCTCCCTTCCTCTCTTAAAAAATCAATAAAATATATATTTTTTTAAAAATGTTCAATAACAGCTCGGCACTGTCCCAGCTGTGGAGCCCTGCTCTGCGCCTGCGACCCGATACCCGGGAGGAGGACAGATGCCACGGGACACGGACGGACGTTCACACTCAGATCCCGGATTTCGCTCACAGGTCAGGTAAAGGTCGCAGTCGTTAGCGCTCCCTCTGCTCCTGTGGCTCTGTCGCCCGCCCTAGTTTCCTGTGCTGTAAACCCTGTGGGATTGTCACCTCGCAGCTCGGCAGTGCCGTCTCGTAGAAACCGATGGCCTCTGCTTTGCCACGCTGGCCCGGGAGACCTCGCCGGCGGATGGGGGCCGAGGCGGGCGTCTGTGCGGGAGAACGTGTGCGCGGCAGGCAGGACGGCTCGCACCGAAGCCCTTTCCCGCTGCTCTCACCACGGCCTTGTCCCAGTCCTGACGCTTCTCCGGTGCGTCTTAGACGTTAGGCTTAAGACTTAGAAGCCTTGTAGCTTAATGTGCTGGCCTAGGGTTTAAAGTAACATTTCAACATCCACAAAAAAATGCCAAACGGCCCCTGTGCCCTCGCCGGGCACCAGGAATTCGCGGAACCTGATTAATCATTACCACCGCCCAATGATTAACAGGCTCACCAACCGCAGAAACGGCGACGAGACACACGGAAAACAGAGGGGATGCCGGAGCGGGCACGGTGCGAGCCAGGCCCGCCGAGTTTGAGTGAGTCACACCAGGCGCGTGGTGGACCCTGCGCCCGGCACGAGGGCCTGGCCACACTACCTAGAACCTTCCCAGCAATGCCCGAGGCGCTGGCATGCTGTCGGAAGAACCTGGTACGTGGAAATGGGTGACAAGCCGGAATGGCACAGGAGAGGAGCGGACAGCCTCTGTCTCTTTATTTAAATGTGCAAAAAGCATGCTCCCAGCGGGTTCCCAGGAACACGCCCGCCCGCCAACCGCACGGCCCCACCCTGGGGTGTGTCCCTCCTTCCCTACCGCGTGCTCCCTCCACCTGAGAGCGGCTCAGTGCGCTAAATCCCGCAGCGATCGCTCTGCGGAGGCGACAGGGACCCAGAGGAAGCTGCCACTGTGGGTCCCAGAGAAGTGCGAGTGCGCTAAGCTTGTCCCAGATTAAGTCGGTGGAGGCGAGATTCACATTTAACGGGAGCACGGCCCATATGGACAGCACCCCAGCAATGCGGGGGCGGGGGACGCCGGAGCGTTTGCCAGGCACGTGACAGAGAAGCAACGAAGGACCAGGGCCTGGCAGGCCCCATGGGCTTTGGCGGAAACAGATCACACAAGCGACGGGCTGGGCCTTCGTTTCGGGTGAAGCTGACGGTCACCAGCGGGACCATCAAGTCAGGAGGGGGAGTCGCACCCAGCAGAACACACCCACCTCCTTGGGCAGAGAAGTCCTGCGCTCGCGACAAAAGCAGTGTGCCCACCGCCACCAGGGAGCTGATGGGCGGGCACCTGAGCCCTGACCGTGCCCAACACGAGCACCCCCTGCCGGGGCACCTACCATCACGAGAGTAAAGACAACGCATCACATGGGAGAAGAGACTCGCAAATTACACATCGGACAAGAGACTTGCATTCAGAGCCTGTGAAGAACTCTCGCAGCTCCGCCCCAAAAAGGCAAACATCCCGATTGAAAACCGGGCGGAGGATTCGCACAGACGTTCTCCCCAGGAGACCTACCCACGGCCACAGGCACGGGAAACCACACTCAGCGTCCGCCACTCGGGAGATGCGCGTCAGAACCACCGCGAGACACCGGCGCCCCCCCAGGATGGCGGGAACCCCCAGACAGGCAGTACCCAGAGCCGGCAAAGACGTGGAGAGAAACGGAGTCTCCCACGAGGCCGGCGAGACCAAGAAGACGGAGCCATTGCAGGACGGTCCGGCAGCCCCTCAGAAAGGTCACAGTCACCCTGGGATGCAGCAATCCTACCGCTGGGGGGACGGAAGCACACGTCCTTCCCATGAGCCCTCACAGCCGCACGCTTCACCACAGCCGAACAGTCGGAGCCACCAGATGTGCGCCAGCATAGATGGGAAGGTAAAGTGTGCGACTTCCACACAATATATATACATACATACACATATAATACATATTCATACATATATATATACACATATCTATAATAATAGAAGCATAATATGCTAATTAGACAGGACAGCCAGACGACCTTCCAGACGTCCTTCCGGACGACCTTCCGGACGAAGCCAGGGCTAGGAGGGCTGAGGCAAGCTGCCGCAGCTGCAAGGGCAGAGCCCCTCGCACAAATTTCGTGCATCAGGCCTCTAGTCTATATATGATATGTTTTTATTGATTTCAGAGAGGAAGGGAGAGGGAGAGAGAGAGAAACATCCATAATGAGAGAGAATCATTGATCGGCTGCCTCCTGCACGCCCCTACCAGGGATGGAGCCCACAGCCCCGGCATCTGCCTTTGACCGGAATCGAACCCAGGGCCCTTTGGTTCACAGGCCAATGCTCTATCCACCAAGCCAAACCGGCTAGGGCTCCATACAATGTTTTTGGCGATGAAAGGAAATGAAGTCTTGATCGTTATGTTCAGGGAAAGAAGCCAGTCACAGACCCCGTGCCACTTGAGTCCATTTACACGCAATGCCTAAGATCGGCGAAGCAGACAGAAAGGAGACTGGCGGCCGCCTGGGCTGGGGCTGGAGGGCTGGGTGTGCGGTTTCTCTCAGGGGCGGTGAAAGCATTCTAAACTGAGGCCGCGGCAGTGGTGGCTCAGCCCTGGGCGTCCAGCGGCCACGGGACTGCGCGCTGCAACCGGCGATGTACGGCGTGTCGGCCACCTCGCCACAGGGACGCGAGCACAGAACCTGAGAGCCTCACAAATGCTCACGGCAGCTTCATCTGCAACGACCCCAAACCAGAGACCACCCCGATGTCCTCCGATAGGCGAGGGGTCGAGCCAACTCAGGCATCCATACAACCAACGGCCCGGGGGCTCACGGGGTAATGCTGAGTGAAAAACGCCAACCCCGAGGGCCCCTGCCTTGTGGCTCATTACGTAACTTTTAAAAATTTTTCTTCTTTATACATTTCTTTATTAATTTCAGAGAGGAAGGGGGAGAGAGAGAAAGAGAGACATCGATGATGAGAGAGAATCGTGGATCGGCTGCCTCCTGCACGCCCCACACAGGATCGAGCCCGCAGCCTGGGCCTGTGCCCTGACCGGGAATCGAACTGTGACCTCCTGGTTCACAGGCTGACGCTCAGCCGCTGAGCCGCGCCGGCAGGGCACAGCTTTCTTGAGTGATGAGGTGATGGGCAGGGATCGGTGGCCAGGGACCAGGAAGGGCCGCGGGAGGGCGGGCACCGAGGGGCCGCTGGGTGAGGACCATGTTCCGTGTCCGCGGCCCGAGCCCACGCCCTGGCTGGGATGCCGGTCACTGTTCCGCAGGACGTCGCCGCCGGGGGAGCGGGGTGAAGGCCCGGGCCCCCCTGTACTAGTTCTGAGCTGCATGTGAACCCGCAATTTTCTCAAAACTGAAAAAGCTTCATTTAAAGACGTGCGAACAGGAGGTCAGTCGGGGGAGACACTTAAGAACAGCTGAGCTGCTCCTCATTCCCGCAGTTCCCACGCGGCCACAGGCGTGGCTCGGATCCAGGTGTCGACACTGCCCTCGTGGCTCAGCTGTTTGCTTTTAACTTTTTATTTGGAAGAACTTTCTCTTAAGTTGCAACACACACACAATAGAACAAGGAACAGTCACCCCTTTACCCACATTCACTCACAATAGATACTCTACCCTTTGGCCTATCATTTGCGTCTTCTCGATAGGCAGGGAGCCCGTGTGTGTGTGTGTGTGTGTGTGTGCGTGTGTGCGTGTGTGTGTGTGTGCGTGTGTGTGTGCTGTGAGCAGGACATGCTCTCACACACAGTCCCCTTGTCAGGTCAGTAACTGTAACAGACATGCTAATCACCCTCAGATCCGCCAGGCCCGGTACCGCCGGACAGCATGGCCCTTCGCCCCGGGCCCGGGCCGGGTGCTGTGCGGGCCCTCCTTCCTTCTCTCGTCTGAAACAGCCCACGGCGTTGCTGTTTCTCTGACACGAGACTTCAAGGACCCTGTCCACGCCCTGCCGTGTCCAAATGGGAGGTGGGAGCTCGGGGTTCCCACCTGAGCACCTCGTTTCAGGGGGACCCCGCGGGGAAGACCCGGCAATCGAATCCCTGCCTCCAGGTGCCCAGGCGGCATCCGAGGCTGGTTCCCGGGCGCCCAGCCTCGCTGCGGGCAGCACTGGGCCTCGCTGTGTCGGGGGCCAGCAGGGACCGGCCCACGCCTTCCTGCTGGGAACAGAGGTTCCCAGCTCAACACGGCTCCACCCCATTCACCACGACCCAGGAAGGAACACGGAGCACCCAGTGAACAGGCAGTGAAAGAACAGAAGCAGGCCTGGCCGGTGTGGCTCAGCGGATAGCGCGTCGGCTGCGGACTGAAGAGTCCTGGGTGCGATTTGGCCAAGGGCACAGGCCCGGGTTGCAGGCTCCGTCCCTAGTAGGGGGCATGCAGGAGGCAGCCGATCCATGATTCTCTCTCATCATTGATATTTCTATCTCTCTCTCTCCCTCCCTCTCTGAAATCAATAAATACATTTTTAAAAAACAAACAGAAACAAAACCTCCTGCGCGCGGATGCCAAGCAGCTCGATACGGTTCAGACGCTTAGCGACCGTCGCTAACAACACACCAGGCGGCTTCTGCGGCAGCCGCTCCGCTTGGGGGACAAGCCCATTTCTACAGAAATGGGGAGCAGAGCATCTGCCATAAAAGGAGTGAGCTCCCCGCTGCTCTCGGTGAAACCAGGAGGGGCCGGCGGGCTCCGCTCCGAGCCCCGTGCGGGGAGGACCGTCCTGTTTCCGGGACTGACTTGCGCTCCCACTGGGCCGAGTGCGGAGCGTGGAGGGGCCTGGGCCGCCACGGGCTTCGGTGCAGCAGGCGCCCGGCCACCCTGCCAGCCGGGCGCGTACGGGAGGCGGGAACAGCTGTCCAGCACGCCCTGGGGTGACCTTGGCCTCCCTCGGCTGCAGAGTGACAGCGTGGGGCCCTGCGGGCAGCCAGTTTGCGCTGAATAAGTCCGTTTCCCTCTTAAGTCACTGGCATCCATCGGTCTCCACCTGGCACCGGGCATCACCGCCTCCCACCTGGACCCCTGCCCCCTCCCACCTGGACCCCTGCCCCCTCCCACCTGGACCCCTGCCCCTCCCACCTGGACCCCTGCCCCCTCCCACCTGGACCCCTGCCCCTCCCACCTGGACCCCTGCCCCTCCCACCTGGACCCCTGCCCCTCCCACCTGCACCCCTACCCCTCCCACCTGCACCCCTGCCCCTCCCACCTGGACCCCTGCCCCCTCCCACCTGCACCCCTGGCCCCTCCCACCTGCACCCCTGCCACAGCCTCACCTGCTCGCCCCACCAGCTCTCCCCGGGGACAGCCTGAAGGACAGTCATTCCGCCCCTCCTTAGGGGCCTCTCTGAGCCGCCTCAGTTCCAAATACCTGGACTTGCAGGTAAGGAAACAGACCAAGGATGACACCATCCAAGGCCACGCGGCTCCACGAAGGCCAGGCTGGACCACGGTGTCCCTGCCCGTGCAGTGGGGTCCTCCCATCACACCCCCACCAGCCCCGTCAGCCTGGAGACGCCCTGCAGCTCTGCCCGGCCCCTGACGACAGCCAGAGGGAGACTTCGAAGCTAAACCCAGCATGTCACATGTGTGTCACATGCGTGTCACTTCCCACTGAGCACCTGCCTTCCCAGGGCGGCTCTCACAGAGGACGGACACCCGGAGCCCTTGCAACGCCCCCCGGGCCTCCATGGTGACCGGCTGCCACCTCTCTCCTGGGACCTCCTGTCCTCTCCTCTCGGGACATTCCTCCGCAGTCACACTTGCCCGGGCCCCTCCCCAGGGCCGCTGGCTGCCCGCTCGGCTCTGCCGGGACGCTCTCCAACCTGGCGTCGCAGCCACTCTCTCGCCTTTCAGTCGTCACCTTCTCAGAGGCCACCCTTCAGCTCCCCCACCCTCCGCGGGCACCTCACCAGCTCCCCCACCCTCCGCGGGCAGCTCCCCACACTTCGCATCCTCAACACACCAGCCACGCACGGGGTCACCAGGCTCCCAGCTGTCCCACCAGCTGTGGGAAAGGGAAGTGCTGTGCCTGCGTCCATGTCCCCACAAGGTCTGATGGCGCCTGGACCCACCTCCCTCATTTCCCTGGGCAGACCCTGTATCCCGGCCAAAAGAGACGACTCAGCTTCTCCAACCGCACAGCATGCCTTCCAGCCTCCGCACTCCATCCCCTTCCTATCCCCACACGTTTCAGGGGAAGCCCAGGTACCACTGCCTCCGGGAAGCCTGCCCGGATCCACCCGGGGCAGGACCCTGTCCATCTGTGTCCCCACAGCTCAGAGCACGGGTTCAGCCAGGCCTTTTCTGCCCACAGATCTCTCTCCTTAACAAGAGTTCCCGCTGCCCACCTTCCGCTCCCACACAGGCGGGTGTTCAGTAAATATCGACCGATTGAGTCTAGCACCCGTTCTGAGCACTGTTCCCTTTCTCACACAAAAACCCTCGCATT